TCTTTCGTTGATTTCTTCAAAATGAGAGCTTGCCAGAAAGGATAATTTCACAGGGAGATTAGTCCCCCTACTATCTTTCAACCAGTATCGTATGTTTTTCAACAATAATTACGCCGGTTACTTTTTTGGATAGCTGCAAGTGCAAATGATGGACTCGGGCTTTTTAATATCACCTTGCAAAATCCAACTTGACGGGTATAGGCTAGGCCTACTGGTATACAACGCCACGTTCACGGGTCTAGTTACTCATACTCATAGTTCTAGGAGTAGGGTCTAGTGCTGGTAATATGACATGTTCATGATCATTTACTTTATTCTTTCTTGAAAGGGAAAAGCCTTATCTTGGGGGGCATGTTTGGACCTAGACCCGTGAACGTGGCTATATACATAGCCACGCTTTAGTCTTTAGTAAAAACACTCTATTGTGATCCGCGGTTACTAAAATGAAGTAGCCGAATTTCGGCTACATTTGACAGAATATTTGCATACAAAAATGAGTTGTACAGAAAATCAGCAGAATATTTTTTCGGCAGAATTATGAAGATGAAGAAAAATGAAAAAGATTGGAAAGAAATATGGCACATTTGGTTTGAAAAACCTTCATTTTTTTTAAAGATCCGTAAAACAAACCCTTGCACAAATGGAACAGCAATTTAAACTGGGTGATTTGGCAGACTTTCGAAGTGGTATTTAGCAGAATTTTACATGGTATTACGGTCATCTGCAATTTAGTCGGGTACCAACTGGTGATACTACTACCGTTTTGCGCATGCAGAAGTCAGGGTACCAGAGTGTCATGCCTGTCTTTGATTTTCTGATTATTTTGAGAACATTCAGTGACAAAGTTGTGCCGTACTTTAGGTCAAATTTCTTGGCAATGACAAATCCAACACTCACGGAAATTCACAGGAAGCCCAACAAGTAAGTGATTCACCCATGGGCAAAATTATACATGGTTATATGTAGCGGATCAAAAGATAGAATGCTGTCGCTTGTATTTACCCGACGGAAGCGCGTGGCGTTGTATACAACGCCACGTTCACGGGTCTAGTTTGGACCTAGCTTGAGTAACTCCAGCTGACATGTTCCATATTCATTCACATGTGAATGTGAATGAATATGGAACATGTCACTGACATTGTCAGCTGGAGTTACTCAAGCTAGTTTGGACCCTGCTTAAACTAAACATGCTGAAATAATGCGCCTATCAATTGTTTCCCCCACCCCTCCCCTCCCGGGCTGCCCCACCATACTCCTACTCCTAGAACTATGATGCTCCGCGGAGCATCATAGTTCTAGGAGTATGCTTAAGGATGAAAAGGTCATTTTTGAGTAATATAAAAAAACACCCTAGACTATTACTTCTAGAATTAGAAGGCTTCTCTCCGTCAGCTGACAGAGAGAAGCTTTCTAATTCTAGAATCACTAGACTATAATTTGAACGAAACTAAACAGGGGCCCTACACTATCATGACCACACGTTCACCGTGTAAGGCGCCTATCAATTTCCTAACTCAGCGGCTGATGCTTGACTTCAGTAATCCTCTGTGTCACCGGGGACTACTTTAGGGACCTACAACATGAACCGACATGAACCTACAAACAACCAGGGCTTTCCTGATGTCACCACTACATGTACTGCATCGACCTGCTGTGCACACACCTGCAATGCTACAGGCTCTACTTCTAGAATAAGAAGGCACCTTTCTGTTAACCGAAAGGTGCCTTCTAATTCTAAAAGTATACTGGCACCATTACACTCTCATCAGAATTCTACAAATCAACATACGAAGGAAGAATGTGCTTTGAAATAAAGTAATTAAATAATGCTTACTCTCTGATGCCTTTTCTTTTAGACTTCTGCTGTGTGGACGGTACATGTACTGAGATAAGATCAGGGGAAGATTTGTTTCAGTGTCCAGATCGGAAGAAGCTGCAATGTCCGGATTGGAAGAAGCTGCTGCTGCCACTGCTGCTGCCGGTGTTGGTGCAGGCATTTGTAAGTATTTAAATAATATTGGATGGTTTTGAAAAGATACAAGAATATATTTCACATTATATTTGTAGCAATATTGTCATGACGAGTGTGCTCGCTTACGCGTGCACTGCTCGCTGCACTCTTTTGACTGGTTGACAACCATGAGTTTCTACACTGCGCTCTTATTGAGTCCAGGGAATCAGCAAAATGCACGTTGATTAATACCTGGATGAGTGTAATCATAAATGATATTGTCCTCATCCAGGTACTTCCAATAACCATACAATAAGCTGATTTATATTTAGTACGTAGAAGCCTGATATAAATAATAATCACCAATATCAGCACATTTATTTACATTACAGTATCTAAAAATAGCATATAGCCTCAATCGTGCAAAATTCTTTATTATTTCTGGAGTATGGTATTTGGAGGAGTGACCACTGCCTGAATCCTGCGAAATCCTTTAGCAGTCACTGTCAATGTGTTGAGGCAGAGCCAGTGACATCCTGGAGCAGTACGGAGGATTTAATGTATTATCAAGGCCTACATTTATGCATGGTGGGCATTATAAACAACTGAAGGTTCAGCCGGCCCAATACCTTGACTGGCTGTTACTGTTTTGTTACTTGATACAGCTATGCTTTGATAAGTCAGCTGTGCCTACCAGCTGCCTGCTTTTGTCTTTTGACTGAATTTGACAAGTCAGCTGTGCTTGCTTGAAATATGATCTGACTGTTGGTAACTAGTGTGTGTAAAAGCATGATGGCAGGGGAACAGGATTGATTTTTTGACCGTCTGTGACTGTTCAAACAGCAGGAGGGTAAGTCGTGTTATGAGCTTCAGATTTGAGCTTCATATTAAATGCAGTTTGTTTTATCAACATACAGGCCGATGTTTCACCGGTGATGATATATGCTGCAGATTGTGCAAACGGTGCCGCAAGTCAAAAGGTATAATGCAATGTTGACTTGATTTCTAGAATCGTTTTAACGAGATAGTGATCATAGCTGTGAACAGCTGCAATACATTATTATATTGTGTCATGATGGTAATTTCATAAGTATAAAACAGCCATGTGCGGGTGTGCCCAGTATAATTGGTTAAGACAACTAACGAAGACATCAGCAGACTGATGTGAATCATGTACATGTGAATGAATGGAGGTGAAAAGGTCAATCGCTGCTTGCTTGACCTTTGTTTTTATGCCACATACTTTTCTTTCAAAGAGTGGTCTAAGAGTTTTCTGGACTCAAATTTTTGGCATATACTCAATATTTTTTATCTCCTGATCAGAATCAGAAACCAAGAGTTGCAACAACATAATTGATATAATTGATTAATTGTATAGACACTTGTTCACATTAATTTTGTTTTTTACAGATACATCAGATTCACCTGGACAAAGCACCTCAGGTATACATCCATAATGCTAGCCTTGTTTTTTGGTGATGATTTTGATTTAATGAAGATTGCCGTTGTCCCTGGGCAAGCCATTTTGCACAATTTTTTTTTTCTATTGAAATATATGCTAAATATTCCGTAGACCCTCCCTAATAGGTCATCTTGATAAGGCCGAGTGGGCGTTTGGTAGCCAGATGCCTTTCCTATTCATCTGACCATTGTTGTTTCTTTGAAAAATTGCATACATGTATACAGTTACCTGACCTACCTGGATTTTTTGCAGACAAATAGCAGACCTCAAAATAAAGTAATAAAAACATGTTTAATGCAGTATATTTTCAAAATGGAAAAGTGTTTGCTATGTAATTTGTTTGTGTACTATTGGTTAATTAATTATACAGGAAACTGAATAGCATTAAAGGTGCTTTTATTGTAAACAAAGTATAAAAAGCCTTCAGACAACCTTTGAAAAAAGTTACAAAATAATATTATTTTCCTACCTCCCTTCCTTGAAAATTTTTCCGCTGTTTCCATAAACAAAAACTTTTTTGTGGGATATAGTTGGGAATAAATCCCATATTTTCTGAAATATTGTTGTGTTTGTTGCTTGGCTTCACATAGTAGCAACCCTTGCTTTTTAAAACTCCTGAAGATGTTCCATTTCTGGAATGCAATTTTCTTATGTAAGAGTAAACTATTAATCATTAAAAGTGAAATCTAAATGCTTCTGTTCTGTTCATTTTTATTGCAGCCAGGATTTCCAACTGGATATTTGATATCTGTAACTGTAAGTATTAATCCTTGCTCTAAAATGTATATGATTACTTGCTTTTCATGCATTTCCAATAACTCCACTCAAAACCAAAGAAGAATGTTCAAAACCTTACCAGTTGAGGTCGAGCTTAAAGCTCATACATATTTTATATTTTGAAAAAAACAGTGAAAACATAAACATGCACAACCTTGTGATCAGGAAAAACAATTTTGTCCACAGCACACTGTTTTTCCAAAAATCTTTCAATTGACTGATTGTTGGATAGTAAATCAGTGGAGTTTTTTTGGGATAAATGCTAAGGATTTTGCATTACTCTAATCCAATGAGATTTAGTAACAGTCAATACAAATGGTCAAGAAATCTGCTGATTCTTCTCAATGGGGTCTGTGCGCCAACAAAAGAGGGTGCCGTTTTACCTAGCAACGCTGTCCCATAGACAGGACACATACATTTTGCTGGTTGACGTGCACACACCGTTCCTTGTGTGTGACGCACGTACACTAGGGGATTTGTACTATGTAGATGCAGTGGCTGCGCTTTGCGGCAAAATATGCAGTCAGGCAAGATGGCGTCGGTCAGTCACCCCCAACTGTACTTTCTTTGCCGGTAAGGAGGTGCTTGTGAACGGAGCGGATAGTCTCAAAGTACATCGGTATAAGGCAAAACCCAATGATGAATTTACATCACCCTGACACAAATTCCATCTTATTAAAAGTTTGATTGAAGAGCTATAAAACAACTCTCTGACTGCATTTTTCATGGTTTTTGAATTTCAGACTACACTGACAGTTTTTCAATCATGTTTCTTCTGCATTCTTATAATTTTATTGCAGGCATGAATTGCAAATGCATTTCCTGTGGTAACATTAACTGTAAGTATTTGGCTTCTAAAGCAGCTAATGGAAATCAGTTTTTAAGTTAAAACACAAATATTATTAAAAAGATTTTGTTCTTAAAATGTTCCTTTTAAGCCTAGTTTATTCTTAAAATGTTCTTTTGATGGCACAATTCCAAAGAGCTTAAAGCTCAGAGTTTAGAGAAAGCACATATAATTGTGTTGTTTTGATTGAAACTATGACCAAACCCACTGTGTGCCCTTCAGAAAATGAGCCTCCCCCAAGTGGCCCCCCCCCCCCCCATTTGAACCTATAGATAAAGCCCCAGTCACACATTTACGGTTGGAGCTACGAATATCCACGATTTATCAAGAATCAATGAATCACAATGAACCGTCGAGATTCGTCTTTCTTAGAATGCACTATGGTTTCAGGATGGATAGCCACAACTGTCCTATGGTTTCTCTACGAATACACCACGGTTTGTCAAGAATATGGACAGATTGGTGAAGAATATCGATGGTATTTCTAAGAATAATTACGTTAACGCCACGGTTGTCTGCGATTGGGCCACAGATGACTAAGGTTTTCCTACAAATAAAGCGTGGATATTTGTAGTACAACCTTAGCAGAACCCTAGCACATCCGGGCATATCCGATATACATTCCTAGCAAATTCTTAGATATTTCTACCATGACAGAGCTACGAATCTCCAAGAATAGCCAGGAATAACACCACGAATCAGTACTGTTGTCCTACGGATGTCCCACGGTTGCACTACGGTTTGATTTTCATGACATTTCACTACAGAAGTTTCGAACAGTTTCAAACTTTCGTAGCCCCTCCACGCATACCCAAGGAAGATGACGGATAACCACGGATGTACTAAGGATTAACACGCTACTCCCATGGTTTATTACGAATTTCAAACCGTGGAGATCCGTAGCTCCAAACCGTAAATGTGTGACTTAGTCTTCTAAACTAAATTGATTTTTATTATTTAATCTATATTCTGTAAAAAAAAAGAAAAAAAAGTGGCAATATTGAAAACCCTTTGATTTGCCCTTTAAACACTTTATTCTGTGAGTGTTTGTTTCACTGCAGGCTGTTCTTGCCATAAAAGTGTAACTGAGCCAACTGATCCTCAATCGAAAGGTAATAATATTTGAACAGTGACACTGGACTACATGCTTCCATTTGTTTTACTGAAGTGACAAAGTTCACTTATAAATATGGGGATAGGGTGCGAGTTTACACGCCTTTTATTAAACCCTGTTGACTCTTCCAAGATTTAACAAGGGGGTGTAAAAGTTCTTTCTAAACAAGTTTTTTACAAACCATTCCTTTGAAAACCAAGCCATTCTGTGAAAACAAACATGCAAGAATATTGAATGGTAAAAGTCACATTGTACCTTCTTGATTTGCCTGGACGTACCATGGAGAAATTGAGGGAAAATTATTATCAATCTGCCATCTGCTTCAACTGGAACCAACAATTACCGACAACCACCTGAGCCAAAGTTCATGGCGCTGCTAAGAACACAGTTTTCAGTTAAAAGGGCCTACGTTTATTTCAAAGAGTGCAAGCAGTTAGCACTGCAAAACACTGCTTGCATTAGTGTTGTAGAAGATCCTCACTGGGAAATTGATCACTAAGGGTATATTATCTGCTGCAGAAGCTTCATAATAAGCCGTTATTATTACTCTTGACACAGAACTGATGGCAACTGAGAGGAGGCAAAGATCTTCAGACACTAGGGAGGCAACAGCGTCTGGGGATGAGAACACCTCATTGCTAGCTACAGCAGTAGTTCATGCAGGTATAACACACTGATCATACAAACAGTGGAATAACTTCACACAATTGAAGCACAGTGATACCTCTTTTTTTTAAGGAATTTTATGAAACTGTCGACCGACTTTAATGCACTTTGATCTTTTGTTCATTTTAACATAGGAACAGGAAATGTTAAACCCACAGCACCACCAGAGGAGGGCACTGGCTTGGACTCATCTACAGTCACAAATCAGCCTACCAGCAGAGCATCTTTAGCCATAGATAGGTCACATGGCAGACAATCCACCCACATTACTGCATCGTTAGCAGCTAGAGGGGAGCAGACATCTGCAGGCCAAGATTCTACAGATGCTGCAGAATCTCAACAAATGGCAGATCAGCCAGCCGTCAGTACCACAGCAACTAGGGAGAGGCAGACATCTGCAGGCCAAGATTCTACAGATGCTGCAGAATCCCAACACATAACAGCTCAACCAGCCATCAGTACCACAGCAACTAGTGAGAGGCAGTCAACTGCAGGCCAAGATTCTACAGATGCTGCAGAATCTCAACAAATGGCAAATCAGCCAGCCATCAGTACCACAGCAACTAGTGAGAGGCAGTCATCTGCAGGCCAAGATTCTACAGATGCTTCTGATGAGTCCCAACAAACAGATCAGCCAGCCGTCGGTACCACAGCAACTAGTGAGAGGCAGTCATCTGCAGGCCAAGATTCTACAGATGCTTCTGATGAGTCCCAACAAACAGATCAGCCAGCTGTCAGTACCACAGTTACTTCGGAGGGGCAGTCATCCGCAAGCCAAGATTCTGTACATGCTGCGGAATCCCAACAAATGGCAGCTCAACCAGCCATCAGCGCTGCAACTAGAGAGGTGCAGTCATCTGCGAGCCACGATTCTGCAAATGCTGCTGAATTCCAACATGGAGCAGATCAGCCTGCCATCAGTACTGCAGCAACTAGAGTGGGACCAACATATGTGAGCCAAGATTCTGTACATGCTGCAGAATCTGTACAAATGCAAGCTCAACCAGCCGTCATCAGTCGCACATCAACTACAGAGGGACAGTCATCTGCAGGCCTAGATTCTGTAGATACTGCAGAATCCCAACAAACAGCAGATCAGCCAGCCATCAGCACAGCAACTAGAGAGGGGCAGTCATCTGCGAGCCACGATTCTGTAGATGCTGCAGAATCCCAACAGATGGCAGCTCAACCAGCCATCAGTACCACAGCAACTAGAGTGGGACCAACATATGTGAGCCAAGATTCTGTACATGCTGCAGAATCTGTACAAATGCAAGCTCAACCAGCCGTCATCAGTCGCACATCAACTACAGAGGGACAGTCATCTGCAGGCCTAGATTCTGTAGATGCTACTGTTGCTGATGGAAACCAGCTTGCTAGCATTGGTCATTATAATGTGCCTACCAGCCGTGGTATACCTGCCTCTTCTGTGCCATCAGCATCCAATGAATGGCAGCCAACTGTGAGCCACCTACCTGACACTTCTGTTGTGGCCCAGCCTTCTGCCAGGAATCAACCTTTTAACTGGACCAGTGGTACAACAGGTGAGTGATAATTTTAGAAGGCAATAAGGCTCATTCTAAAATCAGTCTGGACTTGATAATAATGGATGTTGCATGCTATTTATTGTTGAAATGTACATAAGTTTGAAAGCAGAAGGGGATTTTCTTAAAATACAAATGTTGGGATAGCAGTGCTCTTTATAAGAGTGTTGTATTTATGTACCCTCTCAAAAAAAACCAGACTTTGAAGGCTTTTCCTGCCTGCCCTTGTTGGCACAATTAGTAAGTCTGCTACCTATTCTCAATGATTACATTCTTGTTCAATTTCCTTTGAAACAGGAGCATCCTCAACTGTCTCCCCCTCTGTTCCTGTGCCACGAAGCCCCAACAAGCGTGTAACAAAGAAAGATATGCAGAAACTTGCTGGTAACCTTGGAGATTGGGACCGGCTCGCAGTTGCATTAGATATGTCTGAAGCAGATATCCATGGATTTAAAGAAGAGAATAAGTATGTAGTATGGAACCAAAAATATTACATGCTTTGCAAATGGATAGACAGAGCTTACAAGAAAGCCACAGTTGGCGAACTTGTCATCAGATGTCAAGAAGCAGATGTGAGTGTCAAAGCGTATGAATTTCTGCTTGACATTTGATCTAGGTCATGTCACCTGTTCTAAGGCAATGGTTTGTCAACAAAATCGCAATAAAACTTTGTATTTTTTATGTCAGTTGATACTGTACCAGCTTTTAATGTCTCCTAAAACTGACAATCGTGAATTAAAGTACTGTTTGAATACTGTGCAGTATAACTCACCTGGACATAATAAGCACCCAAACTGTCATTTTATTTTGTAAGTGCAACAGTCTAACCTATCTCCAATATCTCCAGCATCAAAGCAATGGATTGAGGTAGCATGTGTAGTTAATCAAGCACAAATGTTTTATACCACGGTATGAAATGGTGAAGTTTCAGTGGTTGGGAACTGTTGACATATTTTAGAATTTCATGCATAGTCTGAGGATCATGATTTTCATGTGTGCAAAACCACATGTGAACTGCAAATTCAAGCAGAAATTATTTCAAGCAGAAATTTGGACTAAGCTGTTGATTGGTCAATTGGCTGCCTTTTTTTTGGGTAATACACCAACGGGTTACCGAAGACCCGATAGAAGGCGCCCGCTGAATGGTCCAAATCTGGAGGTCAAGACGCAGTCTTGTTTTTCATAATGAATCGCCAAATCATAGATGCTTGTGTGCAGGTGGCCATTCCATAGGCTTACACGTGTATATGGCGCCAGCCCACAATCTAGCAGATGCCAAGTAAAGAAAAAGATGTGATACTGATACACCTTATTTACAACCCGACCACTCTCTGCTATTGTTCTGATAAATCTTTTTCTTTTTTTTCGGACAATACTTCTCCGCGGCTTTTCTCCTAAATGGTTCATGATATGAACTTGTAACTGTCTATATACATATGTATCGACCCTCATCCCTAGTAGTGCATATTACTCTGACGTCATGATGATGTCATCAGGTGTCAAATTACAAGCGATTTTAGCTGAAAAAGTGACCAATTGCTTTCACCTATAACTCTTTAACAAAATCATCAATAGTGTGTGTATTCCGTAATCAGATAGACCATGAATTGATAAACATTTTTTGTCATGTACATGAACTCACTTGACCTTTACTTCCGGGTCTACCGGAAGGTCAAAGTTAGGTGAATTCAAAATGAAGAAATTTAGCCTGAAATCAGAACAAAGCAGAATTTCTTCCGAACGGTTTACGGTATGATCTAGAAACCTAGTGTGAACTTGTACCATGTTACAAAGATGTTATAAATGTTATGTCATCATCAGGTATCAAATTACAAGTGATTTCAGGGTAAATTCTTACAAAATAGTTTGCGCTATATCTTTCGAACTAAATTGAGTATCGTGTTCGTGTTTTCGTGAGGTTGTAGACTATGCCGTGAGAAACATTTCTTGTCTCCGGACATAAATCCACTTGACCTTCACTTCCGGTGAAGGTATAATTCAAAGGTGGAAGCATTTGACTACACACATATCATTTTGATAGTGTTTAGTGATGAATGCCAGACAAAAAACAAACCCAGTGTGATGACGTCACCTTTCAAAAGGGCGCCCCCTAGCGGCACATAAAACGGTGTTTGCTTCTATTATTTGAAAATCTTCCGTTCAAATTTTACTAAATCGGCCTTTGATATTCTTTCATAAGCTACAAATAACTTGGCAAGGTTTCAAATTCATGACTTCATCAGACCGGAAGTTACTTTAATGAGAATTTGAAAACACCATATTTTAAATTTAATTTATATCATTCAATCCATGTCGTATACCTTCGCAGCCCAAATAACGATATCCATTAGAAAGTTCACTTTTTGCTTCCAAATACTGTGACGTCATAAAACCGGAAGTTAGGTGTTATGATTGCAAACAATGTTTTTCCATATTTTCATACGTTATTTAACTTCACAATGAACATTTATCCATTCCGAACTAAATCAGTATTCACTTCCCGTTTTTGAATTATGTCGTCATCGAGCCAGAAATAACTTGTATGTGTACATAATTATAATGTTTACTGGATTTTATCACAAAATTATTGATTGTACTGGAAAGGATTTAATTTCGTGATCCTTTGTTTTTGCATAAAAATATTCATAACTGAACTCGGCAGTGTTTAATGAAAAAAATGCCTGCCCGACCACTCTGCGTTTGTAACAACAAACGCGAACCTCTAGTTTGTTATTTTCTTTTTAATACATGTCACAACCTAACTAGCAATGGCCCAACTATAGTTGAGGCTTCGCATCACTTGCTTCAACAGCGGGTTGCAATATAATGAAAATGGAACACGAGACCAATAAAAAACAATACACATTTTGTTTATAAATGAGCAACCCAGGATTATTGTATGAGAAAGTTGGATTCAAATCCAATGTACTATTTGCCAAAAGAATGATGTGTACTAATGTCATCTTTTAAAGATTCATTTTAAAGTATCTGACAAAATATCTGACATAATGGGGCAGATCATTACGTTTCTCAACAACAAAAAATCAGATTTATTATCAGATGTTCATTTTGATTATTTCTACATTATGCTTTGCTACTAAATGTATACTACTAGTAATGGTACTCTTAAAATTGAACTGTGCTATTCCGAGATCAACTTCAACAACTATTTTGCAAAGACTTAAAAAGCCATGATGAAATAAAACAATACTTCAACATCTTTAAAGGCCATTAAATTTGGCACTGATGTAAACCATGAGATACGATTTGCTTGTAAATGTAGCTTTTAATTGTATATATATATTTCAGTTGTACAAATGAGTGATTTAAAATGCAAGATACAAATTTGTTTTAAACCTTTATTAACAAATTTTTATCAATAGGTCTCTCTCAAAGACGGCCATCTCTGTAGAACTGCAACTGTGTATTTTACGCAATCAAGCATGTATTGTGCAGTGTTGAAAATGTTCCAAACACACAGGCTTGTTGCTCGAAATGTGTTCAAAATACGACGCAGCTGATGGGCGTTATGCAAGTTGACGCTCAAAATGAAGATGCACATGGCTGGTCTGTAGGAAATGACGTCATTTGAGAGAGACCTATATATTTTTTTAATTACATGTATCTTCATTTTACATGTGTGTACATTCTACAAGTAGAATTTACTGAAAAATGTAACATGGCGTAAACTTTGAAGGGAAATTGTCGACTGTCAATATGCCAGAACACTAAACAAAAACGTATCAAGTAATATTAAAATTTAAATTTACAGAATAATCGTTTGTATTTTCCAGTACCATAACCTGAGCAAGAAACTTGTGTATAAAATAATCGGCTGCTTGCTTCCCACTCAATCAATAATTTTATGGGTTTTTTTTTATCCAAGAACTGATTATGAATGTTACTACATACATGTAGTTTATAACTGACTTGAACTTTTCACAGAAACTGTTTGAAGCTTTTGAGCAGTTCTATTTTTTTACAAACAAAAAATCAGAAAACAAGGGCGTGAACTTTTTTACTTCCGAAATAGTTGTGTTATATGTTATTTGCCATAAGTGTTTTGTATGTACATGTAGTTGGCATGAAATGCCTAGGCCTAAATATTCTTAACATTCTTTCAATAGATTTGTATACTTTAAAAAAAAGTTTAGCTGCAACATTTTAGTTTCTTTGCTGTACTTTTATATCTCTGACTTTAAAAGGTGTCTTATATTTTATATGAAGGTTTCCATTTGATAATTAAAGATGGACTGTCTATATCGTTGATATTTTCAATATTTTCTCAAAGGAGTGCGAGTGTTTCATTTTAACAGACTATAGCTCTAGAAAAATATAAATTGAAAAATTCTTGACCTACATGTATTTCTCAGGGTGAAACTAAAAAAAAATCTCTGACTGATAATTATTTTGTTAAAAGAATGTTTCATACAGGAAAAACAATCTTGTGGCAAAATGTAGCTTCACATTTCCATTTTATTTATGAATCAAAGGACAAATCTAGAAAATGTTTCAAATATTTGATCTTACTAATCTACCAAACCAACAACTCTCTTCTGAAAGCAAATATGATTCACAAATCATCTTTCAAATCACAGTGGAACAATGTGTGGCATAACGATCATTGAATTCAGAAAATGAAATGAGAAATGAGAACAAAACAAACAATTACGTTAACTGGTTGAGACAAATCCATAAGAAAGTGGAAATGGCACACAAATTGAAAGTTTATGACATGTTCAAAACTGCAAAAATCACAAACTCAAATGTGGTATCTAATTTAAGGGGACAAGACCTTTCATTTGAGTCACTTAGTTTCAAGGTATCTTCTGTGAGAAAAATCCACCCTACATGTAAATACTTTGACTTTACTGAACAATAGTACAGTTGACAAAAGACACTTTCTAAAAGTTACATGATTTAACATGGAATTGCCCTTAAGGTTTTCGCACTGGTTATCCAGAATGAAATGTCAAAGTAGAAAAGTTACAAGCTATTTAAAAAAAAAAATACGTTCACTTATGTCATCCATATCATTAATTTAAGATAAGAAATGTTTTGCAAAATTTCATTTCAGTTTAAAAACTTTCAGATGTGGCACATCTGTCAGTGCAGTAGAAGATCCACGATTCTCAAAAGGCTTGACCGGGGACTCTACGCTCCCTGACTACATCCATGCTTCCCAGCCAGCATACACACGGCCCAGTATATTAGGGTCTGTGGCTTGGTCAATCAGGCATTCCACCTGCGTCTCCATGTTCAACCCAGACACTGCAGATGAGGCGCGGATGTTGTGCTGCCCAAGCCCGCGGGGGTGGCTTAGCAGGGGACTCTACGCTCCCTGACTACATCCACGCTTCCCAGCCAGCATACACACGGCCCAGTATATTAGGGTCTGTCGCTTGGTCAATCAGGCATTCCACCTGCGTCTCCACGTTCAACCCAGACACTGCAGATGAGGCGCGGATGTTGTGCTGGCGATCGCCTTTCAGCACTTCCTTGATAGAAGAGAGTGCAGGGTTCCTGCTGTGTCCCAGGGTTAGCTCACGTCTGAAATAGTAACAATAATTTAAAATTAGTTTTGTCATAAATATTGAGTGGAGCAGTGTGGTCTAGTGGTTAGGGATTGTGACTCATGATCAGAGGGCCAGCTGCTGTTCATATGTTGTGTCCCTGGGCAAGCCACTTCACCCCCGCTTGCCTCTCTCCACCCAGGAGTATAAATGGGTACCAGCATTAGCTGGGGAGTAACCTGTGATGGACTAGCATCCCATCCAGGGGGAGTAGAAGTCCAAGTCATACATACCAAGGAAACTGCAGAGATAAATGCCGGCCTGATGGACCATATTGGCTCATGACAGACTTAAAGTTATAGTCCATCATTTGTAATTTGTGCATTTTGTTCGTTTGAAGCAACAAAAGTGCTCAAAATCTAAAGAAGGGTACTGAACAACTAACCTGATAAAGTTTCAGCTCAGCTTCAGCTGTATATTCTGAGAAAAACGGCATTCTAGGATCTCAATTTCAAATCAAAAGTTGCTGAATCATGTTTTGAATTGCACCTGAATTCAGCGTTCGAGACACGTTCTCGCTGAGCTGATTGCAGCTTCGTGATGTCGCGCACTGATCTGACGAATTATAGCAACCGTGTGCGTCATGCCAATGCTTGCGCGCGCTTCGCTGTATAACAAAACGAACTACTAATTTAAATTTTTCTACGGTGCGTCTTAAGAAGCACCGTTGGAAAGGCCTTCTTTCGTTGATTACTTCAAAATGACAGCTTGCCAGCAAGGATAATTTCACAGGGAGTTTAGTCCCCTTACTATCTTTCAACCAAGTATGTTTTTCAATAATAAATACGCCAGCTACTTTTCGGATAGCTGCAAATGATGGACTAACATCAGTGACACGTGCATTGTTCCAAGTATAACAAGTTCCAAGTATAACATCTTATCATACACTCCATAACTTTCTAAAAACAAACTGGGGAACAAACGAGCAAAATTCAAGAAGGACAACAGATGGGCTAGCATATATGCATTTTCTGCACCAATTAATGCACAAATATGCATTTTCTTTCACTGTCACCATTTTGAAATAGAAAAGCCCAAACATAATTTTTACATTGCGTGCAAAGGATAGTGAATCGTTGATAGTATGGTATATAAAGACCATAAGCCAATTTCATGGTGCTTCTTAATACAGTAATCACTATGTTAGAAAATTGTGCTAACAAGCGCATGGTGTGGTGTGGATATACGCTAACAGTTGCACGTGCGTGGAGATTTCATCATTGCATCAGTTTTAAAATTTAAGCATCTTTTTCCTCTAAGCATGCATTTTGTATGCTTACTATTTACAGTCTCTGTACACAAAAAAAAAATGGCAGCTCCGTGGGCAGAAAATAGAGTGCATATTTTGAGTTTGCTCACGGAGCTGCCATTTTCCTTACATGTTGATTCTTGACTTACTTTGTGATATCGGCGGGATTAGCTCCTTCCAATTTCTTCTGTGCATAGCTGACTTTCTCCCTAGGATACCAAGCTTCATCTAGGCTGCTTCCTTCTGGATCACTCTGTCCTTCCATCGACCGACCTGCATCCTTTTGAGCTTTAGCTTGCTTGCTGGCATTGGTCTAATCAAACAAACAAAACCCCAAATATAGCTTCTGCAAAACATTGTATTACATTGTATTAATTTCCTGTTGATTCCATAAAGCTGTACTGCCAGGCATATAACTTGTCCACAGATAACTGATTTGTAAAACTTCGAATGTCCTTATTTGAACAAGTCATTTTGGTGACTTCCCAGTTGTATGACTGTTTTTGAGCTAGCACAGAGAGGGAACATGGTGATTGTGTTCTTGGGCAAGATATTTTACTGTAATTTCCTCTCTTTGCGCAGGAGTATTTATGGGTACCAGATTGTGCTGATTTTGTTTGCAGAAATGTGTCTAGTGACCTGTTGAACTGGGGTAATGAGGTGCTTTGAGACATTGCTTTGTGAGGATTTTTCAACATATTAAGCCAGATAAGGAGTCCGTGAAATCACCCTTAAGAAAGTCCTTTGTTTACCCATGGAGATTAGGGTCAGGGTCATTAAAAAAACATTAAAATACCCTTACACGATTAGTCTAGTATAAGCCCCATAAAAACATCCGTGAAACATCTCTTAAAGATTCTTTTCAAGGAGAAGTGGACTTTTATTGAAAATTTAAGGGATCAGATGTTCATAGCCCTTCGTGACGACAAACCTGATTTGCCTGAGAAATTTCCAAGATTCCATGAAAAATATTTGAAGTTTAACGAGGTTCCTGGAAGGGGGTGTACTGTAACACAGCCAACTGTTACTGTTTAGAGAGGTGTGTAATATTCACACTGCATAAACGCTATAAAGCAACCATCGCCAGTCAGTCAATGAACACAAGACGTACATACACCAAACTGGTGAAAACCTTTCCCTTCTTGGTCATTGTCCGATTCTCTGAGCTTTCCCAGAGTTTTGGTGTTTTCTCCAAAGTCCCTGAGTTTTCCCTGACTGGAAATTGGAAACTTATTTTCCAGGTTTTCCATGATGTCCACAGTGGCTATAAACCATGATTATGGGCTACATAATTACATTAGTAATGTTATTAATGCCACACCTTCCAATCCAGTGAGGGTTCCTTGATGAAGACATCCATCGTGTTGATAAGAAGTTCATGGTTCTGTCGCAGTGCTCTCAGGGTATGTACCATGCTACTCTGAAGGATGCCTTCCTTCTTAAAGGGAAGCATCAGATTGATGATTTGACGCGTCAATCGGAACGGCATCAGCTCAGGAACAGGCAGAAACTGTCATCAAGAAATGCAGACATGGAAAAAAATGTTTCAGTAAATAAATGATACTGCTACGTTTCCATTATTCAACATGCAATTAAAATCCGAATCAAAATCAGATCAACTGAATCCAAGTGCAGCACCTTTGAGCTTGTAAGTTTAATAACAGATTGACCGTGATTTGACGGAGTGACAAATCCTTCCAAAACCGGTATTTTAAGCAATTTGGAATATTTGGGTATTCTTACATATTATGATGCCCACTACATGATCTACCCAACTTCAAGACACAAATTTGCATCTTCATTAATTACGCTAACTACTCCAAAAGTGAATTTTAACTTTGTCACTTAGTCTCACTGATTTTACATGTAAGCTAGCCTTTAAATTTGTGCCAGCTTCTCTGATTTACATTTTGTGTTCTAAAACATATACATTTTGTATATGCACACAACAAATCTGTGTGCAAATGCATGCCACGTACGTGTAGTGAATGTGCATGTTTCATGAAGTGACGAATCTATTTGGTCATGAATATTTCCTAAATAAATATGCTTTTATGAAAACAGCCACAAAGTATGGCTGTTTTCTATACGAATTTATATACGAAAATGTGATTTGAAATATCAACCAACTTGATAAATGATTTCTATACCTGGGTTGCCGAGCCAAAAGCATGGCCAAAGTCAATACCAATCATCCCACCGGTCTTCAAGCTGAGAAGGAAGTTGGACAGATGTCGATCACCGATACCCAAGATATATTGACAGATGCAGATAACAGCGTGGCTACGTGCAAAGTGCGCCCTCAGTGTTAGAAAAGCTTCAGGTGAGGCACTCATCTGTATGAAGGCACGTCTAGAAGAAAAACGCAGTCATTGGCTAGATTCATCAGAAGAAATTCATCTTGAAGATTCATTTTCTAAACCGACCAAATAAACCGGCCCATGTTTAGTTCCTGAATTGTTACTTTTCAAATTTATGGCTCGAACAATAATTCCATTCTATCGTTGGTACTATTATCTTTAGTACAGCTCTCCAGGAACCAGTTTACCAGAACTGTTGACAAGATTTCTTTTTTTTTTGACATTCAAATGTATTGAGACGCATTGTTAATTGGTGACACAAATGGACAAAATGATTGTGTCTTTTTAAGAAATGTTTGATATATAATTATACATCAAATTTTGAAGCCAAAGGGTGATGTTTGTCACAGCCAACTATTCGGTATAGCCGACATTCAACTGCATCCAAGGCAATGTGTTATTCAGGATCAATTTTCCCATACGTCATCTTAGACATTTAATGAGATGTCTGGAAAAGCATCTGGATAAAAGTAGCGGAAACCAGCCGAGCAAGTATGAATGTGGTATCAATGATTTCCACACAATACATAGACTTTCATTCTCATATTTCCAAAGTTTCCGATATTTTGTCCAATATTTTTTCAGCACTTCCTACCTCATTAGATCCCAAGGTACGAGTGCTTCCCACGTACGGAATGACTTCACTGTATCCGTGTAGCTGGCATGTCTGAGAAATACAAACAAAATACAGTTCAAACATTCCAGTTAGATTGCAATATATGTGTTTCTTAGCAACACATTTGGGGTGCTGTGGTCCAATGGTGTTCGACTCGTATGCCGTGGTACATGGGCTCGAATCCTGACCGTAGGAACATGGTGCTTGTGCTCTTGAGCAAGGCACTTTACCATTATTGCTTCGTCCTTCGGATGGGACGTAAAGCCGTAGGTCCTGTGTGTTGTGTAATGCACGTTAAAGAACCCAGTAACACTTATCGCTAAGTGAAGGGGTTTGCCCCGGTGTTTCTGGCAGTGGCTGCAATATGCGCCGCAGCACCTTGTCAACCCTTATAAGGTGCTACATAATGGGTCTCATATTTCTCATACACTTTATTTACCTTTTTTTAATAATAGACATATCTCCAGGCCTTGAGTATCTAATAGTTGGTAGATACGTGCGCTATATAAGACTCTGATATCATTATTATTATTTTGTGTAACTTTCAACTATCTTGGATAGTTCACGAGATAACTCCTTGTTCTGTCTCATAACAATGAGTGTTGGACTCACCGGTATACGGCACCATAGCGTACTCCATGATTTGCCTGGTTTCCTTTAGCATACTTATCCACCCATTCAGTATGGTGGTATCGTGGCCCATGGCTGAGGAAAGGGAGAAATATAACAAATTTAGGGGAAAAAACAAGGAAATGCATCACAGCAACTAAAATACACAAACCCAATAGTAAGAAAAAGATCAGACAACCAAACACACACACACAAAATGAAGCATACGTAAGACCCCAACATATAGCATGCAAAAACAAAATTATTATTAGGGGAAATTCATGAATCATGTGGAGCTATGTTGGATCTGGACCGGAAGGAGCCAATATATGAGGATTTTTAGTCCAGCTGGATTGTGATTGACTTGCGATTGACTTGTGATTGACTTGTGATTGCTTACCGTGTGTTATAAGCATTGACTTCCTGATCTGTCATAGCCACATGCAGGAAATCCTTCAAAGTTGTGGTGTTTTGGGCCCATTCAATCATACCAAGCCTAAAACCAGAATTAGCAAAAAGAAATTGGAGTCTGGAGTCACTGAGGTTGAGTCCCAGTCAAATTCATGAATGTACAGTCTGAGTAAGTCATGAGTCACTTAAAAATTCAAGAAAAAAACTAACCAAAAAAGCAGATTCAATAAAGGAAACAATATCAGAACTATGCATGTAGAAAGCAGCAGTGTTGAGTCTCAGTCCGAGTCATTGTTAATCGTGACTCGAGTCCGAGTCTCCAAAACTGTGACTCAAGTCGGACTTGAGCCGAGTCCAAGTCACAAGTCATCATCTCACAAATTTTAGTAGCTTTCATTTTTCCTTCATCAGACTTTTCACTGGTACCTTGGTGTCATTGGAATGACCTCATAAGTGACCAATCGCAGGCCTCGTTGGCTGCAGGTAGCGTCTTGCTCTAAGATACCATTCATGATTCGGAAGAGTTGCTCCACCCTCTGATCTAGCCGGAGATCCTCCCCTCCTTTGACGAGGAATGAGTAGTCGTGCTCATCGTTGCCACGAATCACCAGGCGCTTAGGCTTGCGCATGGACGACAAGACTTTGACCTGTACAATCACAAATGTCCAACGGCTTTAGTAATGGACATGGGATGTAATGACGTTACATATAGTGGGCTGAATGCCCCTCAACATAGGATGTCAAGAAATTCTGTCTTGGTGACAAAGACAATGGACTCCTTGCATGAACAAGACTTTCTAGAGTTCCTTGAGATGGGAGGGAAACACCAGGTGTGCATACTCAAGACCACTGGTTCTACATCTACTAGGCATGCAAAGCCTGTTCATCATCTAGACATTCAGCATCTAGATGGTTTACGCGGGTATAGCGCAAAATGTGCACAGGTATTTTCTCAACTGAATATGCACAAACTTTATCATTGTTATTATTGTTATGTTAATTATTTCTGGTAATGAAACCAAGAATTCCTAGACACTGTAGAAATCACAGTTTTAGAGGCGGGAGAAAAATCCCAGAAGAATATCCCATGTAAAACCCATAGAATCAGGTAGGGACTGAAAACCCAATCAACATGTGGCTAGGGCAGGAATCAAACCTGGGTCACAGCTTGGGAAGGCAAGGAAAGAACCACTGCATCAACCTGACTTTCTGTTGGAAGTCACACCTTTGCATGAGCGCTAGGCATGCGACGGAAATGCATTTTCTGCAATTGTGATGTCTATGGTCCTTTCCAACTCTCTCTCTGTACCCGTTGAGGGGGTACTTGTGAACGGAGACCATAAAACAAGGTATGTTGTCTTTGTTTTGCTAACATACCTGCTCATCAAATCCAGCTATTTTGACGTGATACTCCGGCAGGGGCTTGGTTTTACCACCGTACTGACCTGCATAGAGAAGTGATTTCAGTAAAAAACCTTCATGATTAATTCAATACCTACAACAAACATTAACACAGGTTACAAGGACATAATCAAATAATGCCATCACACCGACCTAAACCAGTTGGATTCTAAGTCTCATCCATTAGCACCTGTACTAAACTGTATTACAGTGTGCATCCCCATGTTAATGTATGTACCTCTGTCATTTCTGTTTTAGCCTCTGAAGAAGAACTTGCTAAGTTCGCAACGTCAGGCCACATTAATTTTTAGATTTATATATTTCAGGTCCACCCAGTCAGTAAGCAGTTTGCAGCAGTCTTACTTTTTTCATGTATTACATTGTATTACATTGTACTTCATTGTATCACATTGTATTACATTGTATTAAATTGTATTAAATTGTATTACATTGTATTACATTGTGTTTATTCACTAATGCATCTGTAAAACCACAGAGTACTCAAAAGGTTTGAGCTACACTTTGGGAACTACCTGTAGTTTGTCAATCTTGGGGAGCTAATATCGACTATCTACCTCAAACCATGTTATATTTGTATGATAATTATGATTCTTTAGCTCTGCTGGGAAGTAACTGAACCACGTTGAGTATTTTTTCCTACAAATAATAACGATTCACCCCTCACCTGGTATTTCTAACTCTCTATCATAGCTGAGTTGTTGAAAGTCACTTAACCATGTCGAGTATCTTTCTACAAATAATAACGATTCACCCCTCACCTGGTATTTCTAACTCCCTATCATAGCTGAGTTGTTGAAAGTCACTTAACCATGTCGAGTATTCTTTCCTACAAATAATAACGATTCACCCCTCACCTGGTATTTCTAACTCTCTATCATAGCTGAGTTGTTGGAAGTCGCTGAACCATGTCGAGTATTCTTTCCTACAAATAATAACGATTCACCCCTCACCTGGTATTTCTAACTCTCTATCATAGCTGAGTTGTTGGAAGTCACTTAACCATGTCGAGTATTCTTTCCTACAAATAATAACGATTCACCCCTCACCTGGTATTTCTAACTCTCTATCATAGCTGAGTTGTTGGAAGTCACTGAACCATATCGAGTATTCTTTCCTACAAATACTAATGATTCACTCCTCACCTGGTATTTCTAACTCTCTATCATAGCTGAGTTGTTGGAAGTCACTGAACCATGTTGAGTATTCTTTCCTACAAATAATAACGATTCACCCCTCACCTGGTATTTCTAACTCCCTATCATAGCTGAGTTGTTGGAAGTCACTTAACCATGTCGAGTATTCTTTCCTACAAATAATAACGATTCACCCCTCACCTGGTATTTCTAACTCTCTATCATAGCTGAGTTGTTGGAAGTCGCTGAACCATGTCGAGTATTCTTTCCTACAAATAATAACGATTCACCCCTCACCTGGTATTTCTAACTCTCTATCATAGCTGAGTTGTTGGAAGTCACTGAACCATGTCGAGTATTCTTTCCTACAAATACTAATGATTCACTCCTCACCTGGTATTTCTAACTCTCTATCATAGCTGAGTTGTTGGAAGTCACTGAACCATGTTGAGTATTCTTTCCTACAAATAATAACGATTCACACCTCACCTGGTATTTCTAACTCTCTAACATAGCTGAGTTGTTGGAAGTCACTGAACCATGTCGAGTATTCTTTCCTACAAATACTAATGATTCACACCTCACCTGGTATTTCTAACTCTCTATCATAGCTGAGTTGTTGGAAGTCACTGAACCATGTCGAGTATTCTTTCCTACAAATACTAATGATTCACACCTCACCTGGTATTTCTAACTTTCTATCATAGCTGAGTTGTTGGAAGTCACTGAACCATGTTGAGTATTCTTTCCTACAAATAATAACGATTCACACCTCACCTGGTATTTCTAACTTTCTATCATAGCTGAGTTGTTGGAAGTCACTGAACCATGTCGAGTATTCTTTCCTACAAATACTAATGATTCACTCCTCACCTGGTATTTCTAACTCTCTATCATAGCTGAGTTGTTGGAAGTCACTGAACCATGTTGAGTATTCTTTCCTACAAATAATAACGAGGATTCACCCCTCACCTGGTATTTCTAACTCTCTATCATAGCTGAGTTGTTGGAAGTCACTGAACCATGTCGAGTATTCTTTCCTACAAATAATAACAAGGATTCACCCCTCACCTGGTATTTTTAACTCTCTATCATAGCTGAGTTGTTGGAAGACACTGAACCATGTCGAGTATTCTTTCCCACAAATAATAACGATCACCCCTCACCTGGTATTTCTAACTCTCTATCATAGCTGAGTTGTTGGAAGTCGCTGAACCATGTCGTGTATTCTTTCAAGTTGCCTGGTGGATCCCTTCGCTTTGCATTCATCTCACTGTAAAGTTTGTTGTAATGCCCCCAAAATGTCTGCCAATGTTGGACAAGAAATTCAACCAGAGATACATTATCAACAATTGGGCATTCAGTTACTTTGAAGATATTTTCTGATTTCCTGACTCTTGTACAATTCAAAATAAACATGGTTGACATGGTTGGTGTCTAAGAATTATTCCCCCTCATTATTTTCTTTCCTGGGAATTTGGAGATTACATTTTACACTTTGCTTTATAAACATGGTTATTAAAATGTACACTAAAAGGCATGTAAGATCATTTGCATTTATCCCAAAAGTAACCTGACAATGATCAACAAAAAGCTTTTAACTTGGATTAAAGATCGTACTGGTACTAAACACCCCATGAAATTATTCCGTCTGGCTTGCTGTCATTTAGAAGAAGTCAAGAAATGTAGGTGATTTCCAACGATCAGTCGTTTGACTGATTTTTGGAGAAAAAGAGTTATATTGACGAAATCACGTTTTGTGATCCGAATGTTGTCTATCATTTATTTACTGTTTTCTCGAAAAATGTAATATCCACTGAACTGAAACTTCTACAGTTTAGGTTGATAACATTCTTGAATTGAATTGAATTGAATTGAATTGAATTGAAATGAATTCTTCTTTTGATTTTCAGTGGTGTTATTATTGGAAACGAACAAAATGCAAGAAAAGCAATTGATCCTTTATGCCTTTACGCCACAAACATAATCAAATAACCAAGAAATAATCAACTCCTCAGAACTGACCTTCCAGGGCATGTCCATGACCTTGGATCCATCTTTGCCAAACGTAGCTTCGAACTTTTTCTGCCAATCCTAAATCACAAAGAAGAAAACAAACCTCAAAACAAATTCCTGTACCTCGACGTAAAACATGTCTTTGTTTCATACCACAGAATCTTTGAAATCCATAACATTGGGGCTATTCAACACCCGATCTCTTTATAGGACCTGACCTCACACATGACCAATGACCTCACATACATGACCCATGACCTCACACAAATGACCCTGACCTCACTCAAATAACTCTTGACCTAATATACATGACCCTGACCTCACAAGCATGACCCCTGACCTCACAAACATGGACAAACTTCAATACCTGCGCGAAGCGTCGTCTGAAGTTCCCGAACCCAATACTCAGTGAGCTTGAACTGTCTTGTGATGACCCACTACCTCCGTCTCCAGTCGCCCGAGAGCCCCGGTGATCTATCAGATTGTTGTAAATCTCCTGGCAAGCTCTCCGGATCTTCGTCTTGTCCCTCTTGGCAACATTCAGCAGTGGTTTCATCACATCGTCCGCCCAGTCCTGAGAACAATCAGACAATGTACTTTAACAAATACAAAAAAAAAGATAGAGAAGGCTTCTTGCAAAACTGTTATCAAGAATTTTGATATAGATTTATCAAAAGCTTTTAATTGATATGTTCATGCAAACAGTGGCCTGAAAAGACTAAAACAGTTAAAAATTAACTTCAAAAATAAAAGTAATGAATTGTGCTTTTTATGGGAAAAAATGTAATGGCGTCACAAGAGGGAGGTTATAAGGTTAAATTCCCCCGTGGATTGTTGTCATCATTCGTAATGGTGTCGAGTCCCAAACATGCTTATGAGGGTAAAATGCTCTCCTGCCCAAGCCCATTCAAATTTGTGATAAAAAAAAGTGATGTTAAAATTATCTTTGGGCTTCAACCTTGAATACAAATTCTGGATTGTTGAGTTGTTCGAGAGCAGCGATGAAGTTTTCCACGAGGGGCACTGTCTCCAGGATGCCACCAATCTTCTTGGCGGCCGCAGCATTTTTCCTCCCAATGGCCGACTCTTCAAAGTTGAAACTCTCACTGCTGATCTTGAAGGGATAGCACAAGGCCTGTTGTGTGTAAGAAAGTAAATAATATGTTCATTAACCGTAACTCTCTAGGCATTTTTGCTAGGTTGTAACCTCAAATCCTCCAACTGCCTCCAAGTAAAAATTGCTTACAGCCTCAATCCCGCAAAATCCTCCGTTATTTCTTGAATGTGGTCTTTGGAGGGGCGACCACTGCCTCAATCCCGCAAAATCCTCCAGCAATCACTGTCAATTTGTTGAGGCAGAGGCAGTGACATCCTGGAGCACTACGGAGGATTCAAGCGTAATCCAGGCCTAAATTTATGCACGGCTGAGCATAAACTCAAGATCCACCATTAAAACAAAAGTTTAAAAAAAATTCCATTGCACGGTCACATTTTTAACGGCTGTCGACGAACCAGTCTATAGACATAGTAATCTGTATAACAGAAAAGCTTGCGTGTTCTCAGTTTTTGACCAACCTGGGGGTACTCATTGGCAATGTCAGTCAGGATTCCATGCACAGCAGGCCCCTCAGGCTTGTCAAGAAGTGCAACCATTTGACTGATCCAGCCAATGAACATCCAGCATGGTACATCCGACACCTGTCAATCAGATCACACAAGGGACATCGGGATTTGTAGGGTAGTATTCATAAAAAAAAAATTTCTTTTTGCTGTGTTCATGCGAGTCACTTGTGTTAACGGGGGTGCACCGACAAAAGTATGATCCGTGAGCATTAAATTGAGGTCTTGCCATGACTGATAGCCAGGCAAATAATTCCAATCCCAACTACAGCCCTTTTCACAACATGCAGGATTTTACACAGCTTACATAACACAGCACTGAAATTGATTAAGGCAAGGAACTTGGTCACAGTGTCCAAAAAGGTTGTGATCAATTGACCATTGTGTAGTGAGACATGATGGAATTTAAATGACACTCATAGGGGTTTAGGCCAAGAATAAGAAGTGCACAAATAAATATTTTCAAAAATTTACTGTGGTTTTGTAGTTATTTCAAAAATATTTCAACGGACACGTGTTTGGGGTATAATGTAAATCCTACCTCCTGAATCATGAGTTGCATGGCATCAGGGCATGCTTCAACCAGTTGTAGTAATCTAGGGAAGCGTTGCATAGCCTCCTGTGAGCTGTAATGCATAGCTTTCAGTGTGTAGCGCACCACGGTTTGGGAGTAAGTGTCTGTGGCTGGGAGGTAGGCGGCAGGTACTTCCTCTAATGAGTAGAAAGAAAAACAGTTTCAAATTTTAAGTGAACAAAGTTTTATGGACTAATTGTATGATAGCACTCTCAACATTAAACATACGAAACTTTGCTGTCTTTGATAAGCAATTTAAAGGGGCACTTTCAAGAAAATGCACTCATTTGGGCTGGAAACCGTATTTACCACAGAATGGCTATGGTAGGAAAGATTGTTAAAAAATTATAAACATGAATGTTTCCACAACTTTATCTTCACTGTTTTTAGTGTATCTTAGGGTACAATATTTGGAGCGCTAGTTCTCATTCCTGTCAAACTAATCTCTTTTTTTTTTAAACCTTCAAACGCATGTGCCAAAGGATCGCTGTGTATAATTCTGAAGCAAGAGTGGGACCTGATGTCTAACAGTGAATTGTCACATACATTTAATGCCGCACCAGTCTCTTGTTGACAGCTCTGCTCAAAATTCAACGCTTGATTTAAGTATAGACAAGGCCAAAACTGCTGCCGCGTCAGACGTAAACAAACAGGATTTTTCAACGTGTTTCTCTGTAAATTTAAGACAGTACCTTCGTTTCCTGTGACTTGGACTTCGACTTGGAATTTGAAAAAAGGTAAGAAGACAATCTAAAACATGAAATGTACATTAAATCTGGCCAAATATACACCTTTAAGTTTACTATTTAAGAGAGAATTGAAAATTGACGGCTTACCTGAGTCCTTCAGACGTAGCATCTTATCACAGAAACTGACCAGTGCCATGTAGGCTTCAGTCACGCTTTTCTCAGAGTGCGGTGTGATTGTCTCATCCTTGTCGGCAAGAGAGACTGCATGCTTCAGTTCACTGTGTACCTTGAGGTATAGACTGCTGCAAATCTGGAAAAGTTGCAAGAAGGGTCATGTGATTGAAGTCAGCAAATCCGTACAAAAACAAAACATGTTCCATCTGTTAGTTCCTGTGCCGCCTCAAATTCGCCCTGCCTTTTACTGGTTTTGTGGATTCATTTTAAGGGGTAATTCATGATGTGATGTTATACTATGAAATACATGGTATTAGACTGTGAAATTTCATTGGTTGAGAACTGCTCATACGAAATACTGCAAAAGTTAATGTACGACAACCTGCTGTATAGGTACTTCATTAACATTGCCTTTCATCATTCTCAATGACTTGTTAACTTTTGTATGTCCACGCTGCTTTGCACAACATGGGTGTTGAATAAGGTATGTGATGATGATAAACAACTGTTGTCTGCAGTGATATAGTCCATGGGGTTCTCTACGCACTCTGGGGCAATTGGTACCCTCTGCTTCACCACGGATGTCATCTGCAATTTGATAACCAGGTTGTAGATTATTACTCACCTGTTCAGGCCGTGTTGCATTTTTACTGACAAGAGCAAGCAGCTTATCCAGCTTGCCTGCATTTCTTACTGCGCTGAGAACATCCCCTCCTACACGGAAAATAAGAAAGTAAATAATAAGAAATAAATACTTTGGTTTAAGACTTTTCAATGAAATAGAATCTGTGAGGCTTGAGTAAGATTGTCTTCAGATGCTACAGTAACTATTTGATAAAATATGGAACATCATCAAGTAAAGTTGGAGCGAGTTCTATGTTTCACCATAGTTGGACGAACTTCACTTGAAAACAGGATAGTTGGCGGACCACAGGGCACGGTTGCATCACTGGTTACCAATAGCCTCGCGCATCATAAAGCACAACGGGGAGCCAGGAACAAGAAGTTTCATGATGCAATTTTGACCATCGTTTGATTAGAGATAATTGCAGGTTGCTATTAGTGCGCAGGATACGTTATGTCACCAATCAACCACTAGTCGACTGATGGTCCTTGCCAGATCTTGTGATGCGATCAAGCTGAATGAGTCTTTGTCAGGAATTTTCATTTGGAGATACAGGCCAAAATAGGGCCACTTCATCACATCACTTCATCACATCTCTTGGTGTTCCGACTTCCATGATTTTTGAACTAAAGATGGTATCAGCATGTGGTTTTCACAGCAGTAATGCTGAGATTGTGCTCTTTTCAAATCTGTAATAAAAAAAATTGACCAGGGTTGACAAACAACTCATGTAGCTTGATCGCATCACATATAAAAGTGAAGTTACTGACCTCCCTTCTGAATTGCTATGGCAACAAGGTCATAGGACTTGCTGGTCAGCGTATGATGATGTCTAGCAAGGCTGTAGTCTCCTGTCAAGGCTGGAGTACTGGATAACTTGGCTGTAGAACAAGCGCAAAGCATGATTGACACCATTCACTGAAATTCAACTCTATTTAGAAACAGATTAAAATGATGCAATTGACCAAATTTTTCAATAATTTTTAAGTAGAAATTATAAAATAACAAATTGTACTGCAACTTATCCAAGCGCGTTATTTATAGAAGTATGAGCTATGAAATTTGCAAAATTGCCCATATGAGAGTCTTTACAAAATTATATAGAGAATTTCCGACTGGATTCAACAATTATTATGGACATACCAAGTGGGTCAAAGGTCGTGAGTAGGGTCATGACCTGGTCCTTTGGCTCCAGTGTAAGTATCTTGAGTTGATTCATTTGTACATAGGAGTGTGTCCATTGGGGCCTCAGGTCCTCATGTGATGACAGACTACCATGGGTTGCCTTTAGGTGCTTCTGAGCAACGCTGAAGTTTCCCTAACCAAACACAAATAACAATATTGCGGTGGTTTTAGCACTAAAGTCTCCGAGCGCTTCATTATTAGCACCCCAGTTCATCAGGCCACAAGACCATTTTCCTGCTGCAGCTCGAGATGCAGTGCCATCTGGTATCTACCCACAACTTAAATCGAATTTACTATCAAATTATAATAGCTCAGATTAATCTTCTAACTGGGTTACTACTCTGTATTTCTTTTTTTCTGATATTATGTTTTTCTGTGTGTTATGTACAATTTAAAATTTATACGTTCAATTGTTTTTCATTTGTTTTTCATTAAATGTTTGTATTAATCCATGTTAAAGGGGATCCCTACTCGACAAGCTCCGCTTCTTGGGGATCCCCTTCCACCATCTCTAATTAGAAAATAATGCGCCCAAAGTGTATAAATATATTTTGTAAAACAAGCTCGAACTTTATATTACCCAAAACTACATGTATGTATTTATGCCTTGTCACTTAATGAAATGAGATGTGGTAAAAATAATAAAGAATGAATGAATGAATGAAAAAAAGGTAGTAAAGTGTCTTGCCCAAGAACACAATCACCATTTTCCCCGTCAGGGTTCAAACCCACATATTCATGGCATGAGCTGACCAATGTCACCACTGGACCATGGTGCTCCACAGGGATTTCCATATGTTTCATTTTAGCAAATAGATCTCTCCCAACTTTTAAATGTTCCTGTTTCTTTCATTATACTCCATGAGGATTATGGTATGAAGAGTATATTTCCAAAAAGTCATATATCCATTTGAAAATGTGACAAATTTGCATGGTTATGATACTTTAAGGAAAAAAAACAAGCTGTATCTAAATTGCATGTTTCGCATTATTGTATTCTTATATTATAATGTGGCCGTCAGAACTGACTTTGGGCAACAAGGAGAGGGTGAGATTCTAAAAGGTCACAAATGGCATTGATGGCATTTTGGAAATAAAGTCCTTATATTTAGGAACAAGAGTATCTTCCCAATAGCTATGAGACATAATGATGTGTTTATGTGCAGCTTTCTGCCTCCTCCCCCCACACATGTCTATTAATTAAAAACAGGTGCATTCCCAGCAGGTGTTCCCTGCCAGCTGCCAACAGTTTGTTCCTCATGTCAAAAACAGAGGCCTGACGTATCAATCCTAGCGTGAACTTTCTAAAAGCCTTTGTGCAAGATCATCAGTTGTTAGGAAATGAAGGAACATTTTAGACGTTAAAATAGTGAACTTTACAAAAAAAATTAACCAGTGTAAATTTTCTATCGTGGTTTCTTTAAGAAATAACAGCTTTACATATACCTGCTGGCAAGCACTGTCGGCCATCTTGAGCCCTAGCCACAGTCTCTCTTCAGCAATTCTCTTCTCAAATGTCGCTTCTTCTTCCCCTCCAGATTGCTGAGAGTCTGAGCGAATGAATCGACCAGCAAGCTTGTCCATGAAGAGGAACCTGAGGGGATGGAGAATGAATACTCACTTTTTTATTTTTATTTTATTTCTCATTTTAACTGGGTAGCCCATTCAGTGGAATCCACTGATCTCCCATGGGTCCAAGTAAAGAGAAGACAAAGTGAAGAAATTACAGTTTTAGAGGTGGGAGGAAAAGCCCAGAAGAGTATTCTGAGGAAAACCCACGGAATCAGGTAAGGACTGAAAACCCAATCCACATATTGGTCCAGGCAGCAATCAAACCCGGGTCACAGCGGTGGAAGGCGAGGAAAGTACTGCTACGCCAATCTGACTCCCCCATTCATAAACACCTGTTACAGTTTACCCATTCCTATTGGGTACCCGTTCCCTAATACACCAATGAATGGGCTCAATCCGGCCCATTGTGTTGACCAGATGCACGAAAAGACTTTAGTGAATAGACATTCTGAATCAATGGAATAGAGTTTTGTGAGCTCTGACTAGGACTAGTCTCAGACCAGCTTGACTAGTTTTGCCAGGTCGGATTATTACTGGAAATTTATAATCTGTGGCAGTGTTGTACAGTCGAGTCTCGTTAAAACAAACTCGTTTGGACCTAGCCAAATTGTTTGTTATATCAGAATTTTGTACTAAGAGGAACATCAGTCCCATTCATTGTGCACATAAATGCACAGTTGGGACCAAGGCTTTGTGTTTGCTATAACCAGAATTTTGTATTAACAGAGTTTGTACTAACGAGTCGACTGTACTCAAGTGAAAGTATGAGTTCTTTGTCATGAGTACAAGTATGAATATGAGTACTTTAATAATAATAATGTACGAGTACCAAAGTATGAGTATGAGTACCAAAAATCTTACAATACCAATACGAGTACTTTTCTAAAAGTAGGAGCAAATTTTAATGTGTCACGTATTTTCAATAATTTCTCCGCAATTTCAACAAGCGCACCGAACCCTGCCCGGGTGGCCCATATATTTACAAGTGTTGGGCAGTATCACAACAAGACAAGACAAGGGCTTTTTGCTGTCAAACTAGGCATTAAACAAATGCAGGAGCCTCCTAAACAGTAGAAAACTGCTTCTTTTCCAGCATGTAGCTCATAAATGCTCTTTTTAAAATTTGTACAGGTGAATATTTGCCATGAGTACGAGTATGAGTACTTTGCCATGAGTACGAGTATGAGTACTTTGCCATGAGTACGAGTATGAGTACTTTGCCATGAGTACGAGTATGAGTACTTTGCCATGAGTACGAGTATGAGTACTTTGTCATGAGTATGAGTACGAGTACTTTGTCATGAGTACGAGTATGAGTACTTTGTCATGAGTACGAGTATGAGTACTTTGTCATGAGTACGAGTAAGAGTACTTTGTCATGAGTACGAGTATGAGTACTTTGCCATGAGTACGAGTATGAGTACTTTGCCATGAGTACGAGTATGAGTACTTTGCCATGAGTACGAGTATGAGTACTTTGCCATGAGTACGAGTATGAGTACTTTGCCATGAGTACGAGTATGAGTACTTTGTCATGAGTACGAGTATGAGTACTTTGTCATGAGTACGAGTAAGAGTACTTTGTCATGAGTACGAGTATGAGTACTTTGCCATGAGTACGAGTATGAGTACTTTGCCATGAGTACGAGTATGAGTACTTTGCCATGAGTACGAGTATGAGTACTTTGCCATGAGTACGAGTACGAGTACTTTGCCATGAGTACGAGTATGAGTACTTTGTCATGAGTATGAGTACGAGTACTTTGTCATGAGTACGAGTATGAGTACTTTGTCATGAGTACGAGTAAGAGTACTTTGTCATGAGTACGAGTACGAGTACTTTGCCATGAGTACGAGTACGAGTACTTTGTCATGAATACGAGTACGAGTACTTTGTCATGAGTACGAGTAAGAGTACTTTGTCATGAATACGAGTACGACTGCAGGTACATTTTCATGTGTACGAGTACATGTAGGAGTGCTACAACGCTAATCTGTGAGCTCATATCATTTGATGATGTGTTTGTCATGAAGTGATTCAAAGAATTCCTACCTGTTGGAGACAACATCATCCCAAATGCTGACTGGATCTTTCTTGGCATCCAGACGGCAACTTGTCCAACGATCAAGGAGTGCTAGCGACTTCTGACAACCACTCGCTCCTTGCAAGTCTGATGATGAAAATAATCATCGCTCATTACCCCTTTCCTTACCACAGTTTGTTGACTTGGCTCGACCAAATACCACTTTTTTGTTGAATCAAGTGGATATCACAAGAACATAAAACATTGACAAGTTGAAAACTCACTATTTTTCCACCTAGATTTTTACTATCAACAACATGGTTTGCGTGTAAATTTTGTTCTTTGAACTTTACTTTTGCGTGTGATGTAGAATTTAAGGCTACATGCGCAAAACTAAGAAAGTAATGTGTCTTATTTGATCTGGTCCCATTTATCAAACTGTAAGCCATTTCACGTCCTAACCAAATGGCACTCCATACCTCAAAATGTTCATGGATACTTCTGAAGCAGTTTTCTCAAATGTGTGCAATGGTAATAAAATGAAGGGAAAAAAAACCCATTAGAACTATCCAATAATACTCTTTCAGCTGGTATATGGTATGCATAAGCAGCCAAATTCAATGATTTCCTAATAGTAAAAACTTAGGTTGAAAAGGTCAGTTTTCAAGTTGTGGTCCGTTATTCAACCTCTAGTGATCTGGAACTGGGGAGAGCAAAGTCATTGAACGTTGTGGTAAGGTACGGGTTAAACAGTCAAAAAGGATCCTCCCATCTTTTTGCAATAACACAGCATTCTTGAGAAGATGATATGCAATCACCTTGTTTGGCGGCAAGTTTGAGAAAGTCTTGTGTTTCGGTGAGTCGTTGGATACACTGCAGTTTAGCTGTGCGGCTTGATGTCATCAACGGACCAAGTCCAGACCAATCCTGAAAACAAAAAGTAATTTTCTCTAAAATACTTCAATTTGGTTTACTACATCGTCAAAAATCAAGGACACATATAAAACACTTGTAAACCTTCAGCACTCGCATTTTAGTACACTTTAGTTATACATATCTGGCACAAACCCCCAGGCTGATGGCCTAATAAGCATGTGAACCAGTGCGCGCACCACCTACCGTCCATGCACGGAGACCAAGCTTGAACTTACCTGTAGAAATGACTGTCTGCAGTTTGCCAAGTAGAACATCGCTCTGTCATAATCTTCTTGGATTGTGTAGAGACACGACAGTTCCTCACTGAAACGAGCCTGTACGGGACAGATATCAGGGCATTAAACAATCAAATGAAATGCTATGATTAAATCACGGATTCAGTCAAATTTCAATGTAAATGTGTGTTCTGGTTTGCAGGCGCATGATTCGTAATGTGGGCAGAGAGGGTGGGAGATTGGAAGAGAGGCTTTTTTGGAGGGGGATGTTGGGAGGACGGTGGGGGCGGGATGGGGAGGGGGCAGGGGGAAGGAATTTTGGGAGGGGGAATGAGTGAGGGGGTATGGGGGTTAGGGGGGTAGTCCACAGCCTATTCCAATAAACTAACATCCAACAATGTACCACTTACCTCAAGGAAGACTCGTTTGTCAGGATCAGACATAGACTCATCGATGAACTGAAGTAATGTTTCATCTTCACCTCCATCCATCAACTGCTTCAACATACTACGCATCATGTGGGGTAGATATTGCTCCTAACGAGACAGAAAAAAAGAAATAGAGTTGTGTCATGTACACTAAATATTTGAAGATTCGACACCACTATGTTATTATGATGATGAGAACAAAACACATATTGCTACGTGGATACACTACCTGGTAGAATGTATCGGACCACATCTTGCTGAGATTTGGAGGCGTGTTGTCATCAACGTTGACCGTGGAATAATGCTGAAGATCTGTCCACTGGGTCAGCTGGTTACAGCACTGTAATTGCACAACACAAACAAGAACGGAAGCAACATTGAAATCAACAACGGCAGATCAAGATGGAACCCTCCCTCTCTGGCTGGCTAAGTCAACAAAGCTACCCCAGCAGGACTGACTGGCTGTGACGGTTTATGTAACTTGATACAGCTATGCTTTGACTGTAGGTGATTGATAAGATAGCTTTACCTACCAGTAGCCTGCTTTGGTCCGTTGACTGAATTGGACTAGTCACAGTGTTTGCTTGAAATATGATCTGACTGTTTGTGACTAGCCTGAGCATAAAGGCATGACAGGGGAAGAGGATTAAATTTTTGACTGTCTGTGACAGTTAAGACAGCAGGAGGGTTTAAATTTAGGGGCAAACAAAAGGAACAGATAGGAGGCTGTTGTCAACCCCCCAGTGTTTGTTGTGAATCTGGAAGTTCTGCTGTTTATAATTACAATGGACCAGGAGAAAAGTTGAGAAAGACAAAGACAAACAAAGAATTGACACAGCGAATCCATTTTCGAAGTTTTGGAAAGATCTCGTTTAGATCTGCAAATTTAAGTGTGAAAGGTTTTGATTTTTTTTTAGAACACATGTCAGTCACAATGGACGAGAGATATTCAGCATTAAGTTGTATCATCCCTTTTGGAGAAGAGCATCCACTTAAACGAATGCTCTACTACGGTAAATCAACATCTTACATTGAGTCTGGACTCATCCCACAAATCCTCTTCGACTTGAGACACAGAGCCTTCATCCCAGTCCATATCAAAGGCCTGAAGGAGTAAAAGAAATAAAAGCTGTTAATATCATGACATATTACGCAAATATTGACTGCTTCGAGTGGTGTAGTAAAACTAGCCTCCTGAGGTGATCCATGAAGCATTCTGTTTTGAAAGACTCCGTGGATCATCGAGGGAGAGATGGTTTACTATAAGACAAGTTAAAGTAGTCAATATTTGTTTTGCAAAGCCTCAACCACAGATTCGGTTTGGTTTTGAGGGATAGTTTTTCAATTTATTAATTTATGAACTAAAATCCAATAAAAACATACTTGCACTTTTCCAAACTACCCCTTCTTAAATGTTTGAACCCAAATCTGTAGTGTGCAGAAATAATACATGCAATGCACACACCCATGTGTATGCACAAACAGACCTTTGGTTGCTGTGTTTAGTTGCAGGGTTCCAAGCAACTTATCAGAATTGGGAACATTCGAGGAAAGTTGTTCGAGGGAAGTTGGCCCTATTGCAGATAACCTTTTCCTCCAACATCCTAGATATTTATTAGGACGACCTCTTATATCAGTGATATAAGTTCCAGTCTATTTTACCCACCTGATTGTAAAGTTTGAGGGCAGCGGAGTAGTCGCCCCTAGCCTCGGCTTCTAACGCAGTCTTGGTGATTTCATGGGTACCGATACGGGAACTAAACACACCCTGAACCGCATCAAAGTCATCCAGGGCTTTGTACAATCTACAAACAAAAATCAAAGCAATGCTTGATGAAATTGCTGGCACAAAGAAAACTGAAGACAAAATGGGATATTTACTCTAGAATTCCTAAATACTTGGGACAGTTCCCCCATTCATATTGATTGAGAGACCATCACACGGGATTGGAGGGTTCAAACTGCCATTTATACACCGCTCAGTTTTATACGGTGATGTTTAAAACCAGTTTGAGACCCCGTGCTACACACAAGTGCATTGAGAAACATGACATGATCTCAATGTCAGAACACAGTGTACCATACAAATGGCCCGAACATGAAGTAACATGGTAGAAAAAAAAATCATTGAAAAGTTGTCAACTTGTCAATGTTTTTGACCAAAAAGGTATTTATGAATGATGTTCCAAACTGGTTACGAGCCTGGTGGCTGATTACAGCCCTCAGCTTTGACTCCGGCCATTATCAACAACTAAACCTCTAATTGGTTTTAAACCAGACATTTATAGCTGCTCCATTTCTATCCCATTATTCTATTGTGTTCCTTTCTCATCCACATTTCATACCTGGCTAGTTCAATCCAGGTGCTTATCTCCGGTGATTGCTTCTTGGAGACGTGTTTTGCTCTCTTAGAACTTTTCTCTTCTTGCCAAGTCTTCTGAATTAGGTTCTCCTCAAGAAGCCGAATTCCTGATAAAATAAAGTCATTTCAATTATACCATTTGATGCAATATAATTACAATGGGTATAAATTCATAAAGCCTAAAAACATCCATAGCTATTGACATTGCTAAACAATTGGCATTGTTTGCTAGAGTGGAATGCACCCCACTATTGACACTAAAGGTGCTAAACTATTAGAATATAATATCTGATGCAGGGTTAAAATTACCAACTTGGGGGTCAATTTTGAAATTAAGACCCCAACATTTTAAGATCAAGAAGTGGACAGCTACTTTGAGACATCCAGAATGAAGTTGAACTATTGGCGATTAGGGAACGCTCGTTGCCAGTAAAATACCATCTTCTGACCAATCATGTAATTACTCTTTGGACTATAAATTTTGGGGTTTATGTTTCAAAATGTTAAAATAAACAACTGCTCTGTCCTATATTGTTGAAGAAGTAGCTGGCTGACAAGCGGGCTAGTTGTATCCTGCTGCAGTTGGTGACCACAGACTCTGAGGCATTTAGGCCTTGAGGCGTATGACCTGATGGATCTTGCAACACTGGGCAGCTTGTCATTTGGACAAGTGTTGCATGTTGCTGGGTTCAGCAGGATTTCTAGCCAAAAATAACCTAGGGTTGGGGTTTAGGAGTGGAACCAAGCCTTCCTGCAGACTGTAATTAGTGATGCCAGAGTCAGGGTAACAGTCTATTATTACCTATATGCATCTGCTGGCTCATCAAACTCGCTGTGCTTACTGATGAAGGGTCAAGGGTCAAGAGGTTGCTATGGTAGTAACCAATCTCCTAGACAACCAAACAAAACAATTTTTAAAAAAAGATGAACAAACTCAAACACAAAATTCGAATAAGATATTTATAGGGAATATACAACATTTGCTTTTGCTGTATTTTAAAAAAATGGATGGATTTGGGGGTTAGTGTTTTATAGCAAATCTAGCAAATACGCATGCGACCCAGTACGCGCACGCAGTGTGTCTTGTCCACTAGGGTAATACAGCGCCCTCTCTAGGTTGTTCCTACACAGTGACCACAATGAATCGGCGACCTTCGTGAAAAGAATGCTAACCTGTATACAACTGATGAATGGAGGGAAGTATTGAGTAGACGTGGACAGCATTGTGTTGAGATGACGGTTGATGTCGGCTTTAGTTGCTTCTGCCTCCCTCTCTGTCTTGACTTCTTCAATCTCTGAGAATATTCCTCTGAATAAAGAGCTGAACAGGAGCCTTGCTAGCGTCGCGTCTCGCTGTCGATAGAAACAGGAAGAAATACTATTAGTCATCCCATGAGCGGGAGTGCAACGCTGAATAACGTAGTGTGTCTTAAACAGAATAACTCGTGAAATCAAACTGGGAATTACCATCTTGGTGAGTATGCTGCATAAACTTGCAAAGAGGGTCAAAACACAACACTTTGTACTGAACAGTTAATTAAGTACAAAGAAAAGACAAGTCAGGTGTGTTTACAAACACAAATGCCCCGCAACCGTGACTGTTTCCATGACATAACACTACTCTAACATCAACTTACATGTACCTTGGTCAAATGGAACGTTCATTGACAGCATTAGTGTCTTCTGTAAGTTTTATATGAATTAATCCCTAATCCCTATGATCTCAGAATAAATATAAGATTTCTATTGTTTTAGCCACTGTGACCTTGACCCTTGACCTTTCGACCCCCAATACGATAGGCTCCTTAGGATTGCCAAGGACAATCCACAAACCAAATTTGAAGTTCATATGTAACGTATATCTCAAGTTATCACGCTGACAAAATTTCTTTTGTTTTTGCCACTGTGACCTTGACCCTTGACCTTTTGGCCCCAAATGCAAAAGGTTTCTTAGGATTGCCAAGGACAATCCACAAACCAAATTTGAAGTTCATATGTTAAGTATTTCTCAAGTTATCACGCTGACAAAATTTCTTTTGTTTTAGTCACTGTGACCTTGACCCTTGACCTTTTGGCCCCTAATGCAAAAGGCTTCTTAGAATTGCCAAGGACAATCCACAAACCAAATTTGAAGTTCATATGTAAAGTATTTCTCAAGTTATCGCGCTGAAAATTTTTTTATTGTTTCAGCCACTGTGACCTTGACTCTTGACCTTTCGGCCCCAAATGCAAAAGGCTTCTTAGGATTACCAAGGACAATCCACAAACCAAATTTTGAAGTTCATATGTTAAGTATTTCTCAAGTTATCGCGCTGACAAAATTTCTATTGTTTCAGCCACTGTGACCTTGACCCTTGACCTTTCGGCCCCAAATGCAAAAGGCTTCTTAGGATTACCAAGGACAATCCACAAACCAAATTTGAAGTTCATACGTTAAGTATTTCTCAAGTTATCGCGCTGACAAGATTTGTCCGGACACACCCCCCACCCCACCCACCCCACCCCACCCCACCCCACCCCACCCCACCCCACCCCACCCCACCCCACCCCACCCCACCCCACCCACCCCACCCCACCCCACCCCACCCCACCCCACCCCACCCCACCCCACCCCACCCCACCCCACCCCACCCCACCCCACCCCACCCCACCCCACCCCACCCCACCCCACCCCACCCCACCCCACCCCACCCCACCCCACCCCACCCCACCCCACCCCACCCCACCCCACCCCACCCCACCCCACCCCACCCCACCCCACCCCACCCCACCCCACCCCACCCCACCCCACCCCACCCCACCCCACCCCACCCCACCCCACCCCACCCCACCCCACCCCACCCCACCCCACCCCACCCCACCCCACCCCACCCCACCCCACCCCACCCCACCCCACCCCACCCCACCCCACCCCACCCCACCCCACCCCACCCCACCCCACCCCACCCCACCCCACATTATTGAATTTATAATTATTTCTGCCGACGTTCTTATGGCTGTCTGTGATGCAGCTGTCTGTTTGTTTGTATCACTGTCTAGTTATCTCACCTGTGCGAGAGCTTGCAGTGGTGCGATCAAATCGGAATACTTAATCTGTATATCAGGCAGATCTCCCGCTCGGTAGCGCCTGTACATGGTGACCGTGCTGAACCTGCGCTCTCGTTGCTCATCAAGAATTTTCTAAAAAAACGTCAATTGCACATGAGAATCAAACTGGGCAATTCATTATGTGCTAAGCCTATCAAATTCAAGGAGACAACAAAACCTTTCACTTGAGTGGTGCGCCAGTCAGATGGAATACAGTAAAGTGCATTTTGTTGTTAAAAACTAAGAGATGTTTTTTTGGCTGTTTCTTTTTTTTTGGAGGGGGAGCTAAAAATTATATATTTTAGGTATCATTTTACACCTTGTTTTTACATGCAAAATACATGTACAAGTGTTATTGTGTTTTTTTTTGTTATGAAGACAGACGTGCAGGTTAATATTTTGTGCCCCCCCCCAAAAAAAAATTGGCAAAGATGGGCAGACGAACATAATGTAACCAGCCTTTTTTTTCCCTAGCATCTATCTAGTGTCTACTTTTGTTGTTGTCAACATTTATAGTCTAGTATGGTAGATACCTTGTAAAAATACCCATTGGTCATTTCACCCAAAGGAAACTACTGAATTATGAGAAAGACAATTTTTGGCCCGTCCTTTTTGTGGAATGTGAGTTAGCACATTTCCAAAGAATGCTATGCTCAAATGAGAAAACAAAACTAATTTTTGATCATCAGCGGAAGCCTTGAATATTGGGTATATTTATGTGAAAAACGAAAAAAATAGTCAAACCCCTATGAAGACCACAGCACACGTAATGTTTAAGGATGCAAAACAAGTGTAATGTGAGTCACAGTGGAATTGCCTACCTGTCTCATGAGCAAAATCAAGAACATCAGGATTGTGACGACAGACAGAGCAAACAGGTTCCTTGCAGAACACGTTACTCCCAAAAGGGATTTATTATTGCTAACCTAACCACGCAAACCTTTCGATCTTGTCCGATATCTAGATTGTATCTTACCTCCTTCATTTGTTTTCTCTCCATCGCTCGTCTTGCAAAGTAAGCTTGATTTGTAGAATGGTCCTTAAGAAATCGACGCTTCAATCGACTGATCTCCTTCTCTTCCCCACCTGATGAAACAAAACATATCCAAAAGGTTTACACCTGTTTTGTTCTCAAACTTACAAATGTATCAAATGCACAGATCAGCAATTTCAAACTTGCTCAGAATAATCTGCTTTGATGTGATTTGATTTTTTTCCGAACATCATTATTACAATAATGAACAATTAAAATTAACAGAATATAAGGCAAGCGATTAAATAAAGTAAACTTTACAATCGATACAAGTCTTCAATTATTTATCAGATGAAAATTATTTAACGATTAGGAATATACTCAAACTGCTTATTTAGTTTTACAGTTCTACACCTGTGTTTCTCAAAAAATTTGATCTGACATTATTTACTTTAACTCTTGTTCAAGTCAGACAATCCAAGTTAGACTATGGGTCCTTCCATAAATTTGGGGTCCAAACCCTTGACTTTGTGTGTCCCTTTTACACCTGACCTTGACCCGAGTAATTTTCCAAGCAAGTATTATGAAAATTGACTTGCAACTATTTCTTATTTGTTTGGCAGATACTTTGCCTTACACAATCACTCTGGGAGATAGAAGGCATCAAAGAATGTGTACTGAATTTACAAAATCTTATATCAGATGTAACAGAGAATCACAAACATGAAACTCAAGTTTCCAAATTGATCTGATTTTATTGACCTTGTTTGGAGTCCGTTGCATCTGTTCCTCTCTGTTGATTGCCTTGTAATTTCTCCTTCCCGAATCCTGCATCCGTGGCTTTCTTATTTGCTGCCCGTCTGCCTCGCCCCGTCTTCTTACTCACGCCAAGAGTAAACAGCAGAGATGACTGATCAGATGCAGAGCTGGACGAGTAATCAGCAAAGGTGTCTTGACTACCGGTCAGCCAGTTGTAGGCATTCTTGCGACTAGCGACAACATCTGAATGGAAACAGAAAGTAGTAAGTGTCCCACCAATGCAAATATCACATATCCCTAACTCCCTAGGCATTTTTGCTAGGATGCAACCTCAATCCTGCAAAATCCTCAAACTGCCTCCAATTGCATACAGCCTCAATTCTCCAAGACCAGACCATGGCGCTTTAGCGACAACTATAAAAACCGCATGCATGAGATGATCATGCTACAATTTTTCAGTCACCGACTATCGCGTTACCGACATTAAATCATTCATTTATTCATTCAACGTGGTTTATTAACAAATCACGAATAGCAGCCACAGCTGAATTGCACGTTATTTACATAAGGCCAAAAAAAAAAAGTCTCCGGTTTCTGGTATGGAGCTTGCCCAAAAAGTGGTGCGGCGACGCGGCTTTTTTTTTTTTTTTTACCCGACTTTTTTGCTCCAAATGTCGGCTGATGACTGCAAATGGTGCCCGACTAAACTTAGTACAAATAGGCCTATATGGGATTGGGAGTCCAGAGAGGCCACATAAAGCTTATTCCTGACCATAACTCCATCTAAAAACACGTTAAAAATGTGCAGCAGCAGGATTCCAGTCAAACCAGTGAGTTTGGCGGTTTTGAGACATCATCTTTCATTGAAAAAAAACTTTTTCATTTTGCCGACGCGCATGGCTACAGCGACGCGCGCGCATACCAGAAACCGGAGACTTTTTTTTTTGGCCTAACGTACATTTTTAAAAGGTAATCGGCCTACCATGTTTGTATATAGTAAAAATATGACATTAAATCTTAGAATAGTAGAAAAAGTTTAAACATTGTGCATACAAATCTGACTAAGGAAGATTGTCTATTTAAAGAAATACATAACATTGTACAGGATGTGTTGCGGACAATTTATCTTACTTTGAAAAGGGAGCATTTGAAAATCAGCCTTCTGAAAGAGTGTCAACTGTTAAGACATTGAACAAGACTTCTGTGGTGAGTTATATCTCAAACCTACCAAGGTCTTGTGTTGCAATGAATTGATGACCTTCCTGTGTCGCCCGTATTTCTCCTCGACTCAGACTCGCATCAGACGGACTCTGTGACGGAGATCCACCTTGACTTGACTGCGTCTCAACAAACATTGGTGTGGAGATTGCCAGATGACGCTGCTTCCACGAATGATCTATTGGCATTTCCTATACACAACAATTTTCAAAAACATACATTTCAGTTTCTGTTGCATTTACCTTAATGTAGAATTATATTTTAAATTTTATCTCACCTTGTTTACTGATCCTTATTGTTTTCAATTAAATATTTCATTTTTTTTCTAAAAATTATTATAATGTACTCGGTCAGTTCCCTTTGAGGTTTATTTGAAAATTAATATGATCCCCGATTGCGGTTTCCCAGATTTGCAGCATTGCTAATGTTGCTGGCTTTGTGACTTTGGGCGTGGTCCCTGGCTACATGGCATATACTGGTTTATGGCTTCTGACTAGCACCCCCTGAGTAAAGACAGTGACAAAACGGCAAAACTGCCAACATAGGGCTGGATAGCTCGGTTGGTAGAGCACTGGAATGGCAATCCGGAGGTTGCAGGTTCAAACCCCATCCCAGTCAATTTCTTTAAACTTTAAACAATAACGCATGTCCAATATTGCTGGCTGAATATTTCTGAAGAAAGTCAGTTTCAAACTTTGGTTTAAACTTTGGCCAATTTGAACCCGGCCAACCGACCCCACCAAGCCTGCACTAGTTAGCAGGAGGTCGTGGGTTCGAATCCCACCAGAGTAAGCTTGTGATTTTTTTCTCGCAAGCCCTTGGACAATACTGAGTATACAGTGTTTCTAAAATATGCTGGTGAAAGGCAAAACAGAATATATACGGTACATTTCCCCAACACAAATCTAGCTTTTGTCCTGCTTTTAAATGAAAACCCTGTGATTTTCATCAGCTGCCAATATGTGACCTGATTCAAACCTGAAATTTGCATTCTGACAGCGGATGTTCAAAGATTTCTCTCTTGTAGTCAGGACTCTTGGAGGTCATCTCTAGTAACAAGCTGGTTGCATAGCTCAGATACTGGTGCTCCGTCCCAGCCGAATACATGCATTCCAGCATGGCAACCAGCCGCTCAAGGGTAGAGGTGGGGAGTCGGGTTTCATGACTCCAAAAATTGCTGACCCTTAACCTGTGAATAAATTTTTTAAATTATGCGTAACGCAAAGAGAAATGTAAAAAAAGGGTCATGTTTAAAATTTCAAACGCGACACAGAAGTATCCAAAAAAACAGAATATGTGGAAAACAAAAGGTTTTTGTCTATGTTTCAAATTGTCAAAGCATTGGGGAAATAGTTGTCTTAATATCAAAAGTAAATCAAAAAATTGGAAATTGTAAACCCAAATCTGGAGTTGGCTTTAACAGGTACTGAAGGGAGTGGACGGATAATTCACATCTCATCCAGTCAAAACCAGTTTTACACATGCATGATTCAGACCGGCTTGGGGAATGGACGCTGATAATGGCCTGAGCCAAAGTCAAAACAAGTCAAAAAGTATATATTTGCAACGATTTTGTTCAACAATTTTACTTCATGCTTTTTTACCCCCCCCCCCCCCCACAAGCTGTGTTATGGTATATGCCTCTCGAGAGTAGTACTAAAAATCCTTATCTGGAGTTTGACAAGCGCGTGGCGTGTACTCGTGATGTAGCGCCGAACTTGAAGGTGCCGCTGTAGTCTGAATTTAAGACTCTACGAAATACGGACTCATTGGTAGTATTGCCCTTAAGGTGAAGATTGTGAACGTTCGACCAATAAAAGGGTAAACTGGGCCAGATTTCATAGGAGTCCAAAGTTCACGTTCACTGGAAATCTGTTTAAAACCAGCCAGCAGATGTTTTATCAATCGTTTGCAACCACCCATGTGACGGGCTCTCGACCAATAGGAATGGGTAAACTGTCTTTATGGGTAGGTATTTATGAATCTTGGATAAAGCCATGGGGAAACATTACAGAAACATCACTGGAACACTGCTTTGGTGTAAAAATGGAAAATATTTTCGAATTGGGAAAAAAAGAAGATATTCAATGTTGCAAATACTTTCCTTCAGTTCAGTATTCAATCAAAAGTGTGAAAGACTTCATAGAAACACAATTCATGTTCTGTTCTGCAGACAAACCTATGAGTGGCTTCTTCGTCAGAGAGTCCCTGTAGTAATGTATCCTTGGCCATGCTCAGTATGTCATCAGCACCATCCTCTGCACGGGATTCCTCATCTCTGTCAAAAGATGAGACAAATAATCCAACAAAATCCCATTGGCATCATACAAACAGATTAAAAATGCTATCCCCATGCTATTTTCGAGTTTCACTCCAAAAAAAGTATTTTGTTAAAAAATTGATATACTTCTCAATATTAAGGTTTTGGGCCTTCACCAACGCATGCCTTGCTATTTTTCTAGCAACACAAATGTTACTCACTTTTAAATGAGATGTTCAGCCAACAAATCCACATATAGATTTAGTTCTTAAATATTTACTTTACATATTTCAGAGTATTTGTGGCCCAACAATAATCCAGGCATATTTTTGTTTGTGCGTTATGGGTGCAAGCGCAACCCATGATAAAAACATATTTTCAAAGCAATGAAAACGCTAAAACAGAAAAGCAGCTTCACCCGTTCACAGAAAACATAACAGAACAGGTTGAAGAGCACTGGAAAAGCAACTTTAATGCACCAAAAAAATGTATGCTCAACTGAAAAAGTTCAAAAATACAACTGTAGCAAATGCACTTCATTTGTGGGTCATTCTTTTAATTTAGGGTCCAAAATGTGATATATTTCGTGTCCTTGCTACCTTGGTACTTTATAATTCACCATTCAAGTATCATGAAGAATGACTTGAAAATATTTTTCAAGTATTTTGAAATTCATTCAATCACTCTTGGAGGGCGACTACATTAAGGAGTGCATCAGGCAAAAAGTGGACCCCAAACTTACAGAATGGCCCATTTTCCTTGCAATTAATACAATTTTTGGAGACTACGGACTCAATAACTACAAAGGGGGAGTTGGGGCAGACCACTAGAAGGGACATCTGAACACAATGCGATGACACCTGATGCTTGCACAAAGATACCTTGAATTTGTGAATAGCAAAATAATAATGTAAAGCACTTTGATCTGTGTTAAAAGCACTACATTAGAACCCGTTATTATTATTATTATTATTATTCAGTCTATACATGTAATAAGCTGTGCATACTTAGGCTCCTACAAAGCGCCCTCTATCGTCTATTCTTCCGAGGCCATAGAGCACAACAAAAATTGCATACAAATAATTTAAAGAAAAAACACCATAGGCTTGCAACACAAACATGAAGCATGCCCACAACCACAGCTACTTTATAAATTGATTTTCATGCTTACAGAAATTGAATACATACCTGGATCTAAAATCCATATTCAGCCCATAAAGGTAAGATAAATAAAACATATCATCATTTTCATCTACTGTCAAGTTCTGATGTTGGTTTAGATGGATGAAACCAATCACCAAAAGGCAAACAAAACATACCAAATATAACAGTGAACGGAAAGAAGTCATTAAAAAAAACCAGAAGAAAACTACGCTCATAACTTTTCACCGATGAGGCTTGACCTCTTCCACTTCTGAGGGGAGGTGACTTCCTAATTGGTCCTCTTCGTGGGTGATCAACACAAGAACAAACCAATACACCTTTTGCACATAGTACAGTGGTGATCAAACGCTATAGTTATAAACATGGGTTTTTTTTACAAATAATCAAAATTGTTGTGCTGTATTTTTAATCCAGCATTTTTCCATTTCACTGTGATGTCAATAAGCCCTTGCGACCAACCCACAAAATATACTGTGCAGCCCAAAAAACATCTAAAATCCACTGTTTCCTATCAGTGGAATCTGACGACCGGAATAAGAAGCTTTTACTGCAGCGGTGTCATGCTCACGCGCATACTATATGCGTTCTCAAAGATGAGACGCACGCGCATTTTGGTACTCCTTTTGGTGGAAGGAGCCCAGAGTGCGTGTGTGCTACCTGGTGCCACCGCAGAAAATGGCTGCCGTCGGACTCGTCTATATGTACATATAAGTGTGTCAATACATTGTATTTGAGTGTCATAATGGAAAAGACCTCTGTTAATCTGGAGGACTGCAACTGCAATACCTATTCAAAATGTTGCTGAATTACAAATGTTGTTTAAAAAAAAAATAGGAATAGAGTGTGGCCGCTACAGCCCTGTGCCCATGTGCTTTGGCATCCACTGCAGGGTATTAGTGATGGCACTGCAATGAACACTATTCTTACTTTGACTTCAAATTCACGTCACTGTGATCTGATATAAAGTACAAAGTAAAACTTCACCTGAAGTTGTCGTAGATCCACATGAGTATGTCGTACATGACCTCTCTGCAAGCCGGGCTTGGAAGGTTGAATACCGCCCTCACAGGTGGGAGGAGGTACAGGATTTCAGATGGTTTCAGATTGGGTAGCATGGCATTAACAAGCTTCAGAGAAACTAGCTGGGTACCTTCATCCCTGGGAATATGTAAATATATGCAAATAAGGGTCAAAGTCTGTTTACTAGTAGGAAACGGTACAGGATTTCAGATGGTTTCAGACTGGGTAGCATGGCATTAACAAGCTTCAGAGAAACCAGCTGGGTACCTTCATCCCTGGGAATATGTAAATATATGCAAATAAGGGTCAAAGTCTGTTTACTAGTAGGAAATGGTACAGGATTTCAGATGGTTTCAGATTGGGTAGCATGGCATTAACAAGTTTAAGAGAAACCAGCTGGGTACCACTCATGCCAGGCGACACTGCAGCTCCAACAGTTGCCTATCAACGTAAAGAGTATTGGTCAATTTCACAAATTGTCTTTGTTCCTTGTACAGGTAGAAACCAATGGTTGTATTCCCATATTAGGCTGCAGTGGCGGCATCTCAGTGTAGATTTTCGGCCATTCTTGCAGCCATTTAAGGTAACTACCCTTATCTTAGTAGCCTTGACGTGATTGTGTCCCAAGTCACCCTCACAAGAAATACAGACAGAATATGCAGGGACCAAACAAAAATGAAAAGAATCTACAGGGCAAGACCTGGATGAGATCGAAGAGCATGAACTTGGGAGTGACGGCTGAGAGTGTGAGAATGAGGAAGACGGCGATGCGGTTGATATGGAAGTTGAAGTTGAAGTTGAAGACAAGGTACACACCGCTAATAAAATTGACACAGCTGTGAATCTGTTCCCAGAGTTTCACTGAATATATTAGCGTCAAAAAAAGACGAGACCTCCACTGCCTTCAACGGCTCGTTGTACTCAGAAAACTTCAAGAAAACCAAATCGCGAAACCACTACTCCAAACTTTATCTGTACTCATCTGACAAAACGAAGTTGAAGAAATGTTCATTTTTTCCAATGCACGCTGATATGGTTCAACTGCCTTGTCGTCTGCTTCGAGTTGACTTAAAAATGCTATGAAATTAAGTTTCACAACCTTTTCCTTGGGCATCCCGACCAGAAAACGTATCTATTAAACACTTTGGCATATATATTGTAAACAAATGACAAAAACAATTTGAACAATAATTTTGAAGAACGAGACGAGCAACAGCAGGAAAAAAGGAGGATGCGCATGTGCACGCGTGATGCAACGTGTAATTTTAGCTGGTGTTCTATATGTGTGGTAATTCTAGTTAAAAACAACAGCGAGCCAGTTACGCTTGATGGTTGAACATAAAAGCTGGTGTTCTGCTTTACGTGAATATGCAATTATTTCAAGTGTACCAGTGAACTTTCTATCGTTATTGTGCATGCTGAATTCTGCAGCAGTGCAGCGGTGCTACATGACATATGGTGCGTGACCGATCGTCTTATTTCTTGCTCCATATGGTCCAACTGTAGCAAATTTGCACAGTAAATGCTTGCCGTGATTTCAGAAAACCATGTTTGTTTTCACCGTCACGTCAGGATTAAACCAGCTTAAACAATGCCTCAGCCATATGACCCAGCAAAATCTATGGCCTAATAATGAGACATTTGCAATAGTTTCAGGAGGATATGAGGTCAAGTCCGAATCCATCTGAGCTCCACAAAGGCACAAACTAAGGGCAAAACCCCAAAATGTAAACCTGGTGATATTACTTCAGAAAACCATCTCAATTCAATTTGCTCTTAGCCACTATATTAATGTAAGCCATTATTTGAAGGTTTGCATGGTGAAGATAGCAATAAGAGTGAGGTTTCGGTTGCACCACATGACAATTTGTGGTCTGTGGGTAATTCTGCAGGTTGTGGGTTCCAGTCCAGCCTGGGGTTATGGTGTGTGTGCCCTTGGGCAAGGCACTTTGTCACTCATTGCTTCTCTCCACCCAGGAGTAGATGGGTACCTGTGAGGGCAGTGTTGGTGACTGTGAGAGGCTGACCGTGACTGTAACTGTGAGAGGAGAGCACTGATATGGCTGCCTACTTGCCGTGTATGCTCCCAACAAGCAGTGTCGAGCTGTATACTCCCCAGGGAGTTGAGAAGGTTTCAGGAGTGCTTGCCCATTGAAACAGAGAAAAAAAATAGTTGTAAAGCGCTATGATACCTTGTTGCGGCGTAAAAGGGCTATAGAGCACCCAAGTGTGACGTCATTTAAAACCAGAAAATGTGGTGCAAATGAATGCAGTACGCGCGCGTGTTGGTTCACGGGCTGAATCTCGCACTAATGTCTTTTACACACATTTTGTGCGCATGATGTATTTATTCACTTTGGAACTCCATACATAAATGCCTGCTTTTGTTACTACTATTAGTATTACCTCTCTTGTGAGCTTCTGAGGTTCTGAAAAAATGGGGGGGGGGGGAATCCGGAGACCCTTCACTGTTGGAATCCCTCAGTCTCTTGACGACAGGCAGAATATACTGTCTAAAACGTAGAGTTTCCCCAGTTCTTTTCAGACCCTCACAAACTCATAATTTTAGAGAGTTGTTACATGGTGCAAACATAACTTAACTGTACATTTTATCCACTTCAGTTTTGTTTTACCCTTACCTGTGAGTGAGTAACTCTACGATGCCTTTACTCTTCATTTCCAGGAAGACGTTGGGAATTGTGTTGACTCGGCTCACAATGACTTCCATACAGAGAGTCTTGGGCTGGCCATACAATGAAGGCAACATGAACAACAGCTTGTTGATAAAACTGAAACCAAAATAATCAGGTTCAAGGTTCAATGATTGAGTAGTCTCTATACCGCCCCAAACCGCCCTGCCTGTTAATCCTTGGACCACTCAAAACTGCCCCAATACTGTATGGTTTCATGGATTCATCAGGGAACAATACAATGTAATACAATGTTATACAATGTAATACAATGTTATACAATGTAATACCATGTAATACCATGAGGTGCTAATGGCTTAATAACACCCAGTATTTATGAGGATTGCAGATATGTCATTCTTTACATTTAGGGTCCAAAGTGTGACATTTTTCCTATCCCTGTTACCTTGGTACCGGTTGTAATTTGTCATTGAAGTATCATTACAAATTACTTCAAAAAAATTGTATTTGTTGGGTAGGTAGTTTGATACTCATAATCACTCTTGGAGGACGACTGCATTAAGGAGTGCATCAGAATTATACAATCATAGATGTCAGATGTAACAGGGACAGGGAAAAAGTGGACCCCAAAATTATAGAATGACCCGAATATTCCTGATATACACTGTATTTCCAGAATCGGAGGATTTGAATTGAAAGATTTTCATCCGTTCTAAAACAGAATAAAGAGAATGAAATTAGACTTGAACAAGTGCACAGACAAAATCAAATATCCCCATCAATTTGATCTGTCCTAGTAGTCCAGGAGCCAGGGGTCATTGATTTACCGGAAATGACCACGTGTTTGGTGGGTATTTTCTGGAAAGGATACACCTTGGGGTATTCAAATTGGTTAGTCTTACGATTACCTGGCAGTGGACATAGATACACCAGGAGCAGATAAGTGACGTCACACAAGGAGATGAAAAATGAGGCCGATGCGCAGCATTGAGAAGAACATGAGCCATGTTAAAGAATTATTTCTTTTTCAATGAGTTGACAGTAAAATGAAGAGTTTTAAATATGCGGAGAAGAGGATTTTTGCGAATGAATTTCAGGGGAATTTGTGACTATACCTGTCGGCAAACTCTGGATAGTGCAAATGTAACCTGTGCATGCAGGTCACAAACACATCTGGCTTGGCGGCACTGATTTGGGACAACTCCGAGGAAACGGTGGAATGCAAGAACCCATCTGTCACCTGTAAAGGGGGGTTTAAACAAGAACAATTGTTGACATATTTCTATAATAAATCAGGCAATCAAACCCCACACAAATATCAAGGGAAACAAGAAGAGAAGTGTTTACATGTTCAAATTTCAGACTTCATTTGGCTTAATCAGTTCGCGCCGGATGATGTGTATACACACAAAGGTTTTGCAGTATTCGGCACAGATGACGGATAAACACGCAGGAAGTGAGGCCGGAAATATACGTCAGCGACCCGCTCACAGCGAGCGAGGCTGGAAATACGAGTGTGCTGGCTTCAACCCGCCTGGCATGAAGTCAAGTGAAAATTAATCCCGCACCTCGTTCCGTTCTTGTCAAAATAATCCTGGTGCGAACTGGTTAAGATCAGCCACGCCACTGCGTAAAGTTTCATGAAATTGGTCGCTGTTCTTACCTTATCAACTTCAGCTTTCTGCTTCATGGCCATGCCAATCACCTCAGCAGCAGCTGCATGCACCATCTTGTAACGATTCTTGAGATTGGAGGACAGAGCAGCATAAAACCTGAGAGTTGGAAACATCAAAGGATGCTCCTTCTTCATTTTCTTTTTGTGTTTGAAGCAACAAAATTGCCCATAAAAAGTCCGAAGTAGGGTGCATAACAGCTTACTTGTTAAGTTTCAGCTCAGAGCTGGCACAGTTTTAAGAAAACATTACTGGATTCCGGTGCTAACACATGCAACAAATAATGTGTGCCCACAGGCACCCTTTACTAACGGCAGCGAAGCAATTCATTAGGGTAATGGTGTACGTCACAATAAAACAGTGACTACTGACATCATGTAATTCGTATTGCTTTCACATTCGCGTGGAGTATGATCCGGTCTTTAGACATTCTGGCAACACCACTGATACCTACCTGTCTTCATCAACGTCAGAATCCTTGTTGATAGGATGAAGACCATTAGCCAGGACCAAACCAAGCAGCTGGATGCCGGTAGAACTGTCCTTCATATCAGGGCCACGATTGGCGAGAGAGCGGTAGATGACGCTGAAAATGGTGGGAGAAAAAAGAGCACACATTATGGGGCTGAGTGCGGAAAAACAAAGAGGAAAGTAAAGAAATCCCTTTCTGGAAACATTTACTGTCGTTACTTCCTCAATTCAAACTAAAAGGCAGTTGGTCACCAATTAAGTAGTTGCCAACCCCTTTTAAAGACAATTCTGTTAGCAATTACTGGGCTGCTTCAATTCCTGAAGGCCATCACAAGAACAGTTTGTATAACTGTGTCTGCTGTTTACACATGACTAAAGGGGACTACATTGTGTGAAATGCCAAAGCGAGCTTTGGAGCGTCCTAGCAATGGTGGAAAAACCAGCCCAGTAATCACAAAAAGTGGGCAACTCGGATTGGTCCATAGACTGCGTGCATGAACAGTACATGATGACTTCTGAAAACCCTAGCTGGAGGGACGTGCCTACTGCACATACTGGTTCGCAGGCGTATGGCACGAAGTACACATCTAATTTTATCCTGTGCACAAATATATGGTGTCTTCACATGAGTGTCAGGGCCCAATTTCATAGCACTGCTCAGCAGTTAGCAGAAAAGTTGCGCTTATTATAGCAGAAAATCATGCTGCTGCTTAAGCACTATATCATGCCGTAAATATAAACGGTTGCGCATTCATGGATATGTCTATTGTTACGTCACTGATTTATGCAAAGTTTTCTTCTGAGGTTAAGCGAACCTTTGATGTGCTTACTGCTTAACGGACCCTATGATATAGATAGAGGCTTGGTAAGCACAAAGTCGGCTATTTAGCAGCGCTATGAAATTGGGCTGTGGTAGGACAGGCAATGCGTTTGAATCTCTCTCCCAGTGGTCTCCCCCAACTCTCCCTTTGTACCCGTTGAGGGGGTACTTGTGCACGGAGTCCATATGTTTTAAGTTACTGAAATATTCAAAGTGTTAAACAGTTTATTACAAATAGGATGCCAGAAAATTCTATCTATTGAAATCACAGTGTCATGATCATGTATCTTCATAGGGAAAAATGATAAATCATAAAGCAATTATCGTGTCAGAAATATAGAAGTGAAATTTCTGCAGGGGGAAGAACAGATTAATATGAAAGCAGAATTACAGCAGAAAAAAACATGTTTTTACCTTGTAGGTACAGCGATGATTTCTCTCCAACATTCAACAAGAGTCTTGATCATCTCCAGATTGTTCCGTAAGACTTGTCGGTTGCTATGGTGACTGAAGTGCATGAGAAACTCCAGCAACTTGTTAGCCAAGCGTTTGTCCTGTACCGACATTAATAAAACCAAAAGGAGGGACTGCGTGAACAATGGCCGTTTAAAAAAACAATAGGTATTCTCACACTATCCTCTTCACTACCCATGTTGAAACCAACACTGCTCCACCGTAAGTGGGTAGGCAAGGCATCACGGTTCACACTTACAGTGTGTTGTACACTGGTCGGTTGTCAATTTGGGATTTTCTACCCGGGTGGAGCCTCTCAACCCCGGTCCCGGCCAGGGTGCGAATCTTTTTTTCCCCAAACGGCATATCTAATTCCTTGTTCTTCACAACACAAACCAAAGATAGACTTTCAAATTAGGTTTTGCCCTTTTGTCCTGCTTTCTAGTGCCTATCTCATAAAAGATAGATTTGACGTCTTGTGAGAAATGTTTCTTTCCTCACTTTAGTTATCAAAAGATAATGAGAAGAAGTGAAACGCTCACAGACATACAAACTCGGATCACCTGATTAGAAGTCAGGACTACTTCCAACCAGTCCACGAATCAGCTGCTAATGGTCGGTGATTTAAACACCATTATTCCTTGTTATATAACTTCTTCTCTAAAGCCCTAGACATATCATGAATATGTATAACACAGAGAGAGCGCCCTCTTCTGATATTGTCCGATCTCATTTGGGAAAACAATGGCGGCCAGGGTTGGATTTTACCCACGTTGAGCGCCGGACCCATGTAGAAACCAAGTTGGAGTCTCACTGGTGCTACTGGTGATCTCAAAATCCATGATCCAACACCGAGATTCTGGATAGTGTGAAACGCACTAATGGGGCAGAGGTAATTCCACATCGGTGATTGCCTATCCTAATGGTGACATGGCTTCAACTCACCCACTTTCGTTATGTAAAATTCTTTAACAGTAACCAGATTTGTTTTACAAGATTTTGGTTACCTCTGGTATGGCCACAGTTGCCCAGCCGAGTAGAACCACTACAATATCCACCACCATGTAATGTATTCCTTCCCCTCCTGAGTTTCCTGTGATCAGCAGCTGAATTAATCCACTCAACCAGAACTTGGCATAGGGCTGAAACACCTGCAGCGAAGTTGAACAGAGATTCATAAATACGTAGGACAGTATACCTATTCCTATTGGTCGACAGCCTATCACATGGGTGGTATTAAACTGCCATTTAAACACAGCCTAGGGTCTTAAACAGCGATGTTTAAAACTGGTCATGATACCCGCATTCCGCAACACATGTGCGCAGCACACATCATGCACCCGCTACAACCGAGTGCTTCAGAACCACTGATAAGATTTCCAAACAAGGAGATTCTGAGCACACTGCATAGGCCGCACACATCATAAGAATGACTCGGAAAATTGAGTGAAATGGTAAAACAAAATCCTTGGACGTTGGTAAACTTTTATGGTTTCGACCAAAAAGGTATTGCTATGCCAAGTTTCATAAGTTTATTACGCAGCTGCGCAACAAATTTGTTGCGTAAATGTATACACATGGCGTAAGTAATGCAGTGTTTCAGGAAATCAGGTGTAGTACTCTCAGGTAGTGTGTCCTGGGTTCAATTCCAACACGAGTTGCACATATTGAATCAAACATCACCATTATGGATTGATGGTTACAAAGAAAGGAGTTGAGGGAGACCACTGGCTTTTCCGACAGCGCCTAAGGCTCATGTGGACATTCAGAACAAAATCAATCATGCGTAAAGTGCAAAACGCGCGCAAACCTGTACGCACACGCAGTGTGGCCCTCCTACTGGAGCCTCTTACAAAGCGCCCTCTACTGTTCACTCACCGAGTCCCTTACCTCATTGTTGTTGATGATGAGTCTGGCAATAAACAGCTTAATGTTGACATGAGTGGATTGACTGGTCAGTTTCTTACCTCGTTGTTGTTGATGATCAGTCTGGCAATAAACAGCTTAATGTTGACATGAGTGGATTGACTGGTCAGTTTCTTACCTCGTTGTTGTTGATGATGAGACTTGCAATAAACAGCTGAATGTTGACATGAGTGGATTGACTGGTCAATTTCTTACCTCGTTGTTGTTGATGATCAGTCTGGCAATAAACAGCTTAATGTTGACACAAGTGGATTGACTGGTCAGTTTCTTACCTCGTTGTTGTTGATGATCAGTCTGGCAATAAACAGCTTAATGTTGACATGAGTGGATTGACTGGTCAGTTTCTTACCTCGTTGTTGTTGATGATCAGTCTGGCAATAAACAGCTTAATGTTGACATGAGTGGATTGACTGGTCAGTTTCTTACCTCGTTGTTGTTGATGATCAGTCTGGCAATAAACAGCTTAATGTTGACATGAATGGATTGACTGGTCAGTTTCTTACCTCGTTGTTGTTGATGATCAGTCTGGCAATAAACAGCTTAATGTTGACATGAGTGGATTGACTGGTCAGTTTCTTACCTCGTTGTTGTTGATGATCAGTCTGGCAATAAACAGCTTAATGTTGACATGAGTGGATTGACCGGTTAGTTTCTTACCTCGTTGTTGTTGATGATCAGTCTGGCAATAAACAGCTTAATGTTGACATGAGTGGATTGACTGGTCAGTTTCTTACCTCGTTGTTGTTGATGATCAGTCTGGCAATAAACAGCTTAATGTTGACATGAGTGGATTGACTGGTTAGTTTCTTACCTTGTTGTTGTTGATGATGAGTCTGGCAATAAACAGCTTAATGTTGACATGAGTGGATTGACTGGTCAGTTTCTTACCTCGTTGTTGTTGATGATCAGTCTGGCAATAAACAGCTTAATGTTGACATGAGTGGATTGACTGGTTAGTTTCTTACCTTGTTGTTGTTGATGATGAGTCTGGCAATAAACAGCTTAATGTTGACATGAGTGGATTGACTGGTCAGTTTCTTACCTCGTTGTTGTTGATGATCAGTCTGGCAATAAACAGCTTAATGTTGACATGAGTGGATTGACTGGTCAGTTTCTTACCTCGTTGTTGTTGATGATCAGTCTGGCAATAAACAGCTTAATGTTGACACAAGTGGATTGACTGGTCAGTTTCTTACCTCGTTGTTGTTGATGATCAGTCTGGCAATAAACAGCTTAATGTTGACATGGGTGGATTGACTGGTCAGTTTCTTACCTCGTTGTTGTTGATGATCAGCCTGGCAATAAACAGCTTAATGTTGACACGAGTGGATTGACTGGTCAGTTTCTTACCTCGTTGCTGTTGATGATCAGTCTGGCAATAAACAGCTTAATGTTGACACGAGTGGATTGACTGGTCAGTTTCTTACCTCGTTGTTGTTGTTGATCAGTCTGGCAATAAACAGCTTAATGTTGACATGAGTGGATTGACTGGTCAGTTTCTTACCTCGTTGTTGTTGATGATCAGTCTGGCAATAAACAGCTTAATGTTGACATGAGTGGATTGACTGGTCAGTTTCTTACCTCGTTGTTGTTGATGATCAGTCTGGCAATAAACAGCTTAATGTTGACACGAGTGGATTGACTGGTCAGTTTCTTACCTCGTTGTTGTTGATGATCAGTCTGGCAATAAACAGCTTAATGTTGACATGAGTGGATTGACTGGTCAGTTTCTTACCTCGTTGTTGTTGATGATCAGTCTGGCAATAAACAGCTTAATGTTGACATGAGTGGATTGGCTGGTCAGTTTCTTCTGTAGATTTGCCATCCAGCCCGGCATTTCGCTGGCCTTAGTTCCCTGTCAATGAGCAATAGTTTCATCCATTAGGCCCGTACAAAGCAACAGGCTAAATGACATCAAGTCTTAAAATTTCAAGGGAGTATGAAACTGTGCTGTATTTCTTACCTCTGGGATCTCCGGTGTGATCTTATTTGTTTGCATGTGTTTGAGTACTGCTGTCAATGAGGCCATACATTCATGCTGATTCAACGCATCGGATTCCATCTCAATGTATTCACCTTGCACTACGACTGTGGGCGTTTCCTGTCATCAATCAATAAATCAACCAATTGAATCAATGAATCAATGAAAAACAATTCACATACATCCCTAGGAGAATTGTTTTTGTTTTGTTGAAAGAACACTCACTTTTTTGGTGATCCGTGGACAGAACTTTAAAATGGTGTTTGTGTTCAAAATTCTGTAACTTGAAAAGTACATGAGTGATTTGAATGATTCTTGTATCAAAAGAAAACTTAATGACTGGGCTTTCATATCCTAGATTTTGAAAGTGCTGCAGGCAAAAGTTCATTCAAAAATTGGTCCTGCCATTTGGTTTTCGGTTTTTTTGACTCGCCCTGAATAGAGTGCAGTCGTCTAGTTAGCATTTAGCACTTGTATTACATTGTACTACATTGTCTTTCCTTTATCTATCTATAATACCATGGGGTGCTGCCAGGGCGGTAACAGGCAGGGTGGTTGGGGGTTGTACAGGGATAATTTAGACTGGTATTACATGTTACCTCATCACTATATCGTTTCCTGATGCGAGGTAGGGAGCTTTTCTGGCTTAGACTCTGCTCCCTGTCCACAGATGCACTGAACTGCTGCACACCTCCCGAGAAATCAAACTGCTGGATGTCTTCACTCAGACTGCTATTGGCCAGGTATTGAGAGGACAGATAACGACCTGCACCTGATACAGACAATTAGAAATCAAACTGCTGGATGTCCTCACTCAGACTGCTATTGGCCAGGTACTGAGAGGACAGATAACGACCTGCACCTGATACAGACAATTAGAAATCAAACTGCTGGATGTCTTCACTCAGACTGCTATTGGCCAGGTATTGAGAGGACAGATAACGACCTGCACCTGATACAGACAATTAGAAATCAAACTGCTGGATGTCTTCACTCAGACTGCTATTGGCCAGGTATTGAGAGGACAGATAACGACCTGCACCTGATACAGACAATTAGAAATCAAACTGCTGGATTTCCTCACTCAGACTGCTATTGGCCAGGTACTGAGAGGACAGATAACGACCTGCACCTGATACAGACAATTAGAAATCAAACTGCTGGATGTCTTCACTCAGACTGCTATTGGCCAGGTATTGAGAGGACAGATAACGACCTGCACCTGATACAGACAATTAGAAATCAAACTGCTGGATGTCTTCACTCAGACTGCTATTGGCCAGGTATTGAGAGGACAGATAACGACCTGCACCTGATACAGACAATTAGAAATCAAACTGCTGAATGTCCTCACTCAGACTGCTATTGGCCAGGTACTGAGAGGACAGATAACGACCTGCACCTGATACAGACAATTAGAAATCAAACTGCTGGATGTCCTCACTCAGACTGCTATTGGCCAGGTACTGAGAGGACAGATAGCGACCTGCACCTGATACAGACAATTAGAAATCAAACTGCTGGATGTCTTCACTCAGACTGCTATTGGCCAGGTATTGAGAAGACAGATAACGACCTGCACCTGATACAGACAATTAGAAATCAAACTGCTGGATGTCCTCACTCAGACTGCTATTGGCCAGGTATTGAGAGGACAGATAACGACCTGCACCTGATACAGACAATTAGAAATCAAACTGCTGGATGTCTTCACTCAGACTGCTATTGGCCAGGTACTGAGAGGACAGATAACGACCTGCACCTGATACAGACAATGAGAAATCAAACTGCTGGATGTCCTAACTCAGACTGCTATTGGCCAGGTACTGAGAGGACAGATAACGGCCTGCACCTGATACAGACAATTAGAAATCAAACTGCTGGATGTCCTCACTCAGACTGCTATTGGCCAGGTACTGAGAGGACAGATAGCGACCTGCACCTGATACAGACAATTAGAAATCAAACTGCTGGATGTCCTCACTCAGACTGCTATTGGCCAGGTACTGAGAGGACAGATAACGACCTGCACCTGATACAGACAATTAGAAATCAAACTGCTGGATGTCTTCACTCAGACTGCTATTGGCCAGGTACTGAGAGGACAGATAGCGACCTGCACCTGATACAGACAATTAGAAATCAAACTGCTGGATGTCCTCACTCAGACTGCTATTGGCCAGGTATTGAGAGGACAGATAACGACCTGCACCTGATACAGACAATTAGAAATCAAACTGCTGGATGTCCTCACTCAGACTGCTATTGGCCAGGTATTGAGAGAACAGATAACGACCTGCACCTGATACAGACAATTAGAAATCAAACTGCTGGATGTCTTCACTCAGACTGCTATTGGCCAGGTACTGAGAGGACAGATAACGACCTGCACCTGATACAGACAATTAGAAATCAAACTGCTGGATGTCCTCACTCAGACTGCTATTGGCCAGGTATTGAGAGGACAGATAACGACCTGCACCTGGTACAGAAAATCTCACAAATTAGAAAATTTCAAACTTTTTGCTGAGGTTAAAGGCATGTAGGGACATTGGTAATCACCCAGGAAAAAAGGGGGCCCATAGATTTGATGAGAAACATTTTGTTCAAAGGGAAGATAGAGATGACACCGAGTACCATGTGAAATCTTTCTGCCTGAATATCATTTGGAAGAACACAATTATTGTAGGTACCCTCAAGCACACTTTTTCGACATGTGTTAAAACACAGTCCAGTTACCAGTGCCCAAAATATTGTGAATACGTTTGTTCCAAATTGGTAGTATCCGCTGACCTGAAATGTCAACGAAAAATAATTGTCACACAAACTGAGAACTTTTGTTGGTTTCTCTTCAACTCATTGCATATGTTGCACTGATAAATGAAACTGAAATGATGATGAACCAGTTATTGACTGTATATAGACTTATTCCTTATATCCTACGCAGGACCTTTCAAGGTCCTGCTATAAGGATTGAAATGTTCGGACCTCTAATTTTGTTGATTTGTGTAGTTTAGTCAGTAAGCAGTTTAAGTAAAAGTAAAGCCTGTCACAAGCCAATGTGGCCCATCAGGCCGACATTTATCTCCGGTGAGTAGCATGAAACGACTGAGAATATTTCTACTCCCCCTGGATGGGATGCTAGTCCATCGCAGGTTACTCCCCAGCTAATGCTGGTACCCATTTATACTCCTGGGTGGAGAGAGGCAAGTGGGGGTGAAGTGTCTTGCCCATGGACACAACATATAGCAAGCAGCTGGATTCGAACCCCTGACCCTCTGATCATGAGTCACAAACCCTAACCACTAGACCACACTCCCCCATTAAGCAGTTTGCAGCAGCTTTACCTGTGTAACCTGATGTGCCAATACCCGAGTCGCTCTGCTGACTGCTGGTCCCCGCTGTATCCCGTACTTGGTTGCGGATCGACACAAATCGTTTCTTACGCTCCATTGGTGCATTCATCTCTATCTCAAATGTGTAATCCTTAGTGACATCTGTGATATTGTCCAATAGGAACTGGCCCTGAACATTTGAAAGAGATTACATGGTTTATAAATAACGAGGCTACGCAGGGGAGGCAGCCTATCAACGTGTCGCCCGTTCCTGGCAACTTTTGTGACTCTAGTGAATTTAAGCAAAGAGTGTTGCTCCTGGATCAGAACTGACCATAAGATCTGAAAGATAAAATACCTAATGACTATATTCTTTTTGTTTTTCAATGTATTCATTTAATATCTTTTAATTTGAAAGGGTACCCGTACAAAAATTTGACATTTTTAATGATTACATTACAAAATATATTTTAAAAAAGATATATCAAAATAATCAACAGCAACACATTGGTGAAAATGAAAACAATAAAACAAAGGATGTAAAGTAATTACAAAAGATTATGAGAACGAACAACTTGACCAATTTGTGGGACGGTTGATCCGCTCTGTCAACTTTTGTGACAAAATGGCACCATTATTTCCCCCATTATTTCTGGGAGAACAAAAATGAGGTTGTAAAATTTGTGGAAGGGATATTCTGAACTGACCTTGGCTGTGTTTTCAGAGAAGAGGAAAGCGTTGTAGAACTTGATGTCAGTCTGCGTGCAACTGATGACGGCAATCAGGGTGTTGTAAGCCGCGCAATGACACTGACGTCGTAATTCCAACGCGTTGGTCTCGCCGCGAATATCCTCACTCTTTGCTGCATGACTTGCTCTATATAATTGATATAAAAACGCAAAATTTGGGTGTGATGTTGAGGAGGTAGTTCCAATAATCCCTCCCTCTCTGCCTGGCAAATTCAACAAAGCCATCCCAGCAGTCAAAATCAATCAAGTGTTTTTATCTAAGAGCTCCATGCCTACAGGATTGACTGGCTGTGACAGTTGATGTAACTCGAAATAACCATGCTTTGACTGTAGGAGATTGATAAGCCAGCTGTACCTGTTAAATACCTGCTTTTGTCTGTAGATGGAATTCGCCATGGTTTATTACTTCTGACTAGCTCCCCTTGGACACAGACATTGACAAACTGGGGAACTGCCAGCATACTGTAGGGTTGGATAGCTCAGTTGGTAGAGCACCGGTAGGTCGCAGGTTGGTAGGTCGCAGGTTCAAACCCCACTTCAATCAATTTCTTAGTTCAACTTTACCACAAATTGCGGCCGACTTACTTTGTGAATGCCTGCGTCATCTCTTTGCCTGTTTTCACATCGTTGTTGGTGTATGCCTTGTTGATGACAGACTCCATCGAGAAGAGATCTTCTTTCGTTAGACGTGAGTACATCAAGTCTACCAGCTGAAAACAACACATCTTGGAGACTAGCTGACTCTGGAATGCTGGCTCCGGGACCTGAGATTTAAAAGTCAAAATCATTGTAGGGTTGAGCTTAGTTCATCAGTTTATCACTTCTTATGTTCATTGGTTTACTTCAACAATTGGGAAGTGTGGCCTAGTGGTTAGGGTTCATAGGGTCCTGGGATCAAATCCATGTGCAAGCCATATGTTGTGTCCTTGGGCAAGCCACTTCACCCTACTTGCATCCCTCCACCCACGAGTACAGTACATGGGTACCGGCATTAGTTGGGGGTAACCTGCGATGTACTGGCATCCGATCCAAAGAGATAAAACTATTCACACCAAGTAAAACTGAGATAAATGCTGGCCTGATGGGCCAAATTGGCTCATGATAGATTTACTTCACATTTCCTTACCTTGACTGTTTTGGCGTCGATAATTCCAGCCACCTCCTTGATGTGTTCCTTGAAGAAACTCACAAGTGACTTGACTCCAGCTAGTCTCATCAGCGGTATACAGACCCGTTCAATAGCTGCACGGCGGATCTCTTTACTGAAACTATTCTCCTGACGAAAAACTCTGTAAGCCACATCAAAGGCGGCTGTCTGCTTATCTTCCGGGAGACTGGAAAAAAGAGACAGAATTCATGATTTATTATGTCAGGTTAATGTAGTAATCTGCTTAAGGAATAGGCCCAACAAGTGCTTTATATTAATTTGTAGATGTATTTGATTGTGTTTTAGGAGGATTGGACATTGTAGTTCACAATAAGCGTTCAAGGTAATATACAACATTAACTTTTGCTTTAATTTTCAGAAATGGATGAATTTAGGGGTTAACATTGTTAGCAAAATGTGATGCAGAAAGTAGCACTTCACGACCTGTTTTAAACATTGCTGACAGGTCTTAAAACAGCGGTTTAAGACCACCCACATGATGGGCTCTCTTCCAATAGGAATGGGTACACTGTCTCCAGCATTTATGAATTATTCTTTATGATACTTGGTTTGTTGCCGTTCTCAAATGCCAGTAGATTAATTATGTAACATAATTATCCAAAATTTGTAAATACCGTTTGATGAACGCTGCCAAGGATTCCTGTATTTCATCCTCACAAGCATGTCTCTCATCTCTACACATGACACTGATGATGAGCTCTAGGAGCATCAAGTTACCTGACAACACCATGGCAGTCAGAATCTGCAGAAAACAGTTGGGGAGTGAATAACCAAATACCATGCTGCAGGCCACTTCAGGCCAGAATGCATAACTTTCAGTCGAATTTTATTAGACCGTCATGTTGAACTTAAGCTTTACAGTAAGAAAGTTTGAAATGAGAATACCTTGTTGAGGGCACCAACATAGTCGTTGTATTTGGGACTTCCGACTCGAAACTCGGACGAGTTGAGGGGAAAGTTGTCAGCAACGAGTCTATCCAGGGCTGACCTGTGAAAATGAAATATTTCATATTGGGTTTTGCTCTCTGCTGATGTATTATATAAACACTGTATACTCAGTTTACTCAGGTGGGACTTGAACCCACAACCTCCTGCTTAATTACCGATGCAGAGCTTGCCAGGGTTGGCTGCCCAGTTCAAGTCTGCTATAGCAGCAGATACCACAATCAAACTCGGACAACACTGAGTATGCAGTGTTTATCAAAAAAATATATATGTAAACAAAAGGGAAACACCTATAAAAAAAATGTACATCTCCTCAACGCAACTTCCACTGATAAAAAATTAAATGAGTGACTCTAAACTGAATAAAGCAATATTGGTTGTTGGCAAAATCCAAGGATGACGTGCAGTTTCATGGCAGATGTCTTTAATGACAATTAAGACTTCATCTATCAAGTCTCTGTATGTTAGAACTTCTGGTTAGATGTGTGATGAGACAAACTCACACATCACTTGTTCCATTTTATCAACACCCTCAAATGAGGATAATTCAACTGAATTAAAACAATTTCACTGACCTCAGTTTAGCGAGCTCAGCGTCTGGCATAGCCGTGAAGAAAAACAGAATCTCCATGACCTGAGCCTTGAAGGTCAAGGACGTTGAGGTGTCAGTCAACATGAATGCGTAGGCCTCCAGAACTGACTTGAAGGCTGGATGGGTGGTATCACTGACAAACTGAAATACAAACAAATATATATGCTGTCAGCTAGTACGCATGTGTTGGCCCAGGGCACCAAGTTTTTGCTACATGTGTATAACTGGAACTAAACTGTGGAACAACTCACCATATTTCCTTAAAGGTACAGTCCATCATGTTCATTTGAAGCAATAAAAGTGCTCAAAATCTAAAGGGTGCAGATTAACTAACCCAATGAACTTTTAGCTCAGTGAATGCTGTATATTCCAAGAAAACAAGATTACAGGATCTTGATTTCAAATCAAAAGTTGCTGAGTCATGTATTGAATTGCGCCCAAATTCAGCAAAATCTTGGCCGATTCCCGATATTGGTGTCACAAATTGTTTTCATCGGGCAAATTTATGCTTAGCAGCTCTATGTATTGGTTTCAAAACTCATTCCTGAACTGAAATATATACTGTGCAGCTTTGGACTTATTTTCTGAGTTTAACAAAAATCAAATGTTGGAAGAAATCTTACAAATGCGCCAAGGTATGAATATTAAATGCAGGGCCACTCACATGTCTCACCTCATCTCCTTGGGATGTAGAGGCATGGCTGTGCGCATATATATCAATAGCCCCCCCCCCTCCCACAAATGTCCACTAAGGCAATTCTGTCCTCCAACACTGTATGTGTACTTTAGTTGGGACAATTTAGAAAATAAAGTTAAATGTTTCCTCCATTAAGAAAAACGGCGCTCTCCTAACTTTGCATCCACAGCCCTGCAGGTCCATGCCAAAACATTTTGGTTCATTTTTGCAACTCTTAAACTTGAAAATAGACACCTAAAAACTTCACATTTGTGACTATCCAGATTTGACACAACAGTTTCCATCTACCTTAGCGTCTATCTGAAGCAGTTTCCGTAGCAACAGCAGGGCAAAGCTCTGTAGGTCAGGTGAACAACCTTTCTTCAAACCAACTGTGAGGGCGCCCCACTGAGTCAGAATAGCACTGTGCACTGACATCCCATGTCTGGTATTTCAACAACAAAAAACAAAAAAAAATTCAATTGGCAAATGTAAATAATCAAACTTTGACTGCATCCTTTACCATGTTTACAAGAGAAAGCTCAATAAAACGGTTGTTTGGGGAAAGTTGTTTGAAACTGGCATACATACATTATGTGTGACAATGACAATGACAATGACAATGACAATTAATAATGTTTCCCTGTACGGCCTCTGCTGAGGCAAAAGATAACTTAAGAATTACAATTTAAAAGGATATTTAGCAAACTTACAATACACAGTTACAAAAACAAAAATAATTTAATATAAACTAAGAATTTAATTAAGACACAAAATTTACAACAGGACAAAAAAAGGAACAAAAAAAAGAGAAGAAATGCAGTATACAACTAGGCACCAGTAACAACAACATGAAATATTCTAAAAGTTATCCATGATTTGCGAGCAGAATTTAGCGACTTTTTTTCAGTTCTATAAGGTTGGTTGTGTTGAAGAGATGCGCCATTTTGAGGTCGTGTAAGACAACTAGGCTTGCCATGTTGAACTTTGGCCCATTAGTCAATGCACTGCTTGTAATAATGTAATACAATGTAAAACAACATAATACACATGTGCTAATGGGTTCAAACTGTTGCCGAAAATTAATACAAACAGCATGAAATACAACTTACTTTTTCCTTATTTCCCGACTGGTCGTCAAGTAATCCAGGAGCCCATTGAGGACACTACTCATGAGCGTCAAGTCTTTACCACCTTCCCTCACCAGCAGTGGAATGGTCTTCTGTGCCTGCAGTGCCATCGCGCCATTCAGTAGAGTCTTGAAGGTGGAGTAGAAGACGACGCCTTTGAAGATGGAACCGTTTCCGCTGGACAGTGATGTCTTGTCGAGGATGCAGGATACCAACATTTTAGGCTGTGTGAGAAAGAGTTGTTAAAGTGAGCGGTTTATTTTATAGTTTTGCAATTCATTAAATTTTAGAAAAAAAGAAGAAATCATCTTGAAATTATTTCTAGGTATCAGTCATCAGGCCCAGAGATGTTTGTGATTGGTGAGTGTTGGAGGCATGTGCTTGAAAGCTAGATTCAGATTGGTCAATGTTGATGGGTCATAATATCCATATTCATGAGTAGTGAAATTGGTATCTAAAAAGGGATTTCCCAAAACTGTCTCCATTCTACTAAGCTCTAACCAGTTCACACCGTGATTATTTTGACAAGAACGGAACATTAAGGCGCGGGATACTTTTTATTATTATTATTATTATTATTCATGGTTTATTAAAAATTCAAATTGGTTGCCAGAGGCAAAATTGCATTGAATTCACAATGAGTAAAAAAAGTTAACAATAAAAAGTTAAGCTTCATTAAAAAAAAAGAACTCAAGCACGCGGGTTGAAGCCATCACCCTCGGGCAGCACACTCGTATTTCTGGCCTCACTCGCTGCAAGCGGGTCCCCGACAGATATTTATTGCGTGTATACACGGCCTCCAGCGCGAACTGGTTAAACAATGATTCTAAAAAAAATTATATTCCAAATAACCAATGCAAATGAGACATGAGATCACTAAATTCTTGATATATAATAAGGAACAAAATGACCTCTACAACTGGTTCACAGCCCCATTGATTTATACACAAATTGCCTGGTTCAATTGTCATCCATACCCAAGATGCATTACGAATATCGAAAAGGTCCGGACAACCGACAGTAGAATATTAGTCTAGTTCCCACCTCAATGCCTAGCTGGAATGCTAACTCAAGCAGACGTCCTGCAAGCTCTACAGATACCGGCGTAAGGTTGGCTGGGACCAGTCTACCGCCCTCGTCTGACGCAGTGAGGGAATCAAACACACAGGTGAAAAGTTGCACAGGGAACGAACAGCCACGTCCCTTTACAGATGGAATAAGCAGAAAATAAGTGGACAAAATTCCATTAGTGTCAATGGAATAGCACACAATTTGTTGAGACCCGATCTGAGCCAAAACAAATTATAGAGAGCATGTGGCGTGGAAAAAATTGAGTTGTTGATACCATGTTGAACTGTAAACTGAAACATAAACATAGATTTTAACGGCTGCAAAGGGTCTATAGAAAGCTGTCTTTCATTTGTAAACATTGAGCGCCATGTTGTCTGGGCTGCCACAAGGGAAGACATTTAAGTCGTTATTGGCAACAGATTTTGCCAAAAAATAGCACATTAACACCTCAATGTGTAAGAAATAGGTATTTTCGTTAAGTCTTTGGTAGCATTGGTTGGCTACTTTGTATTTTCAACAATCGAATGATGAGTTTGGAAACATGCTGTATAAAGTTTTTTTGATTTTTGTGATGTTGACCTTCCACAGTTTGGCAACCTGTGGTCTGTAAAATGAGCCTACAACAGGTTGGTAAAGAATAGTCTATAGGTCTATTAGCTTTAAAACCGCATATGTGTGCTGGTTCGCATGAGTATGGTGCGAAGTTTGCATGAATACGTTTTTTCCGAATGTGCACAATCCCTCTTCGTGTGAGCATCAGGCCCTGTCAGCAATCATTCAGGAGTCCCTCCAAGTCCTCAACCCCCATCCCTGCCCCCCATTTTCCATTTGTAACCCTTGAGGGGGTACTCATGCACTGCGTCTATAGTTGGTTCTTACCAGAGTAACTCCACATAACTTTTGGGACTCAGAAAGTACAAAGTAGTCTTGGTTCTAAATTCCATGGTTACTTCCATCAGAAATATCCATCAACTCTAGAATCACCATATCCAAGCTGAACCATAAGATGGGTGTCGAGATTTTGGAAGGGGTGAAAAGAAGTATGCTTAAACCAATGCATACTTGGGCTGCTGTTGCTGCAGATAGAAGGTTCGCCTGATGCAACTGCTCATAACCTTTGACCAGGTGGCTCAGTTGTCCATGGTCAGGGGCCACATCATCTTCGCCACTGAACATGGATGGCAGAAGTTTAGCCAAGTCGTGACGACTGCAAAAAGAAGAAAGAAGTAGGTTACATCAAAACACCAGTTTTAAGAATACAGGTTATTAAATTGTTTAATTGTTGGAATTATTTGTTTTTGAAGCATATAGCTTCCGTAATTTCTGAACCACAAGGGAAACTGGGTGCAATATAATAGTTATAAAGTTGAATGAGCAAAGAAATTGACTGCATTTGAAACTGTGACCTCCGGATTGCCGTTCCGGTGCTCTACCAACTGAGCTATCCAGCCCTATGTGTTGGTGGCTCCCCATTTTATCAATGTCTTTGTTCAAGGGGCGCTAGTCAGAAGCCATAAACCCGTATATGCCATACAGCCAGGGATCACGCCTAAAGTCACGACACTAGCAGCATTAGTAATGCTGCCAAACCGGGAAATAGCAAATGATAATTACTCAGAGGAAAAGGTCTTTTATTACAAATAATCAATGAGACACTGAATGAGTGTAATAATAAAGTTGAACGAAAAAATTGACCGGAGCAGGGTTAGGATTAATAGGGTTAGGGACAGGGTCAATTTCTTTGTTCAGGTTTATAATTGTTACATTTGCACCGATTTTTAACTGAATAAGAAACAGTACCTGGTTTTGGTGACGCTTTTAGTGACAGCTTTACTCAGGTCATTCTTCAGGTTGGCCGGTAGACGAGTCGACATGAGACTCAACAGCTGTCCAGTCTGGCAATGGGATTCAGCATAAGTATTAACAACTGCACACAGTTCATAGTGTATTTCGAGATGGAGAAATTATGCTTGGGGATTTTTCATTGTTGGTTCACTATTTTTTTTGTATTTTAGGTTTTGGGCCTTTTTTGTTTTCTGCTTACTGCTTACTGTATCTGTAAAACAGCTGAAGCCTGCATTAGCAAAAAATCATGTAAATTACATATTTTGTCAATAACTAATTTTTGGTGAATTCAAATCCCTCAGACAGTTTAACCCTTACCCTACTAGACCCTCCAACGCATGCCAATATGTGCCTCAAGAAAATCTCCTATGTTTTTTGCATGGCCCTCCAATATCTGCCATGTCATTTCAAGGGTAACTGGACAGGCACTCCAATACATGCCACAGAGAACAATGAGAGTCCTCTGATAACAAAGTGAGTGCCCCCAGCTGGTCAGTATCAGGCACCCTCCAGGGCCTCCAACTCCTGCCAATTGGAGCCTTCACTGTTAAGACAAACTATCTGCCAATAAACTGCAGCTGGAGGGCATTGGCATAACCAACTGACATGCAGTAAACCACCCTCAGAGAGTAAGGGTTAATGTGAGTTATTACATTTGACAACAACACTTTAAAGTGCAAACAATGAGAAAATACAAGAACTTCACAAATGACAACTAAAAGGACCCTCAATGTCACAAAACGTACCGTTTTGGGCAAGTTGTTCATGATCTCTACATCAGCCATGTTGAAACCAACCAGTGTGGGTTGAAGAACGCAGGCAACGAGCAGATCAAATAAGCTGTCTTGCCAAACAGACTTGGGCATGACCTGAACAAAATTAACAAAAATAAATCATCGTTGTTACAAAAACTGAGTCATTTTTAACGGCGGTGAGCCAATATACACCAATGTTTGTATCTGCAGCTAAGTTTGCCAACCACCCATAGAGGCACACTGAAGTAAGCACAACAATTTTCAAGGTTTAGACGGAGAAGTATTTATGTTTTTTTTGTATGGCCGATTTATTTTTTTTGCGAATGAAAGTTTCCATCATATTTCTGACTGCATGATGCAGAGTCATGCATATAAATGTTTTTTTTTAATTTTTGGGTTTTTTTTTTTTGTTGGGGGGGGGTAAAAATTGTCAAATCTTGTTATCCATATGGGTAGTTGGAATACAGGTTTGTGTATGTTCAGAATAACATTTGTTTTGCGAACTTTTGAAAAAAACCAGTGTGCACATGCAGTGTGTAGGGGCGGATCCTGGTTTGGATCAAGAGGGGGGGGGGGGTTAGCTGCCAAGAGGGGGTTTAGCAGGCATTTGCTGTGTTTTTCTGCAGCCTAGGAAAGGGGTTTACACCACCTAAACACCTCCCCCAAATAGATCCACCAATGGTGCGTCCCTCCACTGGGGCTGCTGACATACCTTAATAGCTTCACCAGCATAGTTCCCTAGTACCACCGTCAGGAAGTCCCACAGTCTCACAATCACTGTGCACTTTCCTTGGCTGTAGTCCTCAGACTCTCTAGGAGTAAAGACATGGTGGGAGGTTGACGTCTTGGCCCGGCCCTTCCCAAGACTGCGAGCAGCTCCAGTGATGTCTAGGAGACTCAAGCTGGATAAGAAGTAGTGGAGAGCTTGGAAGAGGACCGAGGGTCGTCTTGCCGAAGCTGAAATGGAAAAGAAAAGAATTGTGATATGAATTAGGTAAAGGAATGCAGCGACATTGGGTATTACGTGGAAACAAACCTAATGAATTAAGGAGAAAAAAACTTGCTCGAAGCGCAGAAAAGAGTACTTGCATACCTAACTACCATTGACAATAAACAGTTAAAACTTGGCTGGACACAAAATGTTTGTTATATCTGACAAATGTATTAAGTGGAGGCTGGGTCCAATACATTGCGTACCGATGCTTTCCTCCCCTCCACAGCTGTGACCCGGGTTCGAATCCCCTCTGGGAAAGTTTGTGGATTGGGTGTTTAGTCCCTGCCTGATTCAGTGGGTTTACACTGGAATTCATTCTGGAGTTTTCCTCTCTCCACTAAAAGTGTAATTTCCTTCCGCATCATCTACCAAAGGAACCCACTCGAAGCCCAGAGACAAAAGAATTTTGTTGGATATCCTGGCCGTTTGCTGAATAATCATCAATGCACAGTCAGGACCGAGGCTTTAGGTTTACTATAACCAGAATTTCGGGGGGGGGGGGGATGTATTTTTTTTTTTAGGGCAATTGCCAATCATATGGCCAGAGGGCCACTCAAGGTGCGGGCTACAGTGGAAAGTATGGAGAAAAAAGTTAGAGAGAGAGAAGAGACATGTTTCTATTCACATTTCTTTTGAACAGTGACAGATTATAAGTTGGCGTAAAACAGGATTCAGGTAAAGGAGTTCTAAAGTGCAGCAGTATGAGGACAAAAGCTAGAAGAATATCTGACAGTACTGGCCTTTGGAACAGATACAGTGAAGGAATGAGAGGAGATTGCACAACGTGTGCTGCAAGTGAAGGTGCGAACAGAAGGGACAACAAGTGAGAGACCTCGTCGTCTTACTAACCTGTGAATACAGCAGACGGAGACAGAAGCTTCTCTCCAAAGATCCAAGTATAACAATCTAGAGCCGCCAAGAGATGTTCAAACCACGTACAAGCCAGCTTGACGGTGAATGCTTGACCCATAGCTGACAGAGTGGGATACTTGCTGATACCGCTACGATGAGTTGCCTTCACCCCACCACCTTCAAATCTGAAATAAAACACAAATAATTCCTTGGATTAACTTTGGTATGTGAAAGCAAGGGGAAAACCCCAATGCTGAAGATACATAGGATGACTTGCATTTGTGCTTGTTTATTTGAAGCAACAAAATGCCCAAAGTGTTCAATAGGGTGACTACTAGCCTGTTACTATCCAAAGCAACTGCCCAGTGACAAATTATCTGAACAAAAGCTAGCACAATGCTTTCATCATTGAAGGTGTGCTAGAAGTGATAGCATGCCCAGAATGGTCTACACCAGGGGAAATTAAAAAAACAGAGGATTTGAAAGTCGCTTTGGGCCTCAGAGAAATGTAAGGCACCCCTTACAATACCCGTTTTTTGTTCTACATAATATTTTATAGGTATTTTATTAACCTTTACAGTAAAACCTCACGAATATCCATCTCTGCTATAGTCTTACACCCAGTGAAATTGATTGATTTCAAGATTGCAAAAGGGTAACAATTTCCAAATGTTTCCAAAAAATAATGGCCTTTTCTAATGAATTCCTGGTTCTGACATTTGATTTTGTATTGTTTATTGTCATAACATGATAAAGAAAAATCTGAAAATGTATTCACGTACTCCCGCATTAGGTGTTAACAAAGAATTACATTCTGATATTACGGCCACCAGTTTGTGCAATGTGACCTGAGTGCAATGCGATGCAACATTTGTGGCTACTTTCAAGTGTTTCAAGAGTGATCCAACTGCAGGTTAAGGTACTAATAGGAAAACATCCGTGCAGGACAAAACCAAAATTTAAATGATTTACTGAATGATTCTTTACCTAGACACAAAGTAGTCAGGTCCTTTTTCCTTCAGTGTGTTTTGCATCCAAGTTTGTGGTGTATTGCGACCTGCATTCAAAAATAAAATACTTTTAATAAAATGCAAACATTTCAATTTTCTTCATTTTTTTTACACTATAGAACATATGTTGATGTACCCTAACGTGGCGCGGCTCCTAACGTGGCGCACTTTGATTTTTCGCCTGTAGCGCTTAGCTAGAGTAAAAGTTTTAACTGAAATTTCACAGAAAGTAAAATTTCATCAAGTTCTAAACACTCCCGTTCATAAATTGCGAGTTTATTTACCCGCTACAAAGTTAAAAGAAAAATTTATTTGGCGTGATTTTCCGATTTTATTTTCAAGTGCAAAGTGAAACCTTTGAAAATGCCCCGAAAAATAAGAAAATAATTTTCTGACAAACATCTGGCTGGGTATGTAAGTAGAAATAATAATGATTTATCAGAATTGATCAAGTTTACAGAAATTCTTAAATGTTAATTTAGAATTTTCCGAGATTTATTTAAGTGCGCCACGTTAGGGAACACTCCGCTAATTTGTGCCCAATTTCCGGACGTCACCGTTTTTTTAATTTCGGCTTAAATTTTATGAAACCGAAATTGTTCACAGAGGTTAAATAGCAAGCATTAATAAGGTAAAAGTACCATTATTTTACTGCATGAATTTGCGGTTTGTCAACAAAGAGGTTTGGCAACACTACACGAGGAAAGTTGGGCAAGCTTCGAAGTGCGCCACGTTAGGGAACACGACTATATATGAATACCTTTCAGTTTACTTTATCCAAATTGATTTAAAAGACGAACAAAGAAATTGACTGGAGTGAGGTTGAATCTGCGACCCCTGGATTGCTGTTAATGGTGCTCTACCAACTGAGCTATGAAGTCAAATGTTTGCAGTGTCTCGTTTGGAAATGTCTTTGCGGTTCATTTACAGAATTATTTTGTCTGTCTAATGAAAAATACTCTTCCAAAGCTCATTCCGTTTTTCAGTCTTGTACCTGGTAAGAGTGAGGTCATCTTATAGATGAGCATCATGCATTGATGTCTGCACTCTGTCTGGGCACGACCACACTGACGAAGCAACCAGATGACTAGCATGCTCAGGTTAGGACATACATCCACAGGGAACTCCCTGCAATATGAAATAATGACAACCAGATAACAAACTATGGTAATCAGTTCATTTCACCAATCTTGGTAATTTAGAACAAAGACTCTCACATATTAAAACAAACTTAAAACCACATAGGATCATTTGCAATTTTACGCAAAACATGCCTACCAATTTAATGGCAGAAACCTTGCTCAAAGTGAAGATAGGACTGGTAGCAAATACCTTAAGTTATGGCACCTGAAATGGTATTGTTCAAAACTTCGAAGGTAATTGCAAACTAGCTTGCCCATGGATATATTTTTTTCAAATGCACTAGAAACGGAATCCAGTTACGAGACCCAAAAAAGTCCATACATTTTCTCTATTTTCCCAAATGTATAGTATCCACTGAGCTGAAACTTCAACAGGTTAGTTGTAATGCTTCAAGCGAAAACAAAAAATTACAGAAAAGCAAATGATCCAATGTACCTTTAAGATGTTGGAACTCTACGTACCTTGGGCTTCTTCGTATCTTACTGTCCTTGTTCAGCATATCTGCCTTGACTCGAATGATTCTCTCCAGATGATTCAGGACTGCGACTCCTTGCAGTTGAGTCCCTACATCCAGAAAACCCAAGAAAAGATTATGGAATTTGCATCGGGGGTGATGTAAACTCTACCAGCAAGCCGACCCTGGCAAGTTCGGTCATCGAGTGTACTAGTAAGCAGGAGGTCGTGGGTTCGAGTCCCATCCAAGTAGTTTGTGATTTTTTTTTCCTCGGAATCACTCAGGCCAACACTGAGAATGCAGTGTATATGTTAAGAAAAAACTATGTCAGTGAAGGGCAAAACCCAATATTGAACCCAAAAAAGGTGAAAAATTATCTAATCATGATAACTCAAAGCATAGTAGAGAAAAATTGTGTTGCCATTACCTGCACTAGTAGGCAGGAGGTGGTGGTTAGAGTCAGAACGAAGTAAGCTGGTGATTTTTTTTCAGTTGATTAAAGAATGGCTTAAAGTTTAAGCAGGATAAGCTATAGTGACAATGTGATGGAAATGAAACATCTACTTTCGTCGTTTGCATTGTGACTTGACTTATTACCTGCACATGTATCATGAAAGTACATGAAACAAGCAGCGCCAGACTATGGCACATGGGTGCAGATACTACATCATATATACCAATAGTTAGCCTCCTACAGCTACTCCCAGAGCAGTGCAAGTCATAATTGCCAGTCAGTCAGTGAAATAGGTAACCAGTCTAACCCACAAGTGACGGGGAGTCAGTCGGGGAGTCAGTCAGTCAGTCCGTCAGTTATAAAGAGCACTATAGGTTGGCTCACTGGTACCAGCAGAAGTTAAATTTGACGCATTCTGGCACAAGGAGAAAAAACTGGGCAAAGGTCAAAGGAGGTTTTGCAGACATGAGAAAAGAGAATAAAATCTCCTTACAAAACTTTTTGTTGCACTTCAATCGGACGTTCCAATGACAAATAATGGCTCTTTAAATTTTGCATATATCGGCATGTCCAAAAAGTAAAATACTGAGAAAAGGCCTATAAAGTTTTCGAGTTTTGTTAACGTGAAAATGAAAGATGCCAACTGTTTTTCCATAAAAAAAACTTCCATTCTATGATTTTTAATATACGTGCAGTAGACATATCAAAGATTACAAATATCAATAAATCTAAAAAAAATAAAAATAAACCCATTTGTCTTTGTGTATTTTTTTCCACAACGGCCTGTGCCCAGATCTGTGTCATTTTGCCAGAATGCCTGACATATGACCTGATGCCTACCAAGTGACTTGTCGTCATGATGAGCTAATGCCAGACTGTTGACAAAGATAACCAAGATCTCACAGATAAACTGATCAATCAGAGAATCCTCCTCACTGCAACGAAAACAATAATCAAATACATTTCAAGATTTTCTAATATGTTTAATACATCTATGACCTTAGCAGAAATCTGACAAATGCCATCGAACTTCTTTGGCTCAATGCATTAACATGTCTTTATAATTACATTTTTATTCTCTTTTTAATTATAAAACTGTAGATAGTTCTGACTACTTCCAATGAAGGGGGTCTTGGATACTGTCAATTGATGCCACAGCACCTTCATATAATTTAGACTTTTTGCCCAGGAGGGGCGTGGTACATTAAAAGTGGCCACAGCCCTGGTAGGTCATTATTTGCATAATTGTAGTACAATCCCGACAGTTTCCACTGCAGGGGCGTGGCTAATGTTAATGGCCCCACCTTCACCATGGTCACCAATGGCCACGCTCCAACATGGTAATAATAATAATGGAGTCTTATATAGCGCACGTATCTACAAACAATTAGGTACTCAAGGCGCTGGAAATTATGTCTATTATTACAGATTATTAACAATGGCCACGCCCATGTCATAGACAGATCCATTAGGCCCCTCCCCATGATGTTTCGACCAATCACAGCTTTAATTAATGTCCGACATGCATCAGTGTTGTAGTCGACTCCATTTCAAGTCCTTTCACAAGTCCAGTCCCAAGAACACTGACAAAGGAATGCTTTTGTCACAGTTCATTTGAATAGCTAGTGACTTGACTTGAGACTGAAGGTCTTGAGATGGACCTGTGATTGGACTTGTGATGGACTCGACTTAAACGCTGACATGCGTCTTGATTGATGATCGGTCTTGTTTGGTCAGATTTACTCACCGGAATACCGTGTAGATATGATTGAAGGTCAGTGCAGCACCTAGTCTCTTGAAGCTGCTGGGATGTAATGCCATGCTGTACAGGCGCTTCAGAAGAGATTTGGTGTTTATGGGGCTCTTCTCTTGTTGCTGAAGGAATTCAAGAAAAAATTAAACTGTTAAAATTAAACTTTCTTTCCTAACAATGTATAATTTCATGGCTCTGTTAACCACAAAATTCCGTGCTTATGATCACCACTTTGTGTTAATAGCGCTAAAACAAATTCTGAGCTAACCCTGCAAGCACTGAACCTGAAAGGGATGTACGCATGTGCAAAAGCCAAAAGTGAGCAATGTAGGCAGTCACCCATACACCTTATGCACTGCGGGTATCTTAGAGGCTGTTCTGTGTTATTTTTATTCATATCAGCGTCCTGATTTTGCTTTTAAAATCTCCATCCCATTACAATCTACCCCTCCTGGTTACACTAATATAGCTTGTACTTGGGATGCTGCCAACGTACTTTCTTGGAAGTTTGCTTGATGGACCACCTGAGGAATTCTTTCAGACAACGAGCTGAGAAATCTCTCAGGGAGGTATCAGTAGGATGGATGACTCCATCCAACATGGCGTTCAGTAACGCCGACGTCTCCTCGCTCTCGTACTTCTTGTTTCCCGTAAACCAGTGAATCAACTGCATCACCAGGGGCTCAAAGAGTTGCCTGGCAACCAGCTCGACGTCGCAAGCGAGGCGAAGCAGGGCGGGGAATACGCGCCGATACAGATGCTGCATGGGGCTCTGAAGATAAACAAGGAATACAAAAAGCTCGATTTGTTAATTAGTATTCCGTAAAATGTGTACTTCGCCAAAGCTAATCCACATTTGAATTAGACCTGATTTTCTACCCGCAAAACTGTTGTATGGTCTCTTTTATAGCTTTTATATCCGTCATACTCACCTTAGCTTGTCTCTGTTCTGGCTGTTGAGTTCCTTTACCAAGCATGTAAAGAACCAGGGTGTGCAATGACTCACATGCTGCAACCTAGGATAAGCAAAAGCACAGGTAGGTTTGAAAGGGTTCAGATATTAAGCTTGCAAAACAAATTGTAAAGTCTGTCACTCCCCAATATGCCCATCAGGCCAGTGTTTTTCATTGGTTTCCTTGACATCATTTTTATTATTATTATTATTATTATTTATTCGGCCAACAAATGAACAAAAGTACAGTGAGTGACTGGGAATATTTCTTCTCCCCCTGGATGGGATGCTAGTCCATCGTATCGGCCGGTTACTCCCCAGCTAATGCCAGTACCCATTATACTCCTGGGTGGAGAGAGGCAAGAGGGGATGAAGTGGCTTGCCCAAGGACAAAACATGTGGCTAGCAGCAGGGTTCAAACCCTTGACTCTCTGATCATGAGTCACTAACCCTAACCACTAGGCCACAATTCCCAAAATATTAAGCTAGGAACTTTGTTTTAATCATCAGTGAACTTGAGCTCAAACTCAGGGTGGAGTCCTGTGGACCAAAGGTCTTGGTGGCCGAATTATATATGATGGTACATGGTTTGAACCCTGACTGGGAACATGGTGCTGTGTTCTTGGGCAAGACACTTTACAACAATTGCCTCTCTCTTTATTCAAGTCTAGGGTAAAACTGTATGCTTTCCAAACCCTCACATATACCCACTTTTGTCTGTCGATCCCCTGATGTCAAAGCGAGCTCGACAACCCTTGGCAGAAATTGATCTGAAAATTTGACATAAAAAAAACATGTCTTAAAAAACTAAAGATTGAAGTTAAAAGTAATACTCTGTGCATTAGTAGTACCCTCAGTAGGGAAGACGTGAAATACTTCTGACAATGCAATGCAATTAAAAGAAAAAATATATTGGTACAGTAAATTGGTACAGCAAACTGTAATCTGGGCTTGGTATCCCAAGCAACTGCCTACCTAGCTCAATGTTTGGTTTCATGTCGTAGAATGGTACAGCAGACTGTAATCTGGGCTTGGTATCTCAAGCGACTTCCTACCTAGCTCAATGTTTGGTTTCATGTCATAGAATGGTACAGCAAACTGTAATCTGGGCTTGGTATCCCAAGCGACTTCCTACCTAGCTCAATGTTTGGTTTCATGTCATAGAATGGTACAGCAAACTGTAATCTGGACATGGTATCCCAAGCGACTGCCTACCTTGCTCAATGTTTGGTTTCATGTCATAGAATGGTACAGCAAACTGTAATCTGGGCTTGGTATCCCAAGCGACTGCTTACCTAGCTCAATGTTTGGTTTCATGTCGTAGAATGGTACAGCAAACTGTAATCTGGGCTTGGTATCCCAAGCGACTTCCTACCTAGCTCAATGTTTGGTTTCATGTCGTAGAATGGTACAGCAAACTGTAATCTGGGCTTGGTATCCCAAGCGACTGCCTACCTAGCTCAATGTTTGGTTTCATGTCGTAGAATGGTACAGCGAACTGTAATCTGGGCAACTGCCTACCTAGCTCAATGTTTGGTTTCATGTCGTAGAATGGTACAGCAAACTGTAATCTGGGCTTGGTATCCCAAGCGACTGCCTACCTAGCTCAATGTTTGGTTTCATGTCCTAGAATGGTACAGCAAACTGTAATCTGGGCTTGGTATCCCAAGCGACTGCCTACCTAGCTCAATGTTTGGTTTCATGTCCTAGAATGGTACAGCAAACTGTAATCTGGGCTTGGTATCCCAAGCAACTGCCTACCTAGCTCAATGTTTGGTTTCATGTCGTAGAATGGCACAGCAAACTGTCATCTGGGCTTGGTATCCCAAGCGACTGCCTACCTAGCTCAATGTTTGGTTTCATGTCCTAGAATGGCACAGCAAACTGTAATCTGGGCTTGGTATCCCAAGCGACTGCCTACCTAGCTCAATGTTTGGTTTCATGTCGTAGAATGGTACAGCAAACTGTAATCTGGGCTTGGTATCCCAAGCAACTGCCTACCTAGCTCAATGTTTGGTTTCATGTCCTAGAATGGCACAGCAAACTGTAATCTGGGTTTGGTATCCCAAGCGACTGCCTACCTAGCTCAATGTTTGGTTTCATGTCGTAGAATGGTACAGCAAACTGTCATCTGGGCTTGGTATCCCAAGCAACTGCCTACCTAGCTCAATGTTTGGTTTCATGTCGTAGAATGGCACAGCAAACTGTCATCTGGGCTTGGTATCCCAAGCGACTGCCTACCTAGCTCAATGTTTGGTTTCATGTCGTAGAATGGTACAACAAACTGTAATCTGGGCTTGGTATCCCAAGCAACTGCCTACCTAGCTCAATGTTTGGTTTCATGTCATAGAATGGTACAGCAAACTGTAATCTGGGCTTGGTATCCCAAGCGACTTCCTACCTAGCTCAATGTTTGGTTTCATGTCGTAGAATGGTACAGCAAACTGTAATCTGGGCTTGGTATCCCAAGCGACTGCCACTTTAGCAACCTCTTCGGTACTTGTCTCCAGTAGGCATGCATTTGTCTGACCGCCAAGGGATCCCAGTAGCTGCATGATGCGAAGCTGAACACTCCGTAATGGTGAATCTTGGGTCTGTAACACAGAAAAAGACACAAACGGAGATCATTTTGAAAATTTAGGAGTTGCAGGGCATTTTGTCATCATACAGGTATCTATTTTTGCAAAAATAATATGGCAAAGGAGAACACATTTCATTGATAGTGAATGATGCTGCAACATACAGAGGCAAAATTAAAAAGAGAAAAGATTTAAATAAAACGGTGCTGCCCAGTCCTCTTCAGGACTACATGTGTCAACTTACTTGCCCTGTGCTGCCTGCATCCCGAACTAATTTAAAGGGAAGCTTTCTTTTACCAGGCCGTGCAGAACTAGACGCAGTCGCCATAGTTACTGTCTTGACAACCTCAGCTACATCAGCGCCTAATCAGAAAAAGAGACCTGTCCATCAATCAAGGTAACAAAATTATAATGAAATGGCCCATAAGAGAAACCAGAGCTAAAAATCTGGGTAAACAACCAGTAGAATCAGAAAGATAGGGCAGTCTTTACCTTGGGTAACTGTACCTCTAAGGTTACCATCAAGTACAGGTAATATCTCCTTCAGGTACGGTTAAAGAGAATCAGGTGGATGATGATGCAGCTCTTACCTTGGGTAACTGTACTTCTTAGGTAACCACCGGTAGAGGTAGTAACTCCTTCAGGTTTTGTTGAAGAAAATCAGACGGATGATAACGCAGTTCTTACTTTAGGTAACTGTACCTCTAAGGTAACCATCAAGTAGAGGTAATATTTCCCTCAGGTATGGTTAAAGGGAATCAGATAGAAGATCAGGCAGTTCTTACCTTGGGTAACTGTACCTCTCAGGTAACCATCCAGTAGAGGTAATATCTCCTTCAGGTGTGGTCGGAGGGAGCCAGATGGAAGATGACGCATCCATCCCTCTAAGGCTTCCAAACCAGTCTCGGCTAAAGGAAGGTAGCTCAGGCCGATACGAAATGTCATCTGAAACAAAAAAGGTAGCAACTGAAAGGTTGTCTTCTACTCAAAAGTGGCATGAACGGTTGCGGGAATATTCTCCTCAATTTTACAACTGATTTGAAAACCTCTACTATGCAAGGTTCACCATGCAACAAACCGTGAATAAATAGGGTTTCTAATCAAATGCAGCATTTATTTCTTCACTAATTGTCAGGAAGACATGAGGAATTTTTTGATCAACTGAGGTCAACGGATATTTACCTCTGAATATACAGCTTCTACAGTTTCCTTGACCTCAGTGTATCCTCTAGCAAGATTAAACATACCTGTAAAGCTGGTACAAGTTGAGCCACTTCATCTTTCACTATCTCATGGGGTAGGGAGAGAACTAGGAGCAAACACGATGCAAGCAAATCATCCTTGTACTGCTTGAGACGGACTAAGACCTCCTTAGAGAACTTAGCAAAGAGTGTGAAGCAGGCTGAGCAGTCAGAGGCTGAGACACGAGACGAGCGATGGGAGGAGGAAGGGAGGTCTACCTCCATGGAATCTTCCTGGCTGCTAGCATCTGATGACTTGATGGCCTGGGAAATGGTTTAAGTGAAATTGTCATTCAAACACTGGTACAGATCAGAAAAAGAGATCTTAGGTAACTCTATCTAAACCTATTGCCTCCACATTGGTAAAAATGGTTTTCTTCAAATTAGACCCAAAAAACCTTCACATTTCAAGACACAAAACATTTCTTATCTCACGCCTTGAAAAAATTCCATGGAAGCAGATCAGTTTGAAGGAGTGAGGCAAAAAAGCATTTCTTTCTCGAAAATTCTCCTTATTTGTCGAAGTGCATGCTACAGAAAATGGAAATTAAAATGGATCAAAACACTGTCACCTGCAAGAGTACTTGTACAAAAGGGCAAAGTGAGGGGAAAAATCACAAAAGAATTCATATTTTGTTGAAAAGATTTTTTAATGAGCTACTTATCACCTTGAAATATTGAATCTTGGAACAGATGGACATGCATACGGTCAGCAGCTTGTAGAAGCCACTGACCAGCGGCAGTCGACTGGACAAGAGAATGACCTCATGGCCAAAACGATAGACCCACTGCTTGAATAGTGTCGGCTGATTGGCTGGGAGAAGGTCTCTATGGAAACAATAATTACAGTATCGGGGTGAGAGAGTTAGAGCAGGAGGGTTAGGGAAAGAGGGTTAGAGCTACAGGGTTAACATGAGAGGTTTAGGCCGAGAGGGTTAGGGGTTAGGGTTAGGGTTAGGGTTTGGGTTTGGCCAATACATGCATATGTAGGAACTAGAAGAAGATCCATATTAAGGAATAACAATACAGCAAGTACAAGCAGTTGTAGGGAATCGTTCAATATGTATAAATGCTGGTTTAATTTCCATGTTTAAATTTAACTCACCTACAGAAGTCGACCAGGTTGATGAAAATCTGGAAATCCTTTGGTTTTGTGGCGTGTAAGCCATGCACAGGGTCTGAGGAGGCATCCTCAGTCGAATCTGTATCGACAGCAGCCTGCAAATGAGAATTGTGAATAAATGAACATAAATTTCATAAAATGAATGTAATTTACATAAAATATAAAACTCTGATGTTAAACCAGACTGTACTCAATGTTAACTTGAAAGACATCTACGGGATATTTGAACAGAGAGTTTTTAGTGAAGATCATCAATGAAGACATGCATGACAGGAGTTTGAGTACAACATTAAACAATGTAAAAGAACAAGTTTTGCTTGAGCAAAGGCTGAAATTTAGAATTTTGTGAAAAAGGGAAATTAGAAGAGGGAAATTTGAAACCGCATCTTAAAAGCATGTACATGTAGGAACATTGGTGATTAAATGAGAAAACCTTGCTCACAGTGAAGATAGAAATGGTACCAAATACCCTGTGAAATTATTGACTGCTACTTAAGATTTGCAGTAATTTTGGTACTTCACATGAAAAAAAAACACAGTCGGAGAGCAATTGTCCAAGGTATCTTTCAGTTTATTTGTATTCTTGAAATCTGTGTAAATACAGGGTGAGTAAAAAAAAAATGAAACCCAAATTTCAGGACCATTTTTTATCTGAAGTTTTGCACTTCGAAGTTCTGCACTTTTTTTAACTGAAGTAGCACTTTCAAAATCTAGGATATGAAAGCCAAATTAATACGCTTTCTTTTAGTACAAAAATCATTCAAATCACTCATGTACTTTTCAAGTTACAAAATTTTAAACACAAACACCATTTAAACTTCTGTCCACGGATCACAAAAAAAGTTACGTGTTCTTTAGCAAAACGAACAATTCACATACATCCCGATGTGACTTGTACCTTTGGGGGGGGGGGGAATAGGGGAAAAAAGTGCCCACCTCCTTAATTTGTTCAAAAAAGGCCAGACTAGAAACAATTTTTTTTTACTTGGCCTTATACCATAATCATATTTTGCATCTGTGGCCTAAAGGTTTATAATCACTTTTGTACCGGTATGAAAATGTACACAATCATTTTAAACACCCCCCCCCCCCCCACCACCACCACTCTTTGGAAAGCGCTGTTACAAAAAAAATCCGCAAATGAACCTTGACCTTTAACTGATCATTGATAATGGCATAATGGAGTTGTGCTGTGCTGCTCAGCGTTGGCCTACACAAAAACATGTACAGTGTTGTACATATGCATTTTGTACATGTACGATGCACCGTACTATTGACACACAGAGGGTTCAATTGTTTGTGCTTCACAATGCTATACGTGTTCTGCGCAGTTGTAATTCAGCAGTGCCACACGCTATTGTTGAACTAGAGCACTCGCGTATCCTGCTTTCATTTTGATTCAACAGTATTAAATTAAATTTGTGGATTGAACTAACTGGTGGCAGAAACACTCAGGTAAGGTTTACTAACAGAAACTACTCATTCAGAAACTGCAAACACTTGAAATAGAACAATAACTGTCACACACTCACAGGGTGGACCAGTATGTTACGATATTAAAACCTGAACAATATACCGGTAGGAGGAAGGTCTTTTAGTGAAATTTAACAGTAATGACTGATAACTATCAAATGTGTATTAAGTTTATTTCATATGAAATTGCTATGATAGACTGAATACAAATGAAATATGTATTTGTTGTCTTTAATAGTTGCTTTAGAATCATTCTCGTATGTTTTTATTTTATTTCATTGTGGTGTATTGTATTTGTAATGTATTGTATTTGTACATGTGTGTAAAATCATTAGTAGTGTATGCAGGGCCCCAATGGAAACGACTTTTAAATTGCTTGGGCACACCCTGGGTAAAGAAATGTAATAATAGTTGCTGGCTACTGTGATGTGGGATTTAGCATATTTTTACTCCCTCTATCGGATGTTTCTTACTGAAAATAAGTGCATTATGAGCTGCTCGTGCCACCCCTGCACATGCATCGTACATACACGCACATGCAAGGTAGTTTATATGCAATGCGTTGTATACACATTGAGGGTAAAAACTTGGTGTATCATAAATTTTTGAAAATCAAGTAAACATGTGAAAAAGAGGCTTTTAGCAAGATGAACAACTATAAGAAATGTTGGATATATTTCAGTAATAAACACAAGGGTTGCAATACGATATGTACAAATATGTGTAAGATTTAATTGTCAATAAGATGGTATGCACCTGCTTCAAAGTGTAACGGTTTACATGTACAAGTATAAAACAATATCATGCTTGATATGTACATATTTTTACTCTTTGCTTGTTCATATACAATATGTAAACTCCTTCTTCGATGGAGTTAATAATGCAAAAGTACAACAAAAGCTATTATATATCGGCTTAAAATATGGTCTTAAAATTATAATAACAATAATTATAATTATTTTAACTGTAATGACATCTTTTCTTCCTGATTTTTACAGATCCGTTTCTCCTAGTCAAAATGGCATCCAATGCTTCAGACTCTCAGTCACTGGGCAAGAATGTTAAAACAGGTCAGTTGACATGTCCCCTCTGCACCAATCAATTTAAGGAACCCAAGATACTGGACTGCCTGCACAGTTTTTGCTTGGAATGCCTTCAAAAACTCAGCTTGAACCAGGAGGATAGCACGACTGCGATCAAGTGTCCAACATGTGGACGTAAAACCTCAACGACAGGCATTGAAGATTTGTGCGCTAATCTGAGCCTGTGTGTCCTGGTGGAGGAGGCGCAAATACAAGAACAGCTACAAGGTCAAGGGTCAGAGATCAAATGTCAATCGTGTGATGAGGATAATCCAGCCACATGTCGATGCATGGACTGTGGTCATTTCCTCTGTCGAGAATGTCAAACGGCACACCAAAGGATGACTGTAATGAAATCGCATAAAATCTACACGTTGGCTCAGTTCAAGTCTGGAGAAGTAGTGTACAAGAGTGAGCTGAGAGACCGTACTCCAAAATGTAAAGTCCACACTGAGCAAGATTTAAACCTTTACTGCAACACGTGTGAGCGCTTGGTTTGCCAGGCATGCTCTGCTCTTGAGCATGGCAGTCAAGGCCATGCACTCACGAGTCCGGCTGAAGCGGTGAAGAAATGCAAACAAGATGTCGCGGAACTTCTCGCAAAAGCAGAGAAAACCAAAACAGCGTTGAGCGAAGCCAGGAAGGAAACGATCAAGTCTCAGGAAGAACTGGACTCCAACTTTGACGAGATTCGGAGAAGGATCTCCCAAAAGGCTGATGAGGAGATAGCGAGGGTTAGACAACAGGAGCACCGATTGAAAGAAGAAGCTGAGAGAATCTATAATGATGCTATCTTTCTTACCAGCCTCAAGTTTAATCCCCATAAAAATCAGAGACATTAGGACCTCACTGTCAATGTACGGCACATGATGGTTTATCTTGTTCTGATGTTGATGACAAATATAACTTTACATTTTCATGGCTGTGGACCACAAGAGTTTCCTTACGCTACATCTTATGATGGACTCCAAGAAAGGTAGATGGTGGTTCATGCCCACTCTGAGAGCTGGTGTGCAGGACGTTTTGTGTGCAGGACGTTTTGTGTGCAGGACGTTTTGTGTGCAGGACATTTCGTGTGCAGGACATTTCGTGTGCATGTACTGGTTGGCGCACGTATCGGCACAAAGCACGCACGACTGATAATAATGTTTTCAATGTACATATTAAAACTTGTGGCACGTTCAGCCCAAAAGCTGTTTCAAATGGCGTTGTCCACAATACCAACTATAAAAAATGTCAATGTTTGGATAGCTGCTTACAAAGTCCTCAAAATAATATTCATTATGACTGGTAGTGAAATGTTGCTAATAATGCATGAAGCAACTGCAGATGTTGAAAAAGGAAAAAAAAACCTCAGCCCCAACAGGAATAATACGTTCATTGTGTGCGTCAGCATTTTTTGGAGAACATAGTGAACGACTCAGGAGACCTTGTTGCCATGACAAATGCTGACACTAAGGTTGTTTCGCTACTTCATTATGATTAACATCCAAAAAAGATAGTGGAAAAAAATGAAAACTGTATGCAGCAAAATGAACACATGTTGTAAATATGCCAAAGGTGGTACATGTACATTGATAATGATCATTTGTTTTACATGTAGGTGAATTTTTGTTTTAAGATTTGGTTTTCATTAAGTTTAATTTGTTATTTGAAAAATGTCTTTTTGGAATGAGGACATTTTATGTATTTGGTATTCATATAAACATGAGCTCAATTCTATCTATGATCAATGTATTGTACATGTCATGGTAAAAACATATCTGATCCCAAAAGTGTGCAATCTCTCATAATGCTTCTTTAAAATAACAGACATGAATCTACAGGCCTTAAACTGCACATCCACATCAATATAGGTTTTTAAATACGTTTAAAAAAATCAAAAGTTAGGTTTTGAAGGTATTCCAAGTGCCGTAATAAAGGCATTTACAGGTTTTTAGGGTGCAAAACCATGCACTTTATCAGCATGAGGTACAGGTGTAGCAAAAATACAGTATACATGTATTGCTTACCCTCGAGACAAAGTTACTGTAAAACAATTTTATGCCATTTGCTCAATTCTGAAACACTTGTACAAAAATCTGTTGTTATTTTGGCATCATAACTAAACTGTGCATCAAACTGATTTTAATCTATTTCTTAAGAAGTTGTTCAAATTTATGGCAGAATTAAAAGAAAGGTTTTTATGGGTTACATAGATTACCTTTAAAAAACAGTTCCCAAGTTGAAATATAGGTTTTCATATGTTTTACAAGTTTCGCTGTGAGAAATGTAACTAGGGAGTAACAAAAAAAGACTGTATAGAGTTTTTCCATTTTAATGGCAAAGTGTGAAGTCAAAATGAGGAAATCAACCGATCCAATGAAAAGTTGTATACCTGAAATAAACCCCCAAAAAGTCATCATGCGACCCATTTAAACAAAGAACATGAGAGCTTAATCCTTACCTGATCTTGAGCTTGGGTTGTCTCCTTAACAGACGACAAGTCTAATTTGCCCAGAATCTTTAAGATGGAGGAGATTAATTCATCATACAGGATGATGTGGATCTTGCGTCTGTCTGCATAGTTCATTCCCATGGCTTGGATTTCCTGGGAATTGAAACATACAGGAACACGGTTAACTATTGACATAGACTCTGCATATTTATTATTTCTAACCAAATCTTAATACTACACAATCAAGCGTGCTCAAGTTAATTTTTTTATCACACATCAGCAAAAATTTTAAATTGTTTGGCACCAATAAATCGTCGCAGAGCTGACATACCGGCGAATCGACCATTTTGGTGATTTCAAGATTTTGTTATTTTTAGGGTTTATAAAGGTTGCTCCTTCAAGTATTTATGCTAAAATTCTTAATTCTTGTCTGGATTTTGAGATTCGGACAAAATGTTTTATTACATTTGACACAAAATAGTATGCATATGTATAGCTGTTACAATTATCATACTGTTGTTGCCATGGATCGACCAATCAGGGTTGAGGATTCAAGCTTGCTTAGAGATAAGTCTGAATGTCATCTCACCTTCATGTATGGACTGTCCAGTAGACTAGCCCACAGCTTGACGTAATCATTGTATGAAATGTGTCTGGCATCGGCCAACATATCAGCTTCGATATCCTGATTATCATTTGTGGAGTCCAGACTACCTTGCGGGGGGCTTCCCTGCAATGATCAAGTCAAAACCTCCCAAATTATTATTAATATTAATAAACCAAATTCTGAAGTAAAAGACAGATCTATTGAGCCCAGCTCTGCGGCTATGACTGATGTCAGGCATGCTTGCACAAAAGTTTGACATGCATGCATGTGCATATGACACACGCGGGGAGAGGTGCACATGTTGTTGCACATGTTGTTGCCCATGTGCGAAGTGGGCGGGGCCTAATGGAAGGGTCTATTGTATACATCATGTTTACAATCTTTGAGTAACACAAATACGTTTCTGCCAATTATTACTAAATACCAGTTTTAGGTGATTCAAAGCCATGAGAAACACTTCAATTTTTCTTGGTTCTTTTAGTACACATGAAGCTCAGTGAGCACGGAAAATGACATGTCAGATTTTGTTTTGCACGCAGGAAAACCAACTGAATTGAACTGTAAAATTAAATCAAATTATTTTATTCTTCTGCAATAACTAAATGGTATAAGATTTGAGGCTTTGCATGGTGGGGTATCGGTATCGTTTCGGTTTGCGGTAACAACATGTGGTAATAACTACTGCTTAGAAGATATTAGTTCTGAAAAGAACTTGTCCTGCTTATTATCAACTTTGCTAAGTAGTTTTTTGTTCTGATAAGAACAGTCCTGCTGTAAGTTCTAAACGAACTTGTCTTTGGTCTCAACGTTTCGACTAGCCTGCTCTAGGACTGTTCTTATCAGAACAAAAAACTACTTAGCAAAGTTGATAATAAGCAGGACAAGTTCTTTTCAGAACTAATATCTTCTAAGCAGTAGTTATTACCACATGGTGTTACCGCAAACCGAAACGAAACTAAATGGTAAAAAGTGGATTTCTTACATCAAGCATCACAGGATGAGAACAGGTCTGCACCAGAGCTTGGTAAACTGAAATAAAAAAACAAAAGATTGAAAGAATCGTCGGAATGATGTTATAACAGAACTTTTATGCAAGCAGCAAGGTCTAGTGTGAGAGTTTGTGACTCATGGACGATGGGTGAAAAAGTTCAAATACAGCTGCTGGCCATGTGCTGTGTCCCCAAGCAAGCCACTTTACCTTGCTTCAGGAACTATATCGAGGGGAGCTACATGTAGCACAGACCATCCACCTGAAATGAACCATGTTATATTGTTGTACTATACCTCACACATATTCACCAAAATTTCATTGAGTTGCGCATCAGTTATCTTGGCAAAATGTTGCTGTGCATGTGCCCTAATATTTTCACATGGCTATGGTGATGTTCGCGAGTGCGCACAACCCCTGTGCACTAGTTCCATGACTGCTTCTTAAAGCGAATGCGTAGTAGTATAGCGCAAGGGTAACCCACGCTATAGTCATCTGCGCATGCGTGTTTACCCTGTGCGTGACTCCTCACGTGAGCATGCTTGTTAAACAGCAAAACTTGCAGCTGGCACGTGATGGTGAATGGACCAGTGAGAATTCAGCTCTCAATCATGAATATGTATGAGGTATAGTAATAATAACTCACCCACTCTTGAGAGGAAATTCTTGAGTGTGGCTCCCTTGGGAGCCAAGGCAATCAACACCAGCAAGACGGCACGATGACAGAGGAATTGATACTTCTGAGGAACCCTAGGATAGCTACTAACTTGGACAACGATGAGACGCTCTAAAGCTGCTAGGAATGTATCTGATAGCTTGGAATAGAATGGCAAGACAAAAAAATTTGTCGTTCCAGACATATCAATTCAATTATTTTTCTATATTTTCTTAAATCACCTCATTCATTAATTTTTTTTCCATGAAACAAATGTTACACTGGAGCATATTTGTAGCTAATATCCATTCTCCTTGACTGTATAAAAACTATGAGACATCTCATTTTCGTAACAATTTTTGCAAAGTGCACTTTTTTTAACATTTAAAATGTTTTGTGCTTATCTCAGCAACAGAGGGCGCTGTTACTGTGATGTCACTTTAGGAACCCACTCTTTCAGATCAGGGTTAGTCTCTTCAAATTGTAAACCAAACTTGTGCTTATTGAAAACGTTAATGTACAAAGTCTTTTTTCCATTGTCTTAATGTCATGTAGTAAAACAACAAATGAATCACTGAAAGTAGAAAAGTAAGTAGAAAAGTAACCACAGCAAGTCCCTCAAATTCTGGTGACTTTTTATGCTTTTTATGAAGCAGATGCGACACTGAAATCTCTGCCTTAAATGAAATCACTGTTTGCTCATGAATATGGATATCTCCACTAGCAAAAAAAAATTTAAAAAGCATCAAAACACCCCAGAAATGCCAATATGAAGATTAAAAATGAGGTTGAATGGGACACAAAGGTACATTTCCAGGATTGCTGCTAGAAAAAAAATTGCATTTCATGGGACCTTTAAGTTTACTTCCCCTTCAGTGCATAAATGGACACTCGGTAAAGTATGCCACTTGGGTTTGGTCAGTGGGACAGTAGAGAAGGGAAAATCTCCAACAGATACAATGATGCCTTACCATGTCCAGCTGTCTGATGATGCTGGCCAGTGCCTCAAGGAAGTTAGGAAGTTGGTTCAGTTTATCATCAGAAACTTCTCCCTGCCTGATAAACATGATCATGAGAATGGGTATCAAGTGGTCGAGTTCTTTCAAGTAATCAACAGTTCAGATTTGTGCGATATAATGTAATCATGCTACCTTAAGTTGTTCACAATGATATGACAATATTGACTTACATGTATACAGATGAACAAGAAGACATAACACACAAGCACATACTTGATTACACATTTTCACAGTTTATTATTTGCTTTTTTTTTGGTTGATTTTTTTTTCTTTTTTCTTGGTGGATTACAGTTTATAGTTATAAATTTGATAGAGTATAACTAGTATAAGTCTTAAAATTTAATTGTTCTTGGGCAAGACACTTTACTACAATTTCCTCTCCGCCAAGGAGTACAAATGGGTATCCTGTGAAGGTAGAGACCAGATTGCGTTGAGCAGCTGCAAACAAATGGTCTCATGGCGTGATGACCAGGGGTAAAACTGCGACACGCTTTGAGACTTAAGTAGAATTGTTTTTGTTACTATTATTGTTTAGTTTGTTTACATTTCTCATTTATTGTTATTTGCGATTGACTTACTGAAGGTACAGCTGCTCACTCCTTTGTATCATTTCTGTGAACATGAACTTGACATCGTCATCTGTCATGAACAACTTGCAGGGCTGAATCATAAAAACATACGAAACGTCAGATGAAATAAAAACCACCAATACTGAACTACATCTGTATCACTGTGTTTCAGAAGGCACAATTTAGAATTATTTTCGCTGATCAATTTGAAACTATTGTAAAAAGAGTGCAAAAAACAAATAAATAAAGTAGAAATCACGATCACTTGTATTTTGTACAGTTTTTGTGTGTTTTTGTTTTTTGCTTTGTTTTGTGTTTTTTGTATTTGGTTTTTTGTCTTTGAAGCAACAAAATTGTTTAAATCTTAAGAAGGGCACATAACAACTATTTGAACTTGTTGAAGTTTCAGCTCAGTGGTTACTATACAATATGACAAATTAGAGAAAACCAGTGCACATTTTTTTTTTGTAATTGTAAAATGGATTCCGATGCAAGCACTTTTAATTGAAAAGATGCCGTTTTGAATCTTTAAAGCACCCACTCGTGTACAATCCCTTATTTGTTACGCGGGACATGATTCTCATTCAGTCGGCTAGTGTTTGTGACATCAAGGCCCCACTATATGGGCAGTTTTAAAAAAATGTGCCCGTGGGCACACTTTTAAAAACCATCTCCAACGATTGTTTTCTTCCAAACGATTCCATTTCTGGGGGAATAATTTCGCAGGGTACTTAGTACCAGTCCTTTTACCGTTTTGAGCGAGGTTTTTCTCATTTTATTTGTAGTTTTGTTGCCAGATAATTTCCAATGTTCCCGCCTGCCTTTAACTTACCGCAGCAAAGTAACCATACCCTCTAATAGCCGACGATAAAGCCCTTGCGTCACTCTGAGGATTGTCAATGATACCACGGAATCGCGTCACGAAAAACTGTCAACAACAAAACATTATTCATAAAAGTAACATAGTAAAATTGTTTGCAATTATACAAGTAAGAATAACAATAGTAATTCGAGCCTGTCATTTATCACATTTTTTGAGGATCTGTTGTACCAGTCAGGAAAAAATTAACTACTTAAAGGCAAATAGGATCATTTGCTTTTCACACAATTTTTCCGTATCCAATAATAACACCACTAAAAACGAATGTTCAAAACTGAACCTGTGGAAGTTGCAGCTCAGCAGATATTACAATTTCAAGAAAACAGTGGAAAACCATGCACAACCTTTTTGATCACGAAACACGATTTCATCATTATAACTCTTCATTCCAAAAATCTGTCAATTAACTGATTGATGAAAATCACCTACATTTCTTGATTTCTTCTAAATGATAGCAAGACTATTTTCACAGGGTGGTTTACACCAGTTTGAATTTTTTATTCAAGTTAGCTGTTTGATAACAATTGTGTAGGTTACTTTTAGGATAACTGTAAATGGGGATCCTGAGTGCTTTTAAGATCACAGATTTCTAGGATCTTACCCTGAACACAGTCTGATCTGATGGCTCCCGTTTGGCAGCTCTTTCGACGAGCATCTCAGCAATCTGTTGGAGGAATGCTTCCTGAGCCGCAAACCCAACAGACTTGACCTGTGGGTTGCTGTGGGAACTCCACTTGTTGAAGGCCTCGTGCAAATCCTGTGAGAGTCATTTTCCATTTACAATGATCACTTTGGAGACACCTTATATCCGTGAATTCAAACAAAATCCAATGTAATTATAATCTGGGTCATTCAATAAATTTGGGGTCCACTTTTTTTTCCCGTCCCTGTTTCATCTGACATCTATGATTTCATAATTCTGATGCACTTCTTAATGCAATCATCCTCCAAGAGTGATTATAAAATAGCAAACTATTTACCGTACAAATAAAATTTGTTTGAAGTCATTCTTAATACTTGAATGGTACATTACAAAGTATCAAAAAAACATGGACAGAAAAATGTCGCCAATTTGGACCCTAAATTTATAGAATGCTTGACCAATCACGGTGATCGCGCTATGCTATTGGTCGATCGTGTCACTATCAGTTGATCGCACTGCCATCGACTGGAGGATTCTTTTGAAAACATCTGCGATTAAAGTCAGAGATTTCCTACCAGATAGACTGATCACTTGAGTTATAGTACAAATCTACCGACTGCACCCAACAATGACGTCACTTCATACCCGATGATCGTTGTACAAATACTGGCTGAACTGTGCTGAATGCTTGGCAAAGATGTTCAGGCCTGCTTTGTTGAGTTCATAGCGTGTGTGGTCTACATTGGGATCGATGGCCATGCGGGCAAATCGGTAGATATCTTTGGAATGCTTAGCCCCTGCAATAAGTTAAAGATTATAAAGCCTGATGTTACTAAGACAACCAACCATGACTTCATGATTAGCTATCAATTCAATACTGGGATTTGCCCTTCATCGATGGTATACTCCATGTTGTCTGAGAGATTGTCAGAAAAAACTCACAAGCCTACATGGGTGGGACGTGAGCCCACAACCACCTTCCACCCTACAGATAATTTAGTTACGGCACCTCTGCTATATCAGATTCAAACAGCAAACCAACCCTGGCCAAGTGTTTAAGATGTCTGCACTAGTAATCAAAAGGTCATCGATTTGAGTCCCACCAGAGTAAACTTGTGAATTTTTCTGTTGCAAGCTGAGTATACAGTGTTATAAAATACACCAGTGAAAGGCAATTTTAACCAAACATTAAATTTACTCTTCACTGCATTCTTTAGTTGTGTTTAATTATGTAACAGCCATCAAAACTGACTTTGGCAGCCAGGAGAGCCTGGTGAGATTCCACAAGGTAACAGAATGGCATTGATCATGTTTTGAAAACAAACTCTTCATTCGTGTCCATCATCATATAACTCAGGCAACTGTCTATGACTAACTTGATGATAATAGTCAATGGACACTGTGAACACAACTGACCTTCTTCTACTGACTGTGTGAAGTTGACCAAGTAATGTCCCAAGCCAGTAAGACAACCGGCTATGACTGTCAGTTCTGGCTTTCTGGTCTTAGACGTCATCTGCGAGCAAACGGTACAAGAAAATCATCACATTTTATCAGTGATGTTTAAAACTGGTCCCAGGATCCTGCGTGTTGTCTGCTACCGAGTGCTTGATAACCTCTGATGTGATCTCCACATGAGGAGATGTTGAGCAAGCCACATGGCCTCATGCATCATGGCCGAACATGGAGTTAAATAGTAGAACACAATCATTGGAAGTTTGTCATAGGCCTGTCCCGAATACTCAAATATTCAATCATCAACTAAATATTCGAATAGCTTTTTGCCAGTTTGAATATTTGAAAACAAAAAAAACATGCAGATACACACCTTCAGTGCAGGCCATTATCAGCTAAATTATGTGTTTTAACAATGTTGACCTTTTTTCAATTGACCTGAAAAGTAATTTTCACGTTAATTGTGTAGATTTACCTGCTGGTTGAGAGTTGCAATGTAGACATTAAGCAGCCTTTCAGAATAGCCAGACATCAGAACAGGGTAGACTTCCGCAAGAACACCCAACAAACCATAAATACCTTGCTTGACTGCAAAATTATTCAAGAAAAAAAACAAATAACTTAAAGTTATTTACACAATTGAATTATTTATAATTATTGGCCATTGCAGTCTATTTCTAGAAACTTTTTGCTTCTGGTACGTAGTGTGGCATATGTCATAGGTTAAGTCTTAAACTTATTTCCAGCCATTAAAATACTTCAATCAGAGCTTGCTTATATTTTCTACCATACAAACTGTGAACTGACAACTAGTAGAAGAGATTAAAATTGTGTTCATAACTAATACAGACAAGCCATTTTCATCAAATTTGTTGAAATTTAATTTAAAAATTGTTAGCAAAATCAGACTTTTGGAAGGAAATTTCAAAAAGTCAGAATTCCGATTAAATTTGGAAAAGTTGTATCTCTGCCGGTCATGAAACTCAACATTCCGCGCCACATGCGTGCAGTACATCGTGTTATTCAATGTCTAGCTATTAGCCAGAGCTGTATGCAACACTCCTTCAGCAAACCTTAGAATGCTTCGTTACTAGCATTACCTGTCTGTGTTAGCTTGGATGGCTGCATGAGCTGCTCAAAGTACTGCTCAATCATCCTTGGAATATCAAGATCAGCCTCCATCTGAGCAGATGCAAAACGCTGCAGCAACTGTGGCATGAAAAGAGACAAATACATCAATCAATGTAAACGAAATCATTGTGTAAATAGTGCTCCATTATTCTCAGACAGGAAAAACGTTTTCTTCAGATACTTTCAGATACACACACTTTAAATCGATTGACACTGATCAGGAAATGTAAGTATTGGTGCAAGACTCGATTTGTTTTTATTAACCTTATGCAGCAGTAGAGATCGCTATCAACTAGATGAAGCAAATCTAGTCTTGGGAATATTGGCAGTGCTACCCAGGAAATTCAAGCTAATGTACGCGAAAGACGTATGCTCTGAATTTCCTGGGTAGCACTGCCAAAGTTCCCAAAACCGGGTTTGCTTCATCTAGTGGATAGGGAGCCCTACTCCCATGGTGGCTCTACTGCACTAGACATGGACCTACAAACAAATCCAAATCTACTTTTGGACAAAGACTAAAGAAACGTTGATTGCAATGTGTAGCTTACTCACTACGGCCCAAGATGCACACATCATGTGAATGCAAATAATGCACTGTATGCGCGCAATCACTTTTCAGTTGAGTACACACGAACCCATAGTATGAACCTGCTGTCTTGACTACCTTACCTCTATCAAAACAGGGAACGTCTTGGTTTTAACTTTGGCCGATTTGTCTCTCATGAAAGCAGAGATACAGATCTTTTTGATCTCCACGGTGCGAGCCAACAGGCGAGAACCAGCCTTGAGCAAGAAAGCGTGAAGAAACTCCAAAAGTTGCTCTTTGCTTCCCTTGAACTAAACAAAGTTGAAGAAATAGATCAAAGTCAAAACAAAGTGAAAATCTAAGTTAATTACTAGGATGTTCTCATGATGTGTGAGACACTCAGTTCTCATATTGAAGTTGCATATTATGGCTATTTTTTATGGCATAAACACAAAGTTATAGGTATGTGATATGTTGTGGAAGTGTGGCGTAGTGGTCAGGGTTTGTGACTCATGATCAGAGGGTCAGGGGTTTGAATCCAGCTGCTGGTCATATGTTGTGTCCTTGGGCAAGCTGCTTCACTCCCACTTGCCTCTCTCCACCCAGAAGTGTAATGGGTACCGGAATTAGCTGGGGAATAACCGGCGATGGACTGAAATGCTATCCCATCTATTTGGGAATGAATTAATCAAATCATGGTGAATCAAAGTTTGAGGGGTGTTAAAGTCACCGGGCATAGGACCTACCGGTATATGGCAAGTTTTAGTGATTTCACGACGGTGAGTTTTGAAAAATTTCTCCACAAACTTTTTTCCCACATTTTTGGGGTGTTTATTTACTGGACTGTGTTGCAGTACAGTGAACGTAGACGAAGTCCACATAATGGGTAAGATCACCTAAAAGATAGTAGGGCCTATGGGGTAACATTTACACAATGGCACAGGTGTCATGACAGCAGCTTTTGAAGTTGGATCCTCATCAAGCTTCTTACCTCATCTCTGGGGATAGCTTTGTTGAGAAACACCAGGATGCCATTGTCCTTGTTGAATAGCTCGGAGCAGCTATAAGCTGTAAAATTAAATAATGTTGTGACATTCTTTAAAGCACAAAGTGCATGAACACCATAAAATACAATATTGTGTTTTGCCTTACACCATTGTATTTCTATAAACACTATACCATGTATACACAGCATTGTCCAGGAGCTTGCTAAAAAAATTGTTTACAAGCTTACTCAGGTTGGACTCGAACCGAGGACCTCCTGCTTACTGCAGACGTCTTACTGAGTAAGAAGATGTCTGCACTGAGAGTGAGTATACAGTATTTATAAAAAAAAAATACATCGGTGAAGGGCACAACCCAATATTGAATTTACAAATTCCATCTTAAAATAGTCATCTAGTTTAAATACTTCAACATTTCCAAAAAAATTATCATTTATAATATTTTTAATTGAGTGTTTACTTCATTTACACCTTTGTCACCTTCTCTACTGAAGGCAGGTCTTTGTTTTGCAGTGATACGCACGAGAAGAGTACTCTCATGAGTCATTGACATTGTCACTGAACTTCAATGACAAAACTTGTCCTCAGTGAGGGTGCTGTCAATCTGTAAGTGTAAGGGGTCTATGATCAAACCAACAGGTATTCCGTAGAGAGGGCAGAGTTTTTATTGTTTGAGGGCAATTTGGGGTAAAGCGACAATTAAGACAACACAAAGCAACACGCAATGCACAGCGAACAAACAAAATTACGTTGTCATTGATTTGCATGGCACTAGCCCCATAAATGTGACCTATTTACTGGACTGCCTCCGTAAACATAGGCCACACATCCACATGTACAAAAATCGTGTCGACTTTGCCAAATTTTGATTTTCACATTTAGGCTTAGTTTGTAGGTCTTTTTTGCTTTAGAAGCATACTCACCCTCTTTATAGGCTAGTCAGAAAGTGCTGCCTTTTTCAGATGTCTAATTTTTGTGAAATTTCATGTTGAAATTTTGATACGCAAATGTGTAAAAATGAATCTGGAAATTTCACGAAAAATATACATCTGGAAAAAGGCATCACTTTCTGATTAGCCTATATAGAGGGTGAGAATGCTTCTAAAGCAAAAAAAACCTACAAAGTAAGCCTAAATGTGAAAATCAAAATTTGGCAAAGTCGACCCGATTTTTGTACATGTGGATGTGTGGCCTATGTTTACGGAGGCAGTCCAGTAAATCGGCCACATTTATGGGGCTAGCATGGCACCAAACGTTAAAGGTTAAAAAGCATAAGAAATCGCATTTTCTACTAGTCCGAAATTTGGGACTCTCAATACTGTGTATGAGAGTCCCAAAACTTAAGGTATTGAAAACATGCAAAACAAGAAACTAGACTGGCACCTGAAACAACCAGTCCAACACAGCTTCAGTACTGCATCAATCAACTATGCCAAAAGAATTTAAGAAACATGTGACATGAAGCGGGAACAAGTCTCAATTTACTACACATTTCTCCATAGTCAAGCCACCAGACTATTGACACTGAATGAAGAGGTCAGTCTTTTCAAATAGTTGGACCATGGATGGACATGTACCAGTCTAGTATTTCATGTATTTAGCCCCATTTTGAAATCACTTGACTTCCCTCTGGAATTGAGCCTGCAAACTTGGTTGGTGAAATACAGAGGACATTTTCTTTGCCCCAGTGGAATTTTTGGAGAAATTTGCTTGCTAAACTGTGAGTAAAGTGGGCCTGATTTAGTTTTGCATGTTTCAGAGCACTCCAGAGCCCTGTCTGATTTTCTACCGGCCGCCAAAAACTGTTCAAAATTCCCCCAAAAAATTATGTCATTAGAATTAAGAGAAATCTGCTTTAGGTTGAAAAAGTCATTTTGGAATGATTAAAACACCTTTGAAATTGACTCCAAGTTGATCAAAACTAAAGAGGGGCCCTAGGCTACACTACACAATCGCCCAACAATTGCCAATGAACTTGAACTTCAAGTTGTTAACCCAAGCGCAGCATAGTCTGTCATCAGGTCATGCCTCCCGCCCCCTCCGTCTCCGACACAAACTCACCCAATTCATTCTCAGATAACTGACGAAGACACAGATGGCCCAGGTCAACCACGAGATCTTGAGCCTTCTCCGCGGAATGTGGGCTGCTCTGTGCCGATATCAGCCCGTTTAATTCGCTCAATTTTCCTGGTAAATCGGCGGCCGCCATTTCCACATGTCGTTTCGCGGGCCGGGGAAGAACTTTGACCAGAGTTTGTTTTGATGCAGCGCCCTCTAGCTGGCGTTGGAATTGAAAGGGGCGGGGCTGGACCAGGAGGGGGGTAAGGAGGCTATACCAGAAACGGAGCACTCGTTGCCTGGATCACTAACCCATTCTATCAAACACTCATATAAAACGTGGTATAATTTATTTCATTTAGAAATCATTAATTTAAATTGGTTTAGGCCGAGTAAAAAAACATGTAGTTTCTCATCCACCTTTTTCTTAAAAAGAGAGGCTAGTGGGTTTTTTCCTTCTTTTTTTTCCCAAGATGGCAGATTTGCCAAGATGGTGCATGCATTCTTTATGTTCTTAAAGGGAAAATACAACATTTGCAAACATCAAAAAATAAAACTACCAAATCATTTTGAAATACCTTGCTGGACAGTTAGTGAATGACAGTGTAAAGCATCCTGTAAAATCATGGCACCTGGTATACTGTCATTTTCAAGAAAAGTGGTATTTTTGTATCAATTTCCAACGCTGATCAGCCGATCAGCGTTGGAAAAAAATGGCTTTTTTTCAAATACTGGCCCCAATTGACAATCGCACTTGTTTGCAATCGATTACAAACCTATGAACGGGTACGAGCCAGCTAGACTGGTTCCCTGACCTTACAATTCCCCAATGTATGTAAACTGCTCTGTTTCTTCGTATATGGAGTCAGGGAACCAGACTACAGGAAAATGATTGTTTTTCTTGGTTTTTATAGCATTTTCGAACCCAAAACTTCAAAAAAGTCAGTGTAACTATATTTGCTATATATTTCCAACCCCCCAATTCCATCCATTTCTGAAAATTACAGCAAAAGCAAATGATGTATATTCCCTTTAACTGTTTTGCTGATACCGATTTGTGCCCCAAGCAGCCATTACCCTTTCTACACAGCTAAACGAGGCAGCCGGAAAAAGGAAGTAAGCAGGAACAAGAAACTGGTGTATTTTTTTTACTTGGCCTTATTTTGGTACACAGTAGTGGATCTACGTGGGGAGATTAGGGGTCTCCCCCCCCCAAACAAAACCACTCTACCGTGCCGCAACAATTAATATTTTTCAAACCATAGTGAATGCCTCAAAGAACACCCCCCCCCCCAACTTTTATTTAATTTACTGGAGGTAAATGACAAAAGAAAACAAACAGAATTCATTTCAAATGTTCAATCTTGAAGATACATTGTACTTTATTTATGGACACTGGTGTAAGGATTTTGTCTCATCCTTAAAACACAGAATTTTGTACATATGACACAAACATTTTTCAAAGTGAAAAAGTTATTTGAGCAAGCAGTGCATCAGTAGAAATTGCTTGCACATTGCTGTAGTACAAATGAGGAATTCTTTTAAATCTCTTTAAAGAGGGGACAAGTTAGGCTCTTTTTTTTTTTTACTTCTTATTTGCTTTGTTCAGTGTTTTTGCTTTTACTCTAAATTATCATATCATCTGTGTATGTATAAAGTATGACACACTAACATACATTGAACACTCATGTCTTGAGCATGTTGCCCCAACTGTAGCAATGGCCCTGACTATAGTTGGGACAGTCCCAACTGTAGTTGAAGCAGTCCTAACTATAGCTGGGACGATCCCAACTTCAGTTGGGACCATACTATACTTGGAGTGTAACAACTAACAAGTAATATGTAAACCTAACCATGTGCCATGATATTGTTGCGCTTATGAAGATCCAGGTGAACTAATCGACGACAAAAATTAGAACGAGTCTAAAAACTGTTCGAGTACGAGATTAATTACCTTAATTGATAAAATAAAACAACATGCTATGATGTACTTGTTCTACATTACCCCCGAGGACAGACACACAAAGGGAGAACAACAGATCCTTTCAGTCCTCGGGAGTTGGGTCTTTTGTTCAAAACGGTCCTCTGTAGTACGTTTGTGTAGGGACAAAGGAAAACACAAAGCATTGTCCCGGGGAGTATAGTAAAACAACAGTGCGTGTTCAAGCTGATATATTGGTTCATCTTCTCTTTCAGGTGGCCTTACAAAACAATGCATCCGCTTGTCGTACGCAAAGAATTAACAACGCTGCAGACTTGACCTCAGGTCATAAAACAGCATCACACAACAGTAAAAGATTTGTCTTTGGACTCTGTACATCAACGATAGAGGGCGCTTTGTACCACTTCAGAGAGCCCAGTGGGAGGGAACATCATGCGCCCATACTGGTTCATAAATGTATGGCTTGAAGTACGCAGAACATTATTCTGAATGTGCAGGAAGCCATGAACCCATAGCATCTTTGCCTGAGTGTCAGGCATTGTCAGCAATGCGTTCAAATGTCTCTCCCAGTGGTCCCCCCAACTCTCCCTTCATAACCGTTGAGGGGGTACTTGTGCACGGAGCCCATAGACTTTTCCTTGGCTTTTTTTTCGTTCAAGGATGTCTATTCAATTTCACAGCTTCCTCCTGCCTCCTCTATCTGCTTCTTAATGTCCTCTGCTTCTGTCTTGCTGACGTCTGCCTTCACAGTCTGAGGTGCAGACTCCACAAACTTCTTGGCCTAATCAAACATAAACAAATACACATGTATGTACATTCAATATTGGCATTCACTAGTGTACTTTATTAACACTGTTTACTCAGTGTTGTCACAAGTGTTTGTTTTTTTAAATCACAAAATGCTCAGGTGGGACTCGAACCCACGACTTCCTGCTTACTAGTGCAGACATCTTACTACTCAACCACAGAGCTTGCCAGGGTCAGCTGGCTGGTTCGAATAATACAAAGCAGCGGGTACCGCAACCAAACTATTGAATTTAAATCACCCCGATGAAATTTCATCTTTCAAACACCTAAGTTTTTATATTTTATAAGGAAAAAATGTTGCAACTTGACGCCACTTTTTTCTTCATATATCATCTCAATGAAGGTCAGTCATTGCAAAAATGATAACACATGAATCTGGGACTGAGAAACATTTCCAATTTTGTTAGGAAATACTTTGAAAATGTTCTTGACTCTCCATAGACTTTGTACACAACCACTGAAGTGACGTCAGCTTGCAACATCTTTTCCTTTCATAAACCTAAGTTACAATTCTTAAGGTCAACAGTACCTACCTGTACAAGATTCATGCCGGTGTTTAGCGCTTTAATCTGCTTGATGAGTTTAACCTTGCTAGTTTCATCAAACTTGGTTAGTTTGACTGTGAATTGGGTTTTCTCCTTTGGAGCAGCAGTCACTTCCTCATCATCATCGAGCTAAAGACACAAAAAATGGACATTGCAAGTTATATCAACTGGTATTCCTAGATGTTACAACTTGGAATGTAGTCTACAATGGTTCGGCACAAAAGCATGTAGGATCATTTGCTTTTTGTGCACTTCTTTTTCTTTTGAAACAACAAAATTGCTCAAAATCTTATAAAGGGTGCATGACAAGTAACTTGTTGAAGTTTCAGCTCCGTGGATACTTTAGGTTTTCAGAAAACAGAGAAAAAATATATGCAAAATGTTTTTGGTCTCTCAATATATTGTGCTGTTGACGCTCGCAGGCATCCTTTTTTAACCACCTTCAACGATGTTTTGTTCCAAATGCTACCATTTTAGGCAGACTCATTTCACAGGGTACATGGTACCAGTCCTATCGCCACTTTGACAAAGGTTTGTCTCCTTAAATCAGTAGGTTCATTGCCTACAACGTCAGACACTCATGTGAAGATGCAGTTCAGAATAATATTAGTTGGCATACTCCGCACCATACACACTTTAACCAGAACACGCATGCTGGGTGTCCCTCACACTGGGGTTCTCAAGAGTGGTTTACAAAGCGCCATCTATTGTCCATGCACAGAGTCCATTGTGAGAAAATGATATAAAAGTGGAAAACTTGGGAAAGCGTCATATAAATCTAATTGGTGAATATACATTTTGGGTGGCATTGTGCCCGTGCCTGCACACTAAATACATACATGTCTGTTACTTTTAACAAACATACATGGCTCATTCTATAAATTTAGGGTCCAAAATGTGACTTTTTACCTTGGTACTTTGTAGTTTGCAATTCAAGTATCATTAGAAATGATTTCAAATTATTTTTTGTATTTGTTGGGTAGGTTGTTTGCTATTCATACTCACTCTGGATGGCAACTGCATTAAGGAGTGCATCAGAATTATAAATCACAAATTTCAGATGTAACAGGGACAGCGACATACACCTGAGCTGCCACTCAATTCGTTGTGACAAATATGACGCAGTCATTGTGATGTCTTAAAAAAAGGTCCACACAAACAGGATAACGTTACCTCTTGGGCTGCTGCAGGTGCCACTGTTCCCATGGCCATGACTGGCGCTTCCTGGATTCCTAACGTTTGCTGTGAAAAAAAGACAACAAATAAAATACAAAAATAACATCAAGAAGACAAACACTCAAGTGTGTGGTGAGTTCAATAACAGAGTCAAGGGATGGTTTACTGATGGTATAATAGACCAATCCATTAAGCCCCGCCCCACAATTTGACCAATCACAGCCGTGACTAATGACTGGGTAATGTGGCACTGGACATGTGCACCTGTTGATTGCCCACTTAGTGGGCAGGACTTTCAGATTGGTCTATTGAGTGTCAAGTCTCACCATCCATATTGCAGTTAAGTCCATCACAAGCCATCCAGTCCAAGTCAATTCATAAATGCTTCAAATGAATTGCAGCATAGTCATTCCCTAGGGCTCTGCTCAGGTAGAAATCTAGAATCTTTGCCCGACCCATTTCCACCCATGTAGGTGCTTAACCCTAACAGAACTCAACCCGTCAAAGCTCAACAGCAAATCTGTTAGGATAGGTTCAGTACCCTTAAGATGATGGTATTTTACATTGGGTATTTTACATTGGGTTTGGCATACTCCCAGTCCAACAGTGTGTGTGTACAATTTCCCATGTGGGTGTTGGAATTTGCCAGGATGGGTATGGTTGCTAGTAAACTATGCTAGGGAGTTAGGGTAAATCAGGCATGCAACTTGGAAGAAACAAAAAACGAGAAAACTCCAATCTTTACAAGACTTTGTACAGTGTTTTTCAATTTTTAATGGCATGAGTGTGACATGAAAAACGAGGAAATCAGCTGATCCGAGGAAAGTTGCATGCCTGGTAAATACTAGACTGAACTTCTTTCACAATAGACTGAATTGACTTAACCCATTAGTCACTCTACCGCCCAAAACCGCCCTGCCTATCACTCACTGTAGCATCTGAAATCGCCAGAGCACTCTATGGTTTTATTGATTCTTCAGTGAATAAACACAATGTAATACAATGTAGTAACAGGTGTTAATGGTTTATAATATTTACTTGTGTTTGGGAGATGGATTTGTGATGGACTTGTGGTGGATTCACACTGATCAATGACTGAATTTGAACAAAATCTTAAACTTCATTTTTGTCATTCCATAAATGAATTCACCTAATGTAGGAAGTACATGTATGTACACTATGCACACTAACTAGCTAACATCATAACATGGGATGTTTCCTTGAATGCTCCCCAACAAAGAAAAATAAAAGGAAATTTCTGAATTAAATAAAACTGCTCTCCAAAAATGGAGGGGAGGTGAGGGGGGTGGGGGTGTGAGGGGGGGGGGGGGTGAGGGGGGGGGGGGAGAGGCAGGAGGAGGGGGTGTCAGGATGGAAGTGGACGTTTACCTTCAATAACTTATTGAGGTCCGCTACTTCAGCTATTGTAAGGCTTGATATCTGTCCAACGATGCTGGTGATTTTCTCTGGATATTGGACCTCTCCATCCAGTGGAGGGGGAGGTATGGCATCATTGCTGTAACTCCTTGTTGCCATGGGGACGACATCTTGAAGACAATGGTTTGTTACTGGCAGTGTTCGGCTATTCTGATGTATGCAGAGTCGTACTGCCTGCAGTCTGCATAGTCTGCGATGAAAATTTGAACAAGAAGTTTTGTTTGTCACCAAAGTTTTAAGTAAGACTACATGTAGAAAAGCAGTTACTGAACATGCGCAGTGAGTGTTTTTTTGAGACTTAGACATTTCTACCATGATGAATCTTCACCTGGTTCCCCGCTACGTTTCACAGGAAACCAGAATTTTGCCTTTACGCACTTCCTTTTGCCATGGAGGAATAAGAGCACACGTGCCAGTTACAACACAAGCAGATATTTTGCCGAACTGGATCGTGGGTAATGTTTACTTTTAGCAATTTCCAAAATTTCTTTTCCCTGACAATTGCAAAATGATAGACCTTCAAATTGGTGAAAAAAAAAACAGGTAGGCAACCCAACCAACGCAACCCAAAAATAAAGATGGCGATCACCGCGCGACGTACCGTGAGCACGCACGGCGCGCTGAATTGCAAGGCACAAACCGTGCAGGAATATCGTGATTTGTTCAAAATTGCAAAACGGGTGTCCTTAGTAATAGTATTGAGAAAAAGTCTGCTTTTGATTGTAAATGTGATTTTTGAGCAATAAAAAACAATTTGATTCAAATTTGATCAAAAACAAAACAGGGGCCCTACAGACTACAGTGTCAGTACACTACACGATCGCCGAGATTTAGGCTTGACCGATCGCGCAAGTGTCTTTTTGCGTGATGGAGTGATAAGCGCAGATCCATCGATCGCGCCCAACATAATTTGAGTGGTCTTCGCTTCAACTGTTCAAGTCAATCAATTACCATGTTATGGACGGTTTGTTCAACTCCACCTTCAAGAAGTTCAACTTCCGATTTCCAAATGATTTCAATCATTGGCATGATAACCCTCCCAGTCCCTACCCAAAATCTAGTCCGAGTAACTAGGACTCTACGGATCGCTTTTTTAACATTTGGACATGATGTCCAAATGTTAAAAACTTAAAAAAGGAGAGTTCTAGTCATGGGACTGTTGTGCGCTTTCTTGAAAATCACGCATTCTTAAGAATGCGCATGCACATTCTTATGATTGCGCAACTGGATCCTTGCGCAATCTTCGCAAAAATAACTCTTCCAGATTGAGCGGCACATTCTTAAGAATGTGCGACAAGATAACGGTCTTGTCGATGCCGAGCACCGGCTGCACTTGGCAAGTCTAGCTGCATCCTCGTTCACCGATTCTTAATAATTATACTGTTGCAATGCAAGGTCACTTACTTAACGCTGCAAAGTAGAGTGGATATGAAAGTATACGCGTATGGGGGGGGGGGGGGGAAAGGGGAAAAAATGAGAGACATAATAATAGTGTATTGGAAAGAATTCTGATTTTTGGGATAATAAAAGCGGGGGGGGGGGGGGGGG